CTGGACCTCAAGTACAAACCCTTTTTCGTGGGATGCATTCAGAAGGTGAGTGAAGTGCTCTTGGCTTTTTCCAATCCTTCTTTTATCTTTTCTGTCCCCCCCGCTCCAGATTGACATAAATGGGCACTCGCTGGGAATCGTGGCCGAGGCATTGGGAGGCAGCAACATCGGCAACTGCCCCCACGCCTGTGTGGCGCGTCCCTGCGGCCCCCTGGCGGAGTGCGTGCCGCAGATGGAGAGCTACGAGTGCCGGTGCAGCATCCACAATGAGCGCTGCAACAAGGCCGCCGAGGTACCGCCGGAACAACTGCCCGAGCTGGGTATCCACAAGTCCAGGGTCCTTGACGCAAAACACAATGGCGAGGAACCCACGATGGAGAAGGCATATTCGGGCCTGCATCACAAGAAGCATTTTAAGAAGCACAGGAACGTGCATAAGCCAACCCCGGGAAGCAGCACAAGCCCAAGGACGAGCACAACCCCAGCCACCACCACCACCACGGTCCAAGCAGAGACTGACACGGCGGGGTCGCTGAGCAACGAGGAAATCGAAGACGATATAATCTTCCGCTTTGTGCAGCAGCAGCAGCAGCAAAAGGAACTCAAGGAGCAGCAGCAGTCCACTTTGAGCAGCAGTCCTGCCCCCACGCCCAAGCCGAAGCCGAAACACTCTGGCGGCAAGCACCACGCCAGCAAACATGAGCACCACCTGAAACCGAATGCTGCCTTCGCCCGGAAGCTCAGCAGACTGCCCACCCACTACGAGAGTTTCCAGACGAACCCGGACAGCGACATCCTCACCTTTGCGGACAGCAACGACTGGGTGGCGAGCCTGCAGCAGCAGGAGTACGCCGATGCCAAGGGCGTGGAGGAGGAGGAGGGCAACCCCAAGCCTCCCAAGCAAAACGATGACAGCCAGGAGCCAGCCCCGGAAGACCATACTTTTGTGTTCGACGAGTCCTTGTTCGATGCATCGGATGGAACGGAGGAGTACCAGCGCAAGCAGCTGGCCCAGGACATGCGGCGCATCATGTCCAATTCCAACACCCACTCCAGCCACAAGAAGGCCGAGGCCCAGACCCCGAGCCCTCCAGTACTGACCAACGAGGACACCGCTCAGTACAGTGACTACTCTGACGACGAGCTCCTGACCCCCGTGCTGCAGGGTGAAGATGAAACCAAGCCGGAGCAGCACGCGTCCTCCAGTAGTTCGCCGCAAACCAACACGGACTGGAGTCTGCTGAAGAAGTTCGATTTATCCGCCGAGCACCAGTCGCAGATTCAGGGAGTCCGGAAGAACTTCGGAGCCTGTTTTGCCGGCAGTGACAGCTACTTCCACTACAATGATGCGGAGACCATGAGCCAGGTGATCAGCTACAGCATAGACCTGAATCTGCGCATCAAGACCCACTCGGAGAACGGTGTTATTCTGTGGACAGGACGGCAGGGGACAACGGATCAGCATGATGATTACCTGTCCTTGGGCATAGAGCAGGGGTGAGTTCAAAGGATACTTAAGGATAAGAATTACTTTATCAACTATCTTTTAATCCTAGGTACTTGCACTTCCGCTACGATTTGGGCTCAGGTGAGGTGGACATCCGCTTCAACGGCACAAAGGTCAGCGATGGTCTGTGGCACCGAGTGAGGGCTATAAGGTGAGGATAATCCTATATGCATTTTATTTATATATTCTTAACATAACTTGCCTTTTATAGAAACTCCCAAGAGGGCTATCTCGAAGTGGATGGCCGGAAAACATCAGCCCTTCTGGCGCCAGGAAAGCTTCGTCAGCTGAATACCGACACGGGGCTGTATGTGGGTAAGTACAGGAGATCCTTTGGTCCTTTTCGGATTTGATTCTATGAGATTTTTTTCCTTTTAAGGGGGCATGCCTGATGTGGCATACTTCACGCATCATCGATACTTCAGCGGCATTGTTGGATGCATCTCGGAGATCGTGCTGGCGGGCGAGATGAAGCTGAACTTTGATCCCAACACGCTGGGAACGGAGCACAACGTGGAGACGGGCCTCCTGTGAAACGGTGCACGCACGCCTCAAGACTTTTGATATATCGAATAGTTTAATTGTTTATGTTAACCACACAAATGTCCTTCGTCGGTTTGTGTTTGTACAAATACGCTTTTAAAACGAAAAACAGAGAAACAGAGAACGGTTAGGAGCATTTTTTTACACCAAGGATGATGTGGATGATGAGAGCTGAGAACGAACCGAACTAATTCTAGAAGGGAAGAAACTACATATTATATACAAGCATATTTAGTATATACAAGAAAAAAAAAAAGGCATACATAGATATATATATATATATATATATATTTAAAGCAGAGGAAACCAATTCCCAAAGCAAATACAAAGGCACGCTTTCGCATAGAGCCTGTGACTGTCAATACTTCAGAACGGAATAGTTTATATACGTGCATACATATATCTTTAGCGAAAGGATCGAAGTCGGGCGAGTAATCATATAGAATATGAAAAAAAAACATACCAAATACCAAAATAACTGTCCATTTGCCGCGACTAGCGATAGCGATAACGATACTTTAGTGTGTGGTGGCTTTTTTGAACCGTTACGAACCGTTACGCTTTACACTCGCAAAGCTGCTATCCTTTTGTACCACACACCCACACACCTACAATCTGACAACTGAAAACTTGAAGGAGAAATTGGCAAATGTTTCGTTTTTCGCTGTACCTTAAACTATGAACTATTAAACTGTATAACTGTACATCCTGTACTATTTGGCGCTTCATGGAAGGTCTAGTCCAAAAATCGAATGAATCAAAGATAGTGGAGGGCTGGGCAAGTGAGATGGACAGTCGGAGATGGGAAAAAAAAACACAAGCTATTAGGTTGTAAGCTAATAAATGTGTAGCGTGTACTAGCTTTTAAGTCGGCACACTCACACACACACACACACGCCTGCCTATATTTACTTTTATATCGACGTGGAGCATTAACAAATCGTAAGATACTATAAAGACACCAAAGAAACTTAAGACATACGTAAGGACACCAAGCAACAGGACACACAAACGATTTTTAAACAAATTTTTACTATAACACAATAAAAACAGCGACTACAACAACAACAACTAGCTAATGGAAAACAAACAGAAACTTAAGCGAAGCAATTAAACAATCCCATAGCTAAATTTTTAAATCAAGCGAGTTATAACAAAATGGTATAAGATCCATAAGAAATGTAATACAAGGGTGGGTCAACAAGTCCGTGACTTTTTTAATTTCCCGCTTCCTAATTCAATATGGCAACACTGCTCCTGTCAACAGTCCTGTCAAAACTTTGAACGAGCTGCGTCATTTAGTTTCCGTTTGACAGGACAACCTAAGAAAAAGCTGTCTGCCCCGCTGGGGGGAGACACATTTGTATTCGTCTTATGAGTATATAATTTTGTAGCTTAATGAGATAAACAACCACGTATGTAGTTATATATATACATTATAAACACATATGCGTAACTACATATATATATGACTAACGGGAACTATAGAAAAACGAAGCGTAAAATTAAATAAAGAAATCACAACCACCAATCAATGTAAAACTAAATTTAACGACATTCAATGTAGCTTATTTATATGACTAACTATTAACAGAGGAAGCCATTGGGACATTTAGTTTCGTACATTCGTTTGCAGAAAATAAAGATAAAAGAATGTAAGAGTGGAATGTTACTAATTTATCCGGCTATATATTTATTATATATATTTTCTACTTTTCCAAATTTTTTTCCATTTATTATGGAATAATTTGCATAACTCGGTAAATACTCAACAGATTTGGAAATGTTATACCTTCCCGATCTTGTATTTTTGAGTAGCATCGTTCTCCATTAAAACTTGGGAACAACATTTTTGACCCATTTTTTCAATTTTTTCAAAGGGGTAACATCATGATTTTGGCCAAAAATTTAGTCCAAATTTGTTTCTTTTATTTTTCCCAAATTTTAATGCAAATCGAAGAGGATTGGAACCCTGATTTATAAATGGTATTCCGTTTTAGAATCGGTTGCGTATTAGTTAAAATATTCGCTAAAATGGGTGTTAAAAATTTCGATTTTGGCCAAATTAGAAATGTCAAAAAATTGCTTCCATTTTTTCACTTTTTGTAATGAAAAATTTGCATAACTTGGCTAATATTTGTCAGATTTGGAAATGTTATACCTTCCCGATCTTGTATTTTTGAGTAGCATCGGTCTCCACAAAAACTTGGGAACAAAATTTTTGACCCATTTTTTCAATTTTTTCAAAGGGGTAACATCATGATTTTGGCCAAAAATTGAGTCAAAATTTGTTTCTTTTATTTTCTCTAACTTTTAACGCAGATCGAAGAGGATTGGAGCCCTGATTCATAAATGGTATTCCGTTTTAGTATCGGTTGCGAATTAGTCAAAATATTCACAAAAATGTGTGATAAAAGTTTCAATTTTGGCCAAATTAGAAATATTAAAAAATGACTTCCATTTTTTCACTTTTTGTAATGAAAAATTTGCATAACTTGGCTAATATTTGTCAGATTTGGAAATGTTATACCTTCCCGATCTTGTATTTTTGAGTAGCATCGGTCTCCATAAAAACTTGGGAACAAAATTTTTGACCCATTTTTTCAATTTTTTCAAAGGGGTAACATCATGATTTTAGCCAAAAATTGAGTCAAAATTTGTTTGATTTATTTTTCCAAACTTTTAATGCAGATCGAAGCGCATTGAAATCCTGAATAATAAATGGTATTTCGTTCTTGAATCGGTTGCAAGTTAGTTAAAATATTCACATCAAAAGTTTCGATTTTGGCCAAAATCCATCATCGCCTATTCAGCCAAGTCAAAAGCTAAGCCAGTGTTGGGAAAAACATTTTAATGACCATCCAAAAGCGAAGACACAAACCAATAATCGATGTATTTATCATTACCAGACAAAGAATGTCGATATATTGACATTTCGACGTGTTATCGACAACCCTATTTAGTTCCATCACCACCGTGGAACCAAAAAAACAACAAAAAATAACCAACAACAACATCGCGAATAAATTTGGCGACTGGAACTTGGAATAAATATTTCCGCGGAAGAGCGGACGCGGAAGTAACAAGGCTAAGTAACCTCCAGCATCCAAACGCCACCCATGGCCGCTGTGCCCGAGAACGCGGCCGAGATCGCGGTGGCCAACGCAATCAATAACATCAATAATGGTAACGGGAACGGGAACGGGCGCAACCGCGTCTTAGGACTGGGGGGAGGTGGCCAGGTGGGTTTACTCAAGCATATAATGCATATCTTGAGGCCTTATCTTTCCTGATGACTGTCATTACAGAACAACATGATGAACATGCGGGATCGGCTTTTCCACGCGATTTACTTTCGGGCGGCGGCCACCTATGCGGAGCTTGTGCCACGGTTGGTCATATGGATAATGTTTTACCTTTAGGTGGTCTTAATTCTCTAATCTAATCGCAGGAAGGTGCAGTTGACCATCGAATACCTATTGCTGGCCAAGGCTGTGATTTTCTTCTTCACGCTGATCTATGTGCACAATGCTTTTATAAAGAATCCTTGCACTTGTCTGCAAGAAGTTCAAAACTGGCCCCGAGAGGGCGTCATTAGGTATGGTTTACTCAGGTGATCGATGCGGTACGGCATGTAACATATACCTACTTTTGCAGGGTGGAGATAATCCCCCATCTGACTGAGAAGCGGGCCATATGGCAAAGCATCAAGCGGGATAAGCACATAGTGCGATCTCTTAAGGATTCCTAGTGAGTTTTTGACACCAAAGTATCGCCAGATGGGCTATTATTTATGGCAAACTCTACATTGCTTAGTTACTATGGAATTGGACCCCAGACCCTGGAGAATCATGACAGACTGAAACGCTACGAGTCTATATTGGGCAGGCTGGGCTTGCCTGTTCGTGCCACTTTTGCCTACAGCAACGAATCCCTTTATTACTACTTCGATGCGATCAACATCCTTGATACCTATGAGCATCCCAATGCCATACAGCTGAAAGACGAAGAAGACGATGGTAGGTTCTAGTAGCTTGTTTACTTCTAATTACTCATCCACATGTTATTACTTCAGACGAGCAGTATATCGTGGAGTATTCATTGGAGTACGGTCATTTGCGACTTTCGGGTGCCACACGTAAGCGCCTGAAGATACCCGTTCTTACTGTGCAGCTGGATCCAAATACGAACAAGTGCTTTGGAGACAAGCTAACACGCTACCTGTTGAAACGTCTCTTGGGGTAAGTTAAACCAAATCCACATCCATATAGGTCTATTAAGCTAATATATATCGTCTAACTCCACAGCTATGACGACCTACTGATGGCTTCGGTGAGAACCATAGCAGAGCAGGAAGAGAACAAAGGCTACTTGCGCAATGTGATTACCGGAGAACACTACAGGTTCGTCTCCATGTGGTGGGCGGCCTGGAGCAGCTATCCAGCAGCCTTCTGTGTGATGCTTTTATTTGTAAGTTCAACTGATTATGTTCTTTAGAAAACCATCTAAATGAAGATCTATTTTTCAGACATTTTCTGTGTCGATGCTGCTACGTTACTCCCATCACCAGATCTTTGTCTTTATAGGTAGCTATTTCGTAAACATTTTGTTGATACTCCTGCTTTGAAATGATCTATAAACCTTGTTCTAGTCGACTTGCTGCAAATGCTGGAGTATAATGTGTCTGCCCGATTCCCAATCGCTCCTTTGTTGACTGTTATTCTGGCGCTCGTAGGTGTGGAACTTGTCTACTAATCCCGGAAAGATTTGCATTTCCATTAATCTTTTTCCTTACTTTCTGTCCAGGAATGGAAGCCATCATGTCAGAGTTCTTCAACGACACCACCACGGCCTTCTACATCATTCTAATTGTGTGGATTGCGGATCAATACGATGCCATCTGTTGCCACACCAGCATCACCAAGCGACATTGGCTCAGGTGCGTCTCTGCGATTTGCCAAGCCATTCCACCTTACCACCTCACTGTCGTAGTGTTCATTTAGTCGAGTATTTCTTTTATTTTTCGTACAATCGTCCGTCGTCCCAACAAATGATAAATTCAATTACATTAAGTCGAGAATCCTTTCCAGCATCTTGCCTTGCTAGCATTGATAATAGCTACCAGGCATCTCCTTGACCATCGCCATCATCTCATCCAACCTCTCATCAGCACTTAACAGTTCATTTCGTTCGTATCGGTTCGCATATTTTCCTTTTCTCTTTCCGAGTACCGACCGGAGTACTCCCCCGACCGACTACTATTTTACACTCCTTCCTGGACGAACCCCTGTTCGGTTGTTATTTGAAAATTAACTCGGCTTGCGCAAGCCTCCCCCGGGGCAGAACAAATCGACCAGTGTACAGGGTACTCCCCTTGTCCCCTTGCCACTTACCACCCAAACTGGCAACACACAGACACCGGCAAACAGAGAATTTCATCACTTAAGTCAACAAGCGTAACCCAAGCACCATGTAGCTCTATGTAGCTGTGGCAGCTCCAGCTACCCTTCCTCGACCAACTGAGCCGCGCCATTAGCAAACATTTAAATAAACTCGCCGCTTTTTCTTAACAAAAGAGGCAGAAAGTCCAGCAAAAAAAAAAAAATGAAGCGGAAAACAGCGGAAATTTAGAGCCCTCATTTCCCGTTCGATCAACATTAATGACCACGCACGTCACTGCCAGCCCGGCATAGACCGGACAACCCCATCTCGGAGCAGGAGGAGGAGCTACTTTGCGGTTTATTACGCGCACTTTGCATAATTGAACGGCGACTGCCGCAAGAAATTATTTTTAATTTTTTTTTTTCGGCCAGTTGTAGACAGACAGGCGGGAAACGAAACCATCAATAATTCAAAAAGACACTCGAAAATTCCCTTTTAGCGCGCTGGCAGCTCGGACGAGGCCCAGGCGAGGTCCAGGCGTGGTCCGGGCGTCTTATTATAAATTCATGTGCATGCATCCGTCCTCAATCACTGGCCTCCGTCGCGGCCTCGCGGTGTTGATTTTGCGTAATTTACGCCGAATTAAATGGCTATCAGATGCTTGGAGTCTCCGGCGGAGGGGCAGTCTCGAGAACTGGGCCACGACCACTGGCGGTATTTGTATTTATTAAATATTCATAGCCGCGAATGGTTTAAATCTTTTTCCCAAAAACCTGTGGGAGCAAGCCCCCCAGATACATTATAATTCTACATAATATATTTTGTAGTCTTCATGGTATCTTCTGGCCTGTCGCATAACTCATAATTTGCCAGCCAGATTGCCAAACTTTGTGCTCCTCGTCGGAAAAAGTTTTCAATACAAGAAAAAAAATATCCAATTGCAATGTTCCGGGCGAATCCTTTTCTATGCAATTGAATAGCAAACAATGTTCAATATGTTTCTGCTTAGATCACGTGGCGTGAGTCTGCCAAGGAGCTGCTGGGTCCTGGCTGCCAGTAAAATTAATTCAGCAAAAGGGTCCTGGACAGGATACTCCTGAATACGCCTGGGCCATAACTGCATGTGTGTGCTTGAGGAAAGAGGGCTAGGCAGCGAGAGTTTTTTTTTCTTCCTGGGGGGATGTGTGTGTGCTTTCCTTCGGTTTAATTTTGCTGTTATTGACTGCCTCGAAAGCTGAAGGGGTCCTGTGCCAGGACTACCCTTTCAGAGGCTATCTGAACGAGGCAACGCCATTTGGTAAACAAGAATCTTTACTACTTCCGCTTTAATATGGTGGAAAGTTGAACAGTATTTCTTAAATTCTACAACAAATTCTAGAAGAATCTGTAGCTTTAGAAAGGGTATTAAGGACATCGTCTTTGGTGACTCATAAATTGCAAGACACAAGTTAGTAGCGCTGCTGTTGTAGGTCCTGCGGTTATGGGTTAGAGTGCCGGGATTGCTTGTTCTCTTGCTTCCTTCCTGCCTGTGGTGTTTCAGCACCAGCTCCAGCTCCAGCTTCAGACCCTTCTGCTTCCGTATTTGCTCGCCTGTTTTTGCGGTTAACTTGGTCTGCAGAAGGCTGGCTGGCATTAAAGTTACCATACTACAAGATAAACAAGTGCTGGCGGCTATTTTCGCTTTTTAGCTACACAGTGCGGCCTTCCAGTCCCCGCTGGTATTAATTTCATTCACGGACTAATTTGTGTCCTTAAACTATGAGAGAATGGCACCTTAATCCTGTCAAGTGGCCAGGTAACACTTCTTCCGAACGTCGATCGGGGCAACAAAGCCTTCTAACCTTTCGAACTTCCTGCCAATTGCCTCCCGACTCGTTCATTATAATTGACTTTTAAGAGACATTAAAGTCATCAAAGGAGCAAAGGCAGTCTCGAACTCTTCCCGGCTCCGCTTAATCGCCGTTTAACGAGCAGGGAGTGCCAGTGGCAGGGGCAGGAGCAGGGGCATAATAAGCCCCTGTTGTCAGCTCACACCCAGCTCACCCCGTCACAGGACCAGCTGCCGCTTCAGCATCAGCCTCAGCCCTTTCTCTTCGGGCTCTTATTTTCCTGGCCTGTGGCTTCTTGCGGCGCGTAATGCTTCTTTTGTGCTTAAATCTGGTTGCCAGGCACGGGGCAGACGACACGTATTAAATGAGCTGCAAACGCACGGGAGCCAAAAGCTGAAAGAAACACTTGCCACTCCACTGCCCCTCCTCCCACCTGCCACCGCCTACAGGCTACGTATCCAACTCGAGTCCTGCGCAGATTTTTTGTCGCGCTAAAAAGCTGTCGAGGAAGCTGGAGCTGAAGCTGGGAGCAGGGAGCAGGAGTAGGAAGACAAGACGCCCTCGGTTGGCATCAAAGAGCAAAAGTTCTACCAGAAAGTAAAAGGGGAAACCCACCCACACTGAGAGGAAATACTGTGACTTCATAATACTATTTGTAGCAAGGACTAAGAATAGAGGGCAAGCCTTTTCCGAGTGTGGAAAAGTGGGTGTCAGTCTGAGAAAAGGGGTTAGCAGGTGGAGGCGCCTCAAGTAGCCTGCCCCGAGTCTCCGCTTTCTTCCTGTTGTTTACACGCTTGTTACGCTGGCAGAATATATATATATATATATATCCGCATACATATATTATAGAGTGGCATTGTTGCCACTGCTCTGTATCAAAGGTGGCCGCGGTGTCGACGGGTTAGCCTCAACGTCAACGGCATTGGCAACCATGGTTGCAAGGACCTCCTGGGGGGAGCTGGCGGAAAAGGGCAGCCTTTTCCTTTCCTTTGCACTCCTTTGGCTGTTTTCGTGTTGATTGAGATCATGTTACGCAAAGTATAATTGCGTCAAGTTTGTTTTTCTGCCATAACTTTTGTCCAACCGAGTGCCGCCAGGGGGGTTGGTCGGTCAGGACGTTTCAGGGGGGGTGGGACTATGGAGCGTATCCTGGCCGCCATGGCGGGAGGTTAGGTGGTTGCTTCAAAGGTGCAGTTGATGAGTGTTCATAACGAGGCGAAATCGCTTCATTGTTATGTATGTATGGGAGCTGGGTGCCTGGGTGCTTGGGTGTTTTGTTTGTTTCAGCTCCAGCTTGTTTTGTTTGTTAACATGGCGTATGCGCAACGTGCTATTGTCCCGTGTTTACACATTCGAGAACTCTGTTCCAATTTATGCACGAAAATGGGTCGTTTTCACGCATTCTACCCTGTATGTTTGCTGGGCAAATACTTTCCCATTTTTTGTTGTTGTCTGATATTTCAATTAAGTTTCGAATTGCATTCTCAGAAAGCCGGAAGCACGAGTCCTTCTCCTCTAAACGACACATTAAAACCTTTAATCCTGTTCCTGGATGTGGTGCTCCTGGAGGGTTTCCATGGCACTGCTATTTATGGCCACGGATAGATATGCAGTCCAATATGCAAATGCCATTAAAAGCGAGCTCACTCACAACACAAGTGCTCACAAGCTCATTGAGCTCGACGACTATTAGGATCCCTAGCCCCCCCACTCCCACTCCCACTCCACACTTGTTTACCTGCAACAAATAAGCGCTTATGACGCAGATCGGATCTTTATTGGTGCCTGAGAACCAGAACAGAAGCCTTTCACACCTCCCAGACTCACTCCCACACTCATCTCCGTTCCAGACACATGCAACAGTTGTCTTATTTGCCACACTGTCATCCGCCCTTCCGCCCACCAACCCACCCACTTCCTCTCGCGCCAAAGGACAGGAAGGCCAACAGTATTTGCCTGGCATACATCCGTTCCCCCGGCACACTGGTTGCCGACCCAAAGTTTCGGGAGTCCTTTCAGAGAAAGGATACCACCATCGGACCCCAAAGAATTGAAAAATTAGACATTTTTTTTGAAAGTATTTTGTGTATTTCACTCGAAATTAGTCATAGATGGAGAGGATGCACTGTAGTCCTGGTAAAGGGTGAGGACCAGAACAAGGATGTGCCGGGTGTCGGAGGGAGGGGGGGAGGATTAGGGGAAGGGCGTTGTCTGCTTGTCAACGCTACGCTACATTAAGAAAGCGAATGAAACGGAAACGAACAGGCGATAAGTGTTGTCTACGTGTCTGCTGCGAGTCCTTAGAGTGTGCTTCTGTGGGTGTGTGTGTGTTTGTAAGTGTGTGGGGGGGAAATTGAGGAAATTGCCGGCAAGCGTTTGCCAAGGATGTGTCCGTAATGCTCTGCACTCAGTGCCTCTGCACCCGCCTTGCCCAATGCCCTGGAATGGAAAGGCTTGCTAAATAAGAGTCGTGTGTCTTCATTTGTCGCTGTTGATATTGATGGTCCGATACTTTTGTGTGCGGCTCTGCTTGTGGGCTGGTGTGTGTGCACACAATCAACTGGAATTAAATTCAATAACATAACTCAATCATGGCCATACCCACAGCCACTGCCATAGCCCCTCATCCTACTCGCTGTAAAAATAAATTAAAGTTGAATTCCGCTGGCCAGGCCAACGGGTGTCCTTCAGTCCGGTTGTCAAGCTGTCCCGTCCCCGTGTCCCCGTGTCCCCTTGTCCGTTGTCCCCTGTCCATTCGGCTCCTTGTCCGCTGTCCATTGCTTATCAATGAGTCGCCTTCGGTGTCATTATTGTTGCTTCTGTTGCTGTCCTGGCAGCGGCCATCTATTGTGTTTTTATATTTGTTGTCTTTGGCGAACAACAATTCAACTAACAGCGCCAGCAATTATTTATATTATTAAATCCTCTTGAGTGTTTTTCTTCCTTCCATCCGTCCGCCTTCCGTCCGTTTTCCGTGTCCTGGCCATTGTTGTTTCCGTTCCGTTTCCAGCCGGCTCCGCCGTTGTCTTGGCAGTTTTTGATATTTTTCCCGCCCCTGGTGTCCGTCCGGCCACTGATACTTGTTACCCTTATGTCATCCCGTTCCATCTACCACACGTCTGACCCATTTCTCCGTAGCTTATTGTCGCTCCACCAAAAAATAGCCCTGAGTGGGAGTGAGGGGTTGGGGTCTCGATAAAAAATAGAAAACTGAAACCAATATGTTTTCACTTTTTATTTCTGTCAGCTTCATACATATTGTCCTTGTTGTCCTTCGAACCAAAACTGAAACCTAATTGATATTCTGGAGATTTCGGTGGATGGTTCTGATGAAGATTGATAGAGATGTGATCTACGAATCTTCAAGGATGCGGTTTAGTAAGAGACTCTTAAGAGTTGAGAGTAAGACCCTTTAGAAAGGAGCACTACCTAAAAAGAGGTCCTTTTCTTCCTTAAAACCTCAGTTGTCGGATGAAGGACTCAACAATAGGAAGGTTAGGTCATATAGCTTCAAGTCCAAAACCGAACAATTGACTTTGAAGGGATTCTGACACCCACTTGGACCCATTCCCTGGCCCGTCCTGACCTCACACTAATAAATTCGTTTGGTTTCCGCCTTGCAGATTCTTCTATCTGTACCACTTTGCCTTCTATGCGTATCACTACCGCTTCAGTGGCCAGTACAGGACCCTGGCGCTGCTATCCTCCTACCTCTTCACCCAGGTGAGTAACCATGGCGAGTAATAAATGCGTTATGCAACCCGACTGCGGAGCTGCCACAATGATGGAAGCGACTGCGAGTGCGAATACAACTCCGGTCATGTTTACGCCTGTCAAGTGCATGACAAATTGCCTGGCTCGGCTCGTGGCATTGTTTTCCATTTCGTTCCTGGGTCCTGGCATCCGGGCCGTTCTGGGCGTTCGGGGCGGCGGCTCACGTGCAGCCCCGAACGAACGGCTCACGTGCCTGGCGACCGTGGCATAACCTCACCCATCTGCTCCATGTATCTCTATTTGTCTCTTTTCCATTCCAGCACTCGATGGTGTTCTTCTTCCATCGCTACGAATTGCCAGCCATCATGGCCCAGCACCAGGTCTTCATCATTACGCGCAACCAGGGGGCGGGGGAAGGAGCAGCAGCCGCAGCAGCAGCAGCAGCAGCGGGGGCTAGAGGTGAAGCAGGAGCTGGGGCCCAAGCAGCCGGGCAGCCAGATGCAGCTGGAGCAGCGGCCGGAGGGGAAGCACCGGGACAGCAGGCGTCCATGCAACGTGCCCGCCTCATCGTGACGCGACTCTTCAGTCAATTGGCTGCGCAGCGGCAGCAGCAGCAACAGCAGCAGCCAGCGCCCCAAAGACAGCCCGAGCCAGGAGCTAGTCCAGGTCCCACGCCGGCTGTGGGCATGGCCTTGGCGAATCTGAGGCGCCTGCCCGTGGTGGGGCAGTGGCTGCAGGGCCGCGAGCAGTTCGCCACCGTGCGTCGGGTCTTCCTCGGGCAGGGGGAGGGGGGCAACGGACGCCTGATGCAGGTCCGCTTGCAGCGCATCAATGTGGCCGATATACCCGAGTTGCGCAACCAGGTGGCAGCAGCCATGGCCGCGGTGGGAGCCGCCCAAAGGGCAGCCGGAGGCGGAGCAGCATCGGATAGCCGGGCTGATGAACTCGGCAGTGGAGTTGCGCCACCAGCATCCTCTCCAGCAGCAGGTAAGCTTTCGGTGACATCCCGCAACCTTAATTGAGTGGACAGACGGCATACTTCATTGAGGGCTTAAATTCTTAGCTGGCATACCTTCTCCATAGATCCTCCTTGCATAATAGAGCTTGATAGAGACTGGATAGAGGCTGATCCTTTGAATATTCAGTGCCTCCACACGTGGCACAGTACTTTTATTTTTTTCGAGCAAGAGACTGCGTTGCTAGGAAGAGTCCTTTTCGGCTGGGTGTGAAATCGCTTGGAAGACAAATTCAAATTTGAATTCCACTCGACAAGCGGGAAATCCCTTTCCCGGAGCTGAGGAGGACTCTCGAGCCAAACAAGAAACACAAATAAACAAATAATAGATTCAGATTCAGGGGCAATAAATGCCAACGAGAGCCGCTCGAGCAAGAAAGGTGGCTGGCACGCCCTCGATTTTCGATTCTGGTTCTATGGCAAGACTCCGAGTCCTGGCGGGTGTCTGCTCCTGGATGGCTTGTCTGGCCACTATAATCGCAATATGCATGAAATTATTTCTCAATTCGCTTGGAAGTATTCACTGTAAATGTTTCGCTTGTCATTTCCTGTTTTATTTTCACTTGCCATCTCGAATTCTCTGCATATTTCAGATGTCGAAACAAATCAGAGGGCAACAACGGGCATAAATGATGCAGAAACCGGGGACGGAGAAGCAGGAGATGGAGCTGGAGCAGGAGCCGGAGCGGAAACAGCTCAAGACAATCTCGGAAAGAAGCTGGAGGAGGGGCGGAAGCCTGCCATGTCCGAGACGCTGGAAAATCTAAATTCCGTTGCGGCGAATATTACAAGTATGTCGGATAAGAGAAGCACTATTGCTACAGCATCGGGGGCTGTAATCCACGCCCACTTTGACGTCCGGGGTCTGGACGTCTCCCAGCCAAAGGGAGGGCAATTAGAAAATAATTTGCCGGAGAAAGCTTTGGCAGCTCCGGCAGCAGCACCAGAACCACCAGCACCAGGTGAAAAGCAAAGCTGCTCACTACAAGCTCACAGCATTATGAATGACCAGCAGGAGGAGGAGCAGCGGGAAAAAAACAAGTCGGGCGAGGCCGCGACAACATCAACAACATCAGCATCTGCCATGTCAAAACAAACCTCTGAAGCTGGAGGTGGAGTGGTGGGAGTAGGGGTAGCTGGGGTAGTAGCAGCCAGGCCAATGATGGATGACAGGCCAGCAGTTGATTTTATAGAAGGCGACAGCCCAACGTCAGCAACAAATTGCCAACTCAATGCGGGCACAAACCACAAGGCGCCAACAAGGAACCAACATCCAGAGGAGCAGCACCAACAGGAGGAGCTAATGAAAACTTCACAACATACATCAAACCAAGTGACAACAGCAGCGGCGGAATAAGCCGAGCATTAGTGGCACGGCACTGCCCCATCCCGACTCCACACACACACACCTCAACCGAGATTCCCATCCCGAGCAGAAATAACCACATAACAAGATGTTATACACAAACTCAGCTAGTAATTTTTTGTTTTTAGATAATTTCTCTGGTGTACTTATGGCCACTGCGCTTAGTGGGTGTCCTGTGGGCTGCTCCGGCGGATCTGTTCTTCAGCCTTGGCAGCCACGCGTAGGTGACCTGCTGCAGTTTGGGGCTATTGATAGCAAAAAAAATATTAATAGCGTTTCTCTCGCCCCTTTTAATTAGCCAAATACGTGAGAAGCCGCAACACATACTAACCACAGCTAGTCGCTTTTTACAATGTACGAGTACTCCCTTTGAATATTTTGTTGTTTGTTTTCTGGTTTTTGGGCTGTGCCACAGCCCCCGAAGCCTCCATCTATTGAGAAAAATGCGTTGGAAATTTTTAATTAACTTTCGAGCGGCCACGAAGCCCTTAGCCGGTTAGCCGGACGGTTAAACAGCCTGGAGCGGTGCTTTACCGGATGCCGCCACCGCCCCCACTATTTACATTTTTAAACTTTATGAATCGCCATAGGATTGTCAATTGTAATATATTTGTTCGGACGGCTCGGACCCTGACAGGCCACACCGCAAACACTGGACTGTGAATATGAATGATTTAAATATCCGAACGGCAATGGCTAGCATTAATTGTTTTTGAAAACTTTTGTTACTTTAAGGCCCCCCTGTTCCCACACCCGTGTACCATATTCTATTGAGTGACTTTGTACTTCTAGGTCTATTTCAATAAGCAATGAATCCGAGAACGGTTTGTATTTTACGAAATTACACACTAATCTAAACCATAGTGGCTACAAACTATTTACGATTGCTACAAAATGTTATTTCTAAATGTGTAAAAAATAAATGCAACTTAAACATATCTGTCTATCTGGTAATTGTGCGGGGCTTCGGGTTTAATGAATCTGAAAATGATTAGCATTTGCATAAATGCTTCGGACCGACGTCCCTGGAAATTTTATTTAAATGAAACACAAACAAATTATGCTCCATGAAAAGTTCACTTGATTTGCATATTTCTGCCTGTCGAGTGAACTTGGGGAGTCCTTTCATGGGTATTTATCAATTGGATAGACATAGGATGGATCAGGGATGAAAAGAGAAGGATATACTCATAACACTTGTCTATAGTACAAGAGGATCTTATTTTCATCAAAGTCCTCACTAACCAAGTAGTTAGAGCTACTGGCTACCTCCTCCTCTGCCATGTAGCTGGCGTAGCAACTTGTGCTGTCACTGTGCATTGCTTCCAGTTCGTTGATGTGACCAAGCCAAGTATCTAACAATAATAAACAGGCGGATCCAGGTCTTCAGACAGGAGTACTCCCAGCAGTCGAAATATTCGCGACAGGGATAGCGACAGACGAAGCCCAGCAGGAGCAGGACGAGTTCCTGGATCCAGGCCATCAAGTAACATGCCAATGCCAATGGCAATGGGGCGGGGTGGCACATACATACATATTTATTATGTCGCAAGTCCTTCTCCCTTACTGCCTATATGAGCAACGTGAGCTTCCTTTGATTAACATCTTTATCAATATTTTCTTATTATTTGCTCATTTCTTCATTTCAGCAGCAGGAGCGAACTTTTCAATGAAGGACCTCCCCACAAAGACGCTGGCAACTGACAGCAAAAAAAATAAACAAATCATTTGCATCTCATTAATGCAAATCACACGCACACACATACATATATAGATGATGGGTCCTGGGATCCTGGATCGCCCATCTTCGCGTGTGGGAGTGTTTTAAAAGGCTTGTCAAGAACAAAAACCTCCCCATCACACCGCCTCACTTAAAAGGAACAGCCCCTGCGGCGGAATCCCCGGCAACTCCACCGCGGGGATGCTGTTAATCAAAAGTCAAACAAAGTGTTGCCTACTTTTCTGGGCTGCCTGCTCTGTGATTACAAGCACAACATTTTAATTGGCTCTTTATGTGTGCCCTCGCCAAACATTGCCGCTGGATAAATGAAACGGCTTAATCCAGAAACTACATATGCTCCGACATGCTCAGGATACACTTTCGTCCTGGGGGCGGAGCCAGAAGGATGTGTAATTTAAGTTCTTCCTGGCTGTCTATAATTGGCAGTTCAAAGCTGAAATCGCAGAGTACATTTTAATCTGTTTAATTAATAATAAGTATAAGGCAGCTTTTGAAATAATGATATTATCGGTTCACTGGCACTTGAATCATCGTCCTTTTCCATTTTCCTTTTGATTGCTGAACAAATCTCACTGAACTACGTGTATTCTCAAGCAATAACATTCGCACATCACGTTATAGCTACGAGCATACACGTGGCCATTGGAGATTTCAGATTGCCACTTTAATCCACTTGGCACATAACCAAGCTCTCGCACCTTCCAAGGTAATCGGATACCAAAGCGTTACGGTCTCCGCGCTTGGTCACTTTGCGGTGGATTCCATTTAATTTTCATCTACTCACCCTCGGGAGCAGTCCCGGAAGCAGGTCCTCCGTCCACCGTCCTCCACGGTGGTTTGTGTTACGCGTTTGATGCGCCTAATAATGCCGAGCCGCAGAATTAATTGCACTATAATTCGTAATTAAGTTACCGGGGGGGGCTAACACGAAACTATGCGCGCTGGAATGCCGTTGCGGAAAGGGTTTCTGCTCCGGTTAATAAAACCGAAGGTGCTCGCCGGCCAGGACTGAGTCTGCTCAAAGTTTCCAGCTCCAGAGTGTCCTGTAGAGGACGCAGGGCCACCCATACCCTTTCATAATTGTACATGTAACTACCGTTGTTTCCTCGTAATTAATTAATTACATTACACACAAACTTGCTGTCATCGGTGGTTGGTGGGTGGCTGGTTGGCTGGCTGGTTGGCTGGCTGCCTGGTTGGCGGTTGCAACGTCTGGTGGCGCAACCCACCTCTCGCACTCTGTTCCAGGCCACAAAAAGGCATCACTTTCCATAAAATTAGTTTGTTTCGCAATCATTCTTGCTGGCCCCCGAGCACCCAGCCCGCAGCCAATTATTCTGCAGTTTTGTGCGGAAAGCAAAGCCAATAAACTACTTTAGAAAGTTTTAAGCGAAAAATGCAAAATGTTGATAGAATTAAGTCCCTAAACTTTGCAATAAATATACTTTGTCAGGTGACCGGTGAAGGTTAGCCAATAAAGACGGTGTTCGCCATTTAAGTCTAATATTACACATTTTTTTCCAGCATTAATTGCGAGTTGGAAAAATAAGAGAGCTCAGACGAGAGGAAAAAAACGAGAAAAATCAACAAATATCAAATTTGTTCTTCTGCCATGGCCGTGGGGCAATTGGTTCTGTGATGTTGCTGCTGTGTCTTCGTGTTGCTCCTTGTTGTCCTGTTGCTGCTGCTGGTGGTGCTCCTACCCACACACATACACACACAGACAGAGAGATACAGGACATAGCCACAGCAACAGACGGAAAATAAATCGCGCATAATACCGCATAGCAGAGCAACAGCACGAAGTATTTGCACTGCGTGACAAACAATTTGTGCCAACATTGACAGCGGAGCATCCACTTCCGCCTGGCTCTTAGCCCCACAACTACTGCACCAGACTCCTCCTGTATCCTGGATCCAGTATCCCGACTTCTTATTCCCCCCCGGCCTCGTTATTGTCCTGCTGTTGGTGTATAAATAAAAATATTTTTATTGCGTGGCCGGCTTGGGTGTTTTAATTGAAAAATCATTCGCAGAACTCAATTAGCAACAGTCGGAAGGACATCGGGCAGCTACCACATTTGATTTCAAATCAAATTATGAACCGGACACGTCATTAGAATACCACAGAATGTCCCCGCCATCAGCTATGCAGAATCCACGCAGCCCGGGGTAATCAGGTTCGATCCAAGGACCTCCTCCCCTCCAAGGGGTGGAATCCGGCAGCGCATACATCCCGCAGCTAATGTGACACATGATTTCATTCAAAATTTATTTATGCAAACAAAAATGCTGCCGCAACAATAACAGCGCCGCCAATTCCCCATAACAAAAACAGAAAAACACAGAAAGGCATCCTCCAATATGCCAATAGACGGGATGCCAATAGAAATTGTTGCAAAAGTAAACAAAGTATGCAAAAAAGGGAAAGAAAGAAAGGAACTTTGATTTTGTTTGGTTGGGATCCGGGTCGGACCTGGCCGGACCGTACAGTAGGGCCTCCTGCCTCCAGGATTTGAAGTGAATTTTTGATCATTTCTTAAAATATTTACCCGTCGCGTCGATAGTTCCGCCCCATGATGGCCAATAAAGAAGTTGTCGCTGAGTGCTCCCAGGATATAAAGGATATGGGCAATGAGAATGGCAACGGGAATCGACATTTTAATGGCAAATTGCAATCACAGCCACAGACACTAAAGGGGATTAAGTTTAAAGCTTTGTCTGCCACTGTCTGGGGGTGTTGTTAATTAAAACTCCATTCACTGCTGCCCCCAGGACCTGCTCCTGATACTCTTGCTGAGGTGAGCACTCTTCGTCCTTGTTTATACTATATGATATATATTTTTTCATCAGAAGGGCATGCAGACTCCGAGTCTCCGGAGTAGTAGTGTCTGCTTGTCTTACTAGTTTTTTCTGACCTTTTTTTTTGGGAGGATAACTACGTGGAAGAATAAACAGCAACAGCAGTGGGGAGTAAATGAATAATTTGTTGACACTTTCAACCCACTCAATCAAGAGTTTTTTTCAGTTTCAGGACCCACTCATTTTTTATTTTTACCCGGCCCGGAAACAAGTGCAAGCAAATGAACCTGCTCCTGCCAGTCTTCTCTGGAAGGAAGGAGCTCGTCTTTGTTTAATTAGTTGCCACCATAAGTAGACGTGGTCTGGTGGGGATGTGTTTGGAAAAGGATTCAGCTTGTTAGTCGTTGGCCTGAGAGGCAAGCTCCGGATCTCAATGTCCTCAGAGGACGTCCCCCACCCCGCACTCCACATTATTACGCTTCAATACGTAAATATAATTGATGTTTTAAAAAAGTCTCAAAGTTACGATAAGTATGTGCCAACAATATAGAGCCGCAGGCGATATGCGACATACTTTTGTCATAAGTCCGGCAGCTGGAACATTACCCAAGACCAAGGACCGAGGACCTACCCCGAGTGCTCATGTTACGGCCCAGCACCCACCTAGCCCCCCCACCCCAGTTGTCCAACTCAAACATTAATTGGCACTTAAAGGCATTTAATGTTCGACTGGCTGAAAGCCAATGTATTTTCTTCACTTAACTGTGGATTTTTTGAAACAATTTTGATGTTTTCACATGTCATTGAAAGTTGAAAAAAAGTAACTATCGATGACTTTATAGATATTGGTGCTCGAATATGGATGTATATGTATTTATAAGCCATAATCTTTACTGGATACTTACCCGCAACGGCGTCCGCGCCCGCGGCTGCCAGCTCAGATTACTTACTTCGCATTTGGGAGGGATTAGAGTATATTAAGCATACGCAGTGTTGTCAGCGCCAAAGGTCGCTTCTGAGAAAAGACTGGAGAGATGAATACGTGATAGTTGGTGGTGGCATTTGGTTCTATATCTGTCTATCTGTGTCCTGTTTCTTAAAGTTAACTAATCTACTATCTTAGTCTTTAGTGAGAACTAACATCTCCAAGGATGCCTCCCTCTTAGTCCTCTAGACTGCCTTAAGAGACAAATATTTAAATTTGAAACCATTAAAGATAATCTCAATTCGGGGATTAGATCCGACTCCTGACTGCCTGAGCTCCAGGATCCCGGGCTTGGGCTCCCTTTGGGTCTTGTGTGCTTGCCTGTCTGTATCATAAGCCGAGAGGTAAATAATTTCCCCCTTTTTATTGCCCTGCAGTCAGCATAAAAAGTCAATAACTGGCTGCAATTTTCCTGCTACAGCTACTGCTTCGGCTCCGTCTTGAGCTCCTGCTCCTGCTTCAGCTCCATCTCCAGCTAGACACTGTTTTCTTTCCTGCTGCATATGAGCTGGCAATAAATTCTGGCTGTACCTAGAGGAGCTGCTGGCTGCACCCAGTCCTGGAGCTCCTCTGGCACATTTATTGCCTTTCCGGGCTTTCTTATTCGCCCGGCGGCTGCGCTGCTTGTTTAGCGCAATTAATGAGGCCGACGAGGCTCGGGGCTCGCATGGGTTATCAACAGGTGTTGGGTTTCAATTCCTTGTTTATGGCTTATCTGTCAGCAGCTCCACACACCTCATACCCCAACCGACAACCCCCATTCACACCCAAACCCACACCCACACACACCCTCCGGCTCAGTGTCCTCGGGCTCTGTTTTTAATTTAAACCGAAATTAAATTCGACCATAACCCATGTCAGGGACAAACGAGCCAGCGACGACTTGGCTCGGCCCCAAAGGACATTAATTAAAGTTGACGTTTAGGTGTTAGCACTGCCAGCCGGCGATATATCACAATGATCAATCACACAGACACATGCACACGAGGGACCTGCCGAGGGCAACAGGACCTTCCAGGATTCGGCTGGCCCGAGACGAGGCTGCAATTGAATTGCAGCTTGATTTTTTTGGCTTTTTGGTTCACTCTAGTTTGGCTTAGTCGCTATCTTGGCCATAAATTGAACTACCATATGGTTAGCCTCGAATATGTGGCTCACCCCCTCTGACGCGATAAGCACACTGCCAACATCAAATATTTAATACGATAAAAGCAAGCTAATAACGGGAGTGCGCTATCTACTTACCCAGCCATATGGTGGCCTCCATCTTGGCCGTCCTGGCCTCCATCAACCGCTTCAGGCTGGCGCAGCTCTACCCTCTGGACGGACAAACCAGCGGCGGGATCCACTCGTATCTGCGTTCAGAGATCCTACAGATCCTAAATTAGAGGCTCGATCTCCACCACACTTGGTTGTTTTTTTTTGTGCTTGCACCACCATTGTCTTTGTTTTGAAACTCTTGGACTTTGCAGGAGCGGAACCAGAACCGTTGCCAGTCAGACTGTGACTGTTATGAAGTTTGATAATTTATCGGGCAGCAAGTCTAGGTAGCGTTGGGGCCGCCGCTGCCGCTGGTGGCGATTCTGCTGCTGCCGCAGCTGCTGCGGCGGCTTCTGGGCCCCTGTCGAAGGTGGATCCGGGGTGAGGGTGGTTGTGGTTGTGGGTGCCACTGGCGGAGAGAGGGGGGGGGCGGTGGTATCTATAGCAACTTGGGCGCGGTGACGGTTGGCTAAAAGGGATGAAAATTGATTCAGCCTGTTGAGGCTGCTGCCTCTGTCGCTGCCTCTGCCTCTGCCTCAGTCACTGCTCTGGTTCGGCCTCTCTGCTGCTGTCGCTGCCGCCGTTGGGGATGGGATCCACAAGAGCAACCAGTTGCCAGGGCGGCACTTGACCTCCTACTGCAGGGCGACAGGCAGAGCGGAACCAGGCGCCTGCATTTGTTGCATGCCACCCACCTGTAACGCACACGCCACACTCTGGCCTGCTTGGGAAGTCGGGTGTCCTGTCGTCCTGCCGTCCTGGTGTGGATTCCATTCGGTGCTGTTATTGCCGCCATGGGGGCAGCAGGGCGCAGGCGCCGGCCTGCGCTGCCAACAAGTGAAGCAACAAGCAGCAAAGCACAGTCGGCACCTGGCAGCCAGAAAGAGAGGGAGCTGCCGGGCCGAAAGAGACAGCCTCAGCTGGTAATAATAATACGGAATACAGAGTACGGCGTACGGGCAGCTGGCGGCATTTTTATTATTTTTTGTTGCCAGTTTTTCTGCTTTCTAGCTTCTTTTTCTTTCCAAGCGAGAGTCAGAGTAGGTGCTGGGAGCCGGAGTCGGAGCCGGAGCCAGCGCCAGAGCTGGTAGATCCTGGCCATGGAGCGGTGTGGCAACTAGGAGCTTATTATTATGCTTAATTATACCCTGACCCAAGGTAGTTTAGTTTTCTAGGAGGAGAATGTATGACATTGAAGAATCTAGGTTCCATTAACTCCATCAAGGACTAAGCCAAGATCAGCGGTTGGATGCAGTCATCCCCCTTAAAGATACTTATCCCATTCATATTGATCTGTCAGGTTTTTAAGGCATTACTGAGAATCCTTAAGTTCCTCTTCATTTTTTCCGCATTTCTTTATTTTGAAAAATGCTACAGAAAACAAAAAGTTCAAGCAGAGGGGGCGGAAGCTGCTGGCATTTAATGTGCCTGCCCCTTCCCAGTGCCCTGTATCCTGTCTCTGTATAGCTTGGGACAGGACTTTCAGGTGAAGCAAGTAACAAGTATGTCTCATATGTTTGACTCTCCGCCTTTTACTTAGGCGGTCCAAAGGCAACAATGCTGACAACTACAAGGACCTCGGCCGGGATGGGCGGAAGATGGAGACAGACGGCGACAGAGTCGATGCTCAAAAGTCAATTGTTTGTGCCTGCTTTGGAGGCGAGTCTGCATAACTTTTCGAAGGACTTCACATACACAAGGACATATATATATCCAACGTCCTGTCCTCTCTCTATTCCCGACCTCCCGACCTCCAGCAATGAGTTTAGTTTGCGGCATGGAGTGGAGTCCTTTCGAAACTTGTTGCTGCCAAAGTTATCGAAGTTTGCGAAGCGACTTTAATTTGCCACAACTTGTGGCTGCAACTTGGGTTGCAAGCAGATCTGTGAAGTATAGTGGTGGCACAAGGAATTGCGGCAAAAGCAATTAGCACGAGGCAGGGGCCAGGAGGCTGAAGTGGTAAAAATGTGAAAAGTTGCGAAAAGCTAATTACCATTGATCGATTAACCTTTGGCGATCCCTAAGTTGAACAATTTGCTACTTTACACGGCGATTCGATTGGAAAGTATAATGGATATAATGGATTCCCCAATATTCCTGATATTTATGGGGCTTCTTCTCGTTCCGTATAATCCCCACAGCCATATCCAATGCTGAGAATGAGTTTCGTTCCATATTATAATCCATATTAAATTCAATTAGTGAGTTAAATACTTGTAGAAACTATAAAGACTCTAAAAATGCCTTCAAATCAGTCAAAATCAAAAAAATGAGGACACTGACTGTATCGTTTTTGTGCCTCTGCCTTGCTGGCCTGGCCTCTTCGTATCCTAATGAAGTAATCAATAGAACATAATTAAAGCTAATAGATTTCTAATTTAAACATTCTTCTTAAACAAGTATTCCGGGGCACAAAAAGAATGCGCCGCTAAGGGAGGACTCAAACCAAAGTGCTTTATGCACTGCGTCTTCGAAAAATTGGGAGTTACTCGCAATGGCAAGCTCGTCACTAGCGGCTACACCAATCTAGTCAAAGATCTGTCAGCCCGAGACCAGAAAATTATAAAGGATATAGAGACCAAGTGCATGAACATCTCAGATGACAACAAGTGCGAAATGGCCTTCAAGTTATCCCAATGCCTAAAGTCATGAGAGTTTTGTTCCCGAAAATATTTTTCTTAAATTGTGACCAGAAAAATTCAAATAAAATCAATCTGTGAAGAGACCCATGTAGTATCCGTACAAAATTCATAAAGTTTAGAGTGAATTGATTTTGGGTTGCAAGCAGATTTGTGAAGCAATTAGCACGAGGCAGGGGGCAGGAGACTGGAGTGGTAAAAATGTGAAAAGTTGCGAAAAGCTAATTACCATTGATCCCCAACATTCCTGATATTTATGGAGCTTCTTCTCGTCCTGTATAATCCCCACAGCCATATCCAATGCTGAGAATGAGTTTCGTTCCATATTAAGATCCATATTAAATGCAATTAGCAAGCTAAATATTTGTAAAAACTATAAAGACTCTAAAAATGCCTTCAAATCAGTCAAAATAAAAAAAATGAGGACACTGACTGTATCGTTTTTGTGCCTCTGCCTTGCTGGCCTGGCCTATTCGTATCCTAATGAAGTAATCAATAGAACATAATTATAGCTAATAGATTTCTAAAGATTCTTCCGCCCATAGAGTAAGAATGTCGGGATACGAAAAGAATGTGCCGCTCAGGGAGGACTCAACTATAAAAAATTGCCTCGAGTCAATACTCTCAAATCAAAGTGCTTTATGCACTGTGTCTACGAAAAAATGGGAGTTACTTCCAATGGCAAGCTCGTCTCCGGCGGCTACACCAATCTAGTCAGAGATCTGTCAGCCCAGGACCAGCAAATTATAAAGGATATAGAGACCAAGTGCATGAACATCTCAGATGACAACAAGTGCAAAATGGCCTTCAAGTTATTCCAATGCCTAAAGTCATGAGGGTTTGTTCCCGAAAATAGTTTTCTTAAATTATGGCCAGAAAAATGAAAATAAAATCAGTCTGATAAGTCTTACGTTGTAGTATCCGTAAAAAGTTCATAAAATAGAAAGCTAATTAATGTTCAACACTTTCTCATCCATAGAAGAGCTCTGCTTTATGAAAGCTATAGAATTACAGAATCTAAGGCATATATATATAGGGATCTTCAATATCAAACACCTTAACTGACTGAAGGAAACTATAATCACTGTAGCCCTAGAATCCTTACGATCTCGACCATCATCTCCTCATTTAAACACAATATCCTGCCTCCTTCTCTTAAGGACTTTGACGAGATTCGGTCGAGACGATTTTTGGCAGAATCATAATCTCCGACACAATCATAAATCAAATCCTTGGCCAGAGCCTCTGGAAGAATTAAATAAACTTGTTCAGTTGCTGGAGGAAACGCTGGAGGAAGCCCAGACAAAGCCAGCAAGGGAAAACAACAATCGGACTGCCGCACACATGGTGGATGGTGGGGTCTGTGTGTTTGGCCTACTTTTTGTGTGACGCCAGGAAGAGCCCACTCTCGCTGGCAGCCAACACCACCCCCTGGGCCAGCAGCTTGTTTATGACGCGATTCGCAGGGCAGAGGGGATTCCCCTGGCAGCCCCTGTCTGGCATTAAACACATTTACACGCCCATCTGGCAACAGCTGCTTCTTTCTGGTGCTCTCTTAAGCTGTTGCTTTGATATGCAGGCACTCGAAAAAATCGGTATCTGAAATCTAAGCTTTAATTAAAGACATGACAGTGATGGGTCACTACATGGACGGAACCCAATAGTGATGTGAGGCCACAAAGTCAAGAAGTAGGTGACAAAGTTTCGCCAGGTGTATCTAGGGGCGTGTCCCGGGAACTGTCTGATATGCAGATGGAGTTAAAATCCGAAACTGGAGCCCGGTGACTCCTGTCTAGCTGGATGCATTCCGTTTCGTTAGCCACCATTTGCATATTTTTACGGCCGCCGTGATTCGATTGCGATTGCAGCAACCAAACCGTTTTAACGGCAATGGGAAACCAGACCGGGCCGGGACCTGGAAAAAAATAACAAGGGAAATGGCAGGAAAAAAGTGGCAACAAAAAGGCAAAATGGCATCGAAGGGCACAATAAGCATATAACAATGACATGAAAGCCAAAGTGAGCACGGATCCCCAGTTCCCTGTTGCCGGAGCTGGCAGGACCGACGAAGCTGCACTTTGTGTGCCCCATTGTGATGTCGTCGTCGTCGTCGTCGTAGTCGCCGCCACAACGGACGCATAACACGAGGAAGGAAATTGTAAATGAAACGCACTTGAAATGCTGCAGGACTAAGCACTGGCAAGGACAAAGGCGGGAAGGGGCGCTGCGGAGCACGATGGCAGAAGCAGAGTTGTAGCTGGAACTGAAGCCAGAGATGGAGCTGCCCCCCGCCCAGATTGGGTTACAGCTTGTGTCCGGGCCAAAGGCGCTTGTGGGCTGCCACATATGGAGCAGGCTTTAAGTGCAATTGTATATCCTTGGCACTCGGCTTTTGCGGTATGCGTGTGCGCGACATAAATAATACAAGGGCGAGACCCAGGACCAGGACCAGGTCTAAGTCCTGGTCCTTGTATCCTTGGCAGTGTCTGTGCGAGTGTTGCGGCATCTAAGGACACCCTCACCCCCACCCACACACATGCTAGTATGATGTGTGGGCTCGGCTACCCTTTCATGTAATTATTCATGTAATTGTCATCCGAACTTCATAAGATTTCATTTAATGGGCCATATACCAAATATAAATTGGCTTTCTTGATTTATTCCATAGCCGACCCCCGCCATCCTTTTTTTGTGGCAACATCTGTCTGTGTCCTGCGAGGGTGGATGGAGAGCCACCCACCTGATTTGTCCATTTGTTGGCACGCCAGAGGAGGGGAGATCTCTCCGAAAGAGCTCACACCGCAAATCGAGTTACGTATGCAAATCCCTTTCGGCTTGCCGCACTTTTCCATTTCCACGCCATTTTCTTTTTGGCCAAACCAGAGCTGGCCAAGTCCGAGTCCGGGTCCGAGTCCTGCAATTGGGCAGTGCAACAATTGCATTACACAGTTGCTCCGCTTGATCGGACCAGTTGGTGGAATGCAATTACTTTCGGGGGATGCCCCTAGCTGGGCAGTTGTATGTCGGCACTAACAGGATTAGCAGAAGGCATTAACCATTAAGCCTGGAACAAGGACAAGCCAGGGGCTGATCAGCGGCTGTTTGTTAGAATCTAACACCGAAAATACGCTACCTCAATTGGTATAGAACTTTCTATATATTCCACATCTTATTATTATTTGAATAAAGTCATATCGCTCATCCCCCTTTTCACGGCGAGTCCTTTATGAAGAGGATATAGACCGCCTGCTGCCAAAGCAATAATCTCAATTGTCCACAATATTGTATAATGATCTCCATAGCTCCCCAACCCTCGTCCTTTTTACCATTCTTACCCCCATTTATTCATTCATTCATTCATTCGTTCAACCCTGTCAGTGTGAGGGGTGTGGAGGACTCCCTTTCGTCCTTAATTCATATTCATAAGCCAAATTGTGAAATTGTTGTACAATTAACGCTCGATTATGAGAAGGAGTAGAGTCCTTCGAGCTATAAGTATTAACAGTTCCGAGTTCGATCTAAATCTAAACTGGAGGCCAACAGCAATCACTCGACATTCGACTCAGTATACCCTTCTGACCTGACAAGGGTCCTGGCTCTCCAGGACAAGCATCCATATGGTGAGTTCTGTTCAGTCCTTCGCCGCTACTGCCGTTGGATTCTGTCTATTTTTTAATGCGGCAACAAATAAAAACAAAACTGCCAAGCCACCCCAAATGACTCTTGCTGGGACGGAGCCACCCTCTCCCCAAGGAGACTCCCCAAGGATCAGCATCGTCGCCATGGCAGAACCCCGGCACAGCACAAAGTGGCACGGGGCGGGGGGGACTAGTTGATGAGCTGGCGCCGACGAGGACGACGACGGTGACGGCGACGGCGACGGTTCGGGACAGGAACATGTCACCCACACGAGCAGACGCCAATCCGCCTCATGCCGCACAGTGGGTCACTTGGAGGTGAGCAGGCGGAGGAACTCGGAGAGTAGGAATTGGCTTTTGAGCCGGAGCTGGAGCTGGAGCTGCCACGCTGAGCGGCATGCTACGAATGCCACTGGCCTGCGGCGTTCAGCCAGCATTAACGACCCAAAACGTCCAGTAAGCCAGGACCAGGACCAGGACCTTGTACTCGAAAAAAATAGCCTTAACATTGAAACCCTTTAACTTTATGATTCAGGGTCTTATAGCAGAGCTTTAAATAATTTAAGATTCTGTTAATATTTTAGCTTCTCTCGGCCCTAATCTCCACCAATTAGTTCCAAACTATTTCTCCAAGTGTAAAACTAAAGCCACAGCCGTCACTTATCGCGAGAAATCTGTGAAGTCAGCCACAATTTTTGGCGCCAGTCTGCTCGCTTGCCAGCTGTGCGTGCGGATGCGTGAACGACAAGTCTCCAGGACATCCAGGACATCGAGGACATGCCCCAGCGAAGGGGGTGGCAAGTGTAAAATCATTTCGCCATGCTTCATTTTAATTTGCCTGCCCCGAACGTATTCAAAGCGCGTGCGGCATGCAGCCAGATCTGTGTAGCTTCAGTTTTAATTTACTTATTGTTGCTGCTTCAATGGCCAAACCTGAAACCAGGAACGTGAAACCCTCAAGTCCTGGACTTTGTCCAGTCTCAGACTCAGAGCTCCCTGTTCCATATGCCGTGGTGTGGTGTGGTGTTTGGTGGTCCCTGGGTCGGCTCCAACTTTATTAAATCCAAGTTGATCGAGCTTCCTTTGGGGCTTTGCGCTGGCTGGGTTTTCGATTTGAAAATGAGGTCACAGGCGACTGCCATATGGGAATTGTTTTCCTGTTTTTCCAAACAGCCTTTGAAGACCTGAAAGCGGGGCAGAAGAGGGGGCTGGAACGGCAATGGCAATGGCAGGAGTCATGAAGCAGCGCCTTCGTGTAGGCAACACTTTTTGACGCGTTTTGGATTTCAGCCAGAACGTAATCTGAATACGGGACGGATACGCATTATTGATGCGTTACCAGGACACGCAACTATGAGGGGGGGACTTTGCCCCGCCTTTTTGCTCCCCGAGCCGTAAGGACTCGCGCAACAAGAATCTTCCATTAGCCGCAGCAGATTGACTTTGCAGAAACCCGGGATTAGAGGCTATGCTCCCTGGCTGGCTAATGATATACTCCTGCTCCTGCTCCAGCTCCAGCTCCCTTCTCCAAAGTAAAATTATAAAGTGCGCAGCAAAGCCACTACAATTAATTTCGGGTAGCATTGCAAGATGGCACGCTATCCTCCATCCCAGTATCCCCAGCATCCTTCGTCCTAGTCTCTAGTTGATTTTTAAGCCAGCTTAAGTCGCGCTGAGCAGGCTGCAAGTGCTATGAGGCGAGGGGGTGGGGATGGAGATCGGCGGGAAAGAGTCCTGTTCGAGGACGTTGTTACCTAGCAGCTTGCACAGCATTTGCAAATTAACTTGGATTCCACACTCTCGCTTCCACACTCAAGACCCGCGACTGGAGATGCCTGACTCCAGATTGGCATGACCCTCGGAAGGGGTGGGAGGGATACTGCCTCCCTCATAGGGACGCCTCATGAGGAGGCTAGAGCGGCAGAAAGCCAAACAATTAGCCGAAGTGGCTTAGCAGCGGGCGCCTGATTGAAATTAAGTGCAATTCGAACGGCGACACGAACTGGGAGCAATAAAAGCAATTTACCTAAAGCCCCCAATATAGTGTCCGGAGAATATCCGGAATACGATTCCCCTGTTCTATTCGGGGTGCCGTCCTCTGCCCAGGACCTCTCTTCAATTGCACGGCTCTTTTGAGCTGGCCTCCTGCGTGTCCACCATACGTGTGCCTCGCCGACTGCACTGCCAGAAACCAGCCAGCTCAAAGATAGATGGTGGATCACCAAAGATGTCAGTGGTTTCTCTCAGTGTATGTTTGCTAGAAAATGATAAGAAAGGACGAGGGGGGGCGAGGGGCTTGTTTGTCTGAAACCGGCATTAGCGCAGCAGGTCGCCAATGCCGGCTATTGTGTTCCCTTCTGGGTTCACCTCTCGATTTTATATTGCCATTATTTTTTTGATGCTTTCGCCTTTGTCCTGCACCCTGCGTCCTGTGTCCAACATAATTGATTTGTGTCCCGAACGAACTCAGCAGTCGCCCGTTGTTCAGATGCAGGAAAACTTAAATATATCCATTGAAAGGTACACACGTATGTTGACACTTACAAATCATCTGGTTTGCTTTAACATCCCGAGCATTTCGGTCGATTCGTTCCTTTCGGTGTGGTATGTGTTCCGGCATTTGTCACCTTTTGAGCTTTTGGCCCGGGTTTGTTCTGTGATTAATCTCAATTTGCCGAATGCCACATCCCCAGGAACTCTCGGTTGCTTCCCAAAAAAAGTGAAAACTTGACAAACACAATCCTGGACACAATCTCTCCTGTCCTCTGATATGAGGTATTGCTTTAAGACAATGGGGCGTGGTCCCTGTGGAAGACCCATGACAAAAGCATCTCTCTAACCACAAAACTATGGAAATGTCACACATAGTCGGGTGAGTCTTTCCCTTCAGTGAAAGGAACACCATGTCCTTTGTGCCTTTTTGCAGCTGACTACTGGAGCTTATTATTTTCGCAACAAACATCTATGTAAGATTATAAGTTCATTATACGCTTTGTGTTGATTTTTGTCTGTGAGGTAACCTGAAACCTGAAAGAGGGGCCACCGAATGATTATGGCCACTGTCACTGTGGCCCACTTGGAGGCGATAATGAGCGTTATGGCAACAGCCGGAAAAAGAGGAAAAGGAGCCCAAATGAAAGCAGCTGCTCGGAAAAAGATAAATACCCCGACTCCCGATGAAACCGAATCGAGTTATGTAATGGAAATGCGTAAAAACCAGCCATTAAACATACAACCATTATTGTTAAAATATTTTTAAGTAATTAAGAGGTGGACCTCCAACCACTCTATTCGTTGCCCATCAGCTCCAAAAAACATATCCCTTTTTATGTTTGGAAAATACAACTAATCTAGTTATGCAGCGAGCATTATTTTTAAGCGCAACTATTGTTGTTTCGGCGGTTTGACTTTTTAATTACAACTCATATAAGCGTATTATGATTTGCATTTCCCGAAAACCAGAGTCCGCTCCACTTCCACTTCCGAGGGCTTCCAGGAGGGCAAAGTTTTTAAACCAAACAGTCACCATACGGCAAAAGTTTCTGTTTTTCCAGCGGGCTTTTCGATGGGGGGTGAGGGTAGGGTGGGGCGGTGTGGAGTGGCGAGTGTCCTGGGGGCGGCATTAAGACCATATAGGTATCACACCCTGGGAGCTTACGCACGTGGAGAGGTGGAGAGGAGGCTGGGACGACGGGGCGGATGTTGCTATTTACGTTTCCTAGGAAAGTCATAAAAGCGTAGCATCGAAACGAAACAAGCAAGAAATGTCGTTCGTACCCAGTCCCCGTCCCAGCCAGGCTAGAAAGCCAATCCAAACAATACAATTTGTTACCAATTAAATGACTGCATTACATAATAATAACAATAACCGTAGCAGCAGCAACAATGGCTGTCGCCATTCCGTTATACCGCCATGTGTCCTTACACAAGTAAAAATTTATGAAAATATTATAATAGAAGTGTAATATTATAAGAAAATTATCCAACTACTGGGATATTAAAACACTAATAAAGTTAGTCACTAAATAATATTAACAACTAGTTCACAGTTTAAACTTCAGACTAGTTTTTGCCTAATTCGTAGCATACTTTCTCGCTCTGTACGCACACAATCACACACATGACAGACAATCTGCCGCGGCGTCAAAGAAGCCAAGCAAATATGTCCTTTCGTGTGTGTGTGTTTGCGGAAATTTGTGTGTGTGTGCACCAGCATCCGGCGTGTATTCGTTGCCAAAGTAACAGGAATCAATAGCCTTGGCCTGGAGGAGGAGGAGGGCAGGAAACGTTGGAGGATGTCTTTATTAGGCGGCAAGGAGCAACAAGAAAAACAAATTTGTATTACTTCATTAAGGCAATGCTTTTGATTCGACTTTTTTTTCGACCACCCACTCCCACACCTCCCCGCTTCCCCGCTTGCTTTGATTCCATAATTTGTTAAGGAATTTCCATAAATTGAATTTTTACTCAAATTATATCCCTGATGGAAGCCCGCCCGCTCCGAAGGACCAATTAAAAATCAAACTTTTCACCTCGTTTCGTATTTTGTATCAAAATATATATATAAATGTTTATTAGATCCGTACATGAATGTATCCAATTCATATATGCTTTAATCAATTAATGTTTAGTTATTCCCAATAATTATTATAATTATTGTGGGTGTTTGTGAGTGTGTTTTTGTATTGTGGAGGGTGTAGAGCTCTATGCTCGCTCAATTAAAGCCAAACAAGTGGCCAATAGATTGCATTTACAGTATCATCGATAGACGCATCATATAGGGATATAGGGATGCTGTATGTCAATATTATACAGTAGGTTGCTGTTGTCTTATTTGCTCAATACATTAATTAAATGTGCAATTTACAACAATTGGATCTCGACTGCACAATTATTTCAGTATTTATTTATTTAATTTCGTATATTTTTTAGCGTGTTAGTGCAATTATAAATCAAAAATAAAACAAAAATCTGTATCTTTGGCATTTTTTATTCAAAATAAATTGATACCATTATTGTTGGTTGTTTTTTTCTGTATGGTTATTGCTGTTGCAGTATCCTGTCCTGCTTACAAAGTGTAAATAATTCAGCGCACGAGCTTAATGCAAATACATAAATTAGTTAATCGTACTTAGTTGTAATAGGTAAAGTATTTCAATTTCAACTTCTCTCTACGCTACGTAATAATCCATTGTGTATAAAATCATTGTTAATCTTAACTGGCTAGGTATTTTTAGTTCGAGTTGAAGGGAGGGATGTCGTAAGTACTCGGGTACGTCCGAACTAGCTGCCACTAAAACTAATACAGAGGGTGCGAGTCGTGTAAAACCATTTAAAACTAAGTTCTACTTTAAGTAATCAAGTTCGTATAATTATTTGTTTTGTGTGGCGGATATGGTATGTTGGTAGTGTCTGTTGTCGGTGAGTGGGAAGCACTTGTAGGCAACTAGGAAATCGTTAGCATACGACCTCAAAATGTCGTATCTATTGGCAGCTCTATTGCAGATTCTGAATGTCTCTTATGAACTAAACATAATAGAAGCTCTTGGCACGCCCCTGCCTCACTTAAAAAACACTGCTTCTGCTTAAGCAAATCGATCGGAAAGTCCCGTACAAATAATCAAAATAGGGCGCGGGACATGCCTTAATTATTTTAGCTTAACTAGTAAGAATATTTGTTGTTTAAATGCTATATTTAAATGGGCTTGTGTGTGGCTCCTCGTTTGCTTTTCAAGCCATCTAGCTTGGCCTAGTCAAATACTAATTTTGTGTTCTCGTCACTCGTGTGTGTTTGTGTTCATGGTATTCATGGTATTCATGGTATAAATCATGCTATGTTAGTCGATCTCTATAAGCTTAAACGTTTCCAGTTAATTGATTGTTTCTCGTACAAAAAATTCCATCAAAAAATCTCCTCAACTTGGCTGGCAACACTTCTCGGCTGGACTTGGCTCACCCACTCGAAAGAAACCAATTTGCACTTGAATATATACAAAAGGTTTGGCTTAGTTGCATATAACTTGTGCCGAAATCGGTTAAATACACATAAGTATGTATGCTTGTATATATATATAGATTGTGTGGTTAATACGATGCGATTGGTATTATTGTTACTTTTCTGCTCCTCCTGATCCCACTGACTTATGGTGACACATATGGCGGAGGCTTGCGGTAGGAGGGTGTGGCCGGGGACTTCCCTCGTACCTCCCGTCCGCCCACCACAACAGCCGGCGGTGGCACATACTCATCCACGTCGTTGTCACCTAAACAAGATTATAGAAATGGTTATTCTCCAAAAATTAAGAGGGAAAACTAAACCCACCATTCATATTCGAGGTATTGTAGGAGGGTGGCAGTAGAGGAGGCTTCTCGTCCTTCAGAATAACCGGACTCTTGTTGCCAATCTCTGGTTTTTCCTCGTACTCGTCCTGGAAGATTACGGGGATACCCTTAGTTCGGAAGGATTTGCGCTCCTCATCGTCGCCTGAAAAATAAACTCATTTATGACTTCGACTCTGGAGTGATCTAAATCCTGGTGGCCTACCCAGCTCCATCTTTCCGCTCTTGTGACGACGCCGGTGCAGGCAGCAGGCCACAAGGGATGCCAAGATAATCATGACCACAATGATGACGGCGGGTAGCACAATGTTGGCCAAGTACTCGTCGCTGAAAGTGGACTTCAGGCTGGGCTCATCGGGCCTTGGGTTGTAATCGGGTTGAATATCCGGAATCTCAGCATCTGTAAGAGAGAATGGATTAATATCCTTGACTTTCAACAAAGGAATCTAGTCCTTACGATGGCAGCTGCCGAACGGAACCACCGAAAAGTTGGTTAGATTCAATTCCGGGCCCAAAGCTCGCTTCACCGAATCCTTGAGGCTAAGATCGCTGTTCAGGTAGATACTCCTGGTGGCGGCCAGCTCCTTCTCCGGACAACGATTGTGCATTTTGTACAGGGTTGTGTTGTAGAAGTTGACAATCGTGCCATCCGAGTCATGGTGGGTGGTTATGGATCGGATCTGGATCTGGCTGGTGGTGGGATCTCCGTGCAACTTGGCTACGCGCTCCACAAACTTCCGCTGCAGTTCGGCGTTAAAGTTTTCGTGCCTGATGGCCAGATATGCCTTGAAGAAGGCTCCAAACTCTCGTTTGGGAGCATGGCTAACCACCACGACCAGGGCATCGTGGGCAACTAACCCACCGCTGTCCTCGGCCACCAACAGGTACTCCTCGGAGCCAATATCCCCGCTCTTGGGAACACCATAAAACTCCTCGTTTTTGGAGTCGAACTGCAGCCAGTGACGTGTGCTCAGCTCCTTGTGGTCCTTGGTTTTGAGAGTCAGAGTCAGCTGCTGGTCGTTGGCATCGTAGAAAGTGTCGGTCGGCACTTTGTAGACCAACAACTGCCCCACACTGGCGTTCACGCGATCGACCTGGTTCCGCGGCATGGGCGGCACATTCTTGGCCATGTGCTGTGTGGGCTTCACTCGCGTCAGCTCCTTCTGGCAGGAACCAATCAGCTGACCAGTAATGGATTTGATGGCCAGCAGAGGCTGAACCAAGTCACTCAGCCGCTGGGCATCCAGCCGGCCAACAAGGTCATGGAGTTCCCTTTCGGGACACTCGTTTGTTGGCAGAGTCTCGTTGAAATAGACCAAGGTAGCCGAGTAGGGATCCTGGGGAGTTTGCCGAATCTCCCGCACCACCAACGCTGAGCTGTTCGTATCGTCCAATGTCCTAGCTACGGCGTTGATCAGCTTCAACTGCCAGTTGATGTTGTGGCCGTGCTTTTCGTTGATCCTCACAGAAATACTAATCTCATGGTTGATGGTCCTCACCGCCCGGTGCTGCTGGACGCTGATCTCTACGGTTTCCGTGACACTCGCATTGCCTGAGTCGGTTGCCGAGAGTCGATACTGCCATCGGGATACGGTGTCGTCCAAGGGGCTAGAAAGGAACAGATTATCACTGACTGATGATCATAAAGCTTCAGAGAGACTTACAGTCCATAGAGTTCCCTCTTATCGGCGTTAAACTGCAACCACGAGGTTGACTTCAGCTCATGGCCATCTTTGTCGGTGAGTTCCAGCCTCAGGTTGCCCTGGTCCTCGGCATCAGAGAAAGTCTCGAGAGGCACGATGTAGGTGAAGGCCTTACCCGACGTAACAGCCAGTTTCGGGAGACGCGTCTCAATGACCGGCGGACTATTCTCCTCCTGCGGCGGTTCAACATAGTCCGTGGAGGCGAACGAGCTGCTGGATTCGGGCTGGACGGTGGTGGTAGTAGTTCCTACTGTTGGAGTGGGCAGCTGTGGGAGTAAAAAAGATAGTCAGTTACAACGTTTCAAGGGAAAGGAGTGCGCCATCACCTCATTATGGGTTAAAGTGTTACTGCTACTGCTGTTGAGGCTGTCACCAGGTTCTCCCTGCTGGGGGAATTACAAGGAAAACGTTGTCAGTGAAATGGCTAATTACCAGCAGATGTATGGCTAAGTGTCATGCTGCAAAAGTCATCGGCTAAGTAGGCAGGCAGAGTGAGGGTTAGAGTGTGTGTTAGTGTTCGTTCAACAGATACTGGAGATACAAGTGGACATGCAATTACCAAGGACCTCATGCAGGAGCTCGGATTCGGATTCGGATTCGGATACGGATTCACTAATTGCCTTCCTTAACATGCTGAGTGCATTGGGCTGGAAGTAATTTTCCCTAATTGGATTCGGGATGAACAACGAGAGCAAGTACAGAGAGTAGTTTTTGGCGGGGGGGGTAATTGGTGGTGCAGGTCTATAGCTTAAGATCTAAGTTGCGGGATTGCGATTGCGAGACCTTCACCTTAGAGCTAACAATACGGTGTGTGGTGGATTCTACATGAAAATCGATCTCGCTTTCGCTTGAAGTGGCTGCCGTGGCACTTGGAGTTGGTGTTTCCGCCGATGCTGCTCCGGCTGCGCTTGGAGTAGGTGCTGCTGTTGCTGCTGATGGGGTGCTGCCTTCACTTTCGTCGAAGGGCAGCAGGGTGCTCAGCTCGAAATCATTGTGCAGAGTGTTTGGCTGCATTTGCGATGTTTGATTGTTGATAGATATAATTAGGTGCTGTTCTTAGTCTTTAATCAAAGGGCATGGGTCGAAACTCCTCTAAGAACTAACTAGTTAACCCTCTTTGCTAGGATATATGTATGTGCTTCTAACCACCAAAAAACAAAAACCCTCTCTACACCAAAAATTATACTTAATACAAGACATGTTAAAGACCAAGTACTTGATATCACTTTTAGTATACACTTATAGTTAGTTGCTATCTAAGACTAACATATATTTTATGACAGGATCATAAATGTTTGCCTGTTCGGAGGAGTCTTTACTACTAAGAATTGCGGGGAAAGTGGGGTTATGAAGATAAACGCCACAGGAGGGCGAAGTGGGTGGGTTGGACAGATTGAAGAGTATGTTTAATATGTGACAACGAGAGACGAGACACACACAGATATAAAGACGGGGGACAGGAGACAATGGCGACAGTGGGGACAAGAGACAAGAGACAAGTGGCTAGAGATGTGGGCGCTTGCACATACCAACACAGAAGCGACATCATTACCTTTGGCGATTCTGACAATATTGTTGTTGCTGTTGTTGTTGAGATTGTTGCTGTTGTGCTTGTTAATGTTGTTGTAGTTGTTTTTAAGGATGGTTGAGTGGCCTGTGAAGATGGAGACAGAAATGCGGGGTTTGCCGGGGACAGGGATGCTGGTGAGGTGGTTATGGTGGTGGTGGTGGTGGTGGTGGGGGCATTGCCATCGAGCTCGGTGAGCATGGGTGTGGGTGTGGTCGCCGACGATTGCGATGTTTGAGGTGGAGGAGGTTCCGAAATCGCTGGCTGGGCGGATGTGGGCGACGAGGACGTGGCTACCATCGCAGAGGTGGCATCATACGGGGAGTACGGCTTGGACGCGTGCGTGGAAGTCTCGATCTCCACATCGATAGCTGCCTGATCCACTTGATTCTCCTCCGGGAACAGGACAGGCTTCACGGTTTCCGTCACTGGAGTTGCCGCCGTACTGCTGCTGAAGGTGGCAGCCTCCCCTGGGATTAGCTGCCGGAACTCCTCGTCCTCCTCATCCTCAGCATCCGCACCCAGAATGAGCAGCTCCTTGATGTTCTTCGTGTTCTCAATGGTCTTACTGATCACGGACTCCAGCTTGGAGACGCTCTCCTGGATCTCCTCCACGGATGCGACCGACGCGACCGAAACGGAATCGGGAACCTCCGACTTGGGTTAGTGGCGGATTGATGATCGTGGGGATGGCGGGTTAGTTTTTCGATTTTTTCGATAACATTTTACCACAACGAGATTGATCGATATACACAGAGAGGTCGAATGTAGAATGTCGAATGTAGAGTGAGTGGGAATGAGAAGGGAAGATAGCAAAAAGAGAAGAGAAAAAAAACGAAATACCGTTTTCTTGATTAAAGTTTTTTTTTGCAGTGTGTGTGTGTTGAGATGTGGGTGTCTTTTTGTGGGTTTCCATTTCAATGCATGTGTATGTGTATCGTGTTTTTGGCTCGAACATTATTACCAATTGCGGTTATTAACAAAAGTGCAATAATTAAAAACAAAAAGGAACAAAAGCTTCCGGTAACCAATATGGAATCTATGTATACACGGTATTCCAACGCGATCCATACAGAGACAGAGTATGAACCGTATAATGAGCCATAGTCTCATTTAAATACATATGTATGTAGTGTCAGAGATAAAGAAAACACCCAGAATAACTGAAACAAATGCCACTGTATGGGACTCGGCACTCACCGCTCCGTGATGGTGTCGATGGGCGTGTGTTGTCACAGGTGGTACTTCCGTGCTGGGTTCCCTGCAAAAAAAACATTACCCGGATTAGCCACATTACTCATCCAAAGATATACTACAAGACTTACGAAGTGTCTTCGGTATCGTCTTCGTACTCGTAGTCGTCATCCTCGTTGCCAGAGCCCTCTGATTGGCGTCTCTTGCGGTGTGATCTGGAAGGATTACTTGGTTTATTCAACCATCAGAGGATCATACTTGATCAGAGCTCCTACCGGGCCTTCAGTTCCTTTCGCCAAATGAACCACAGACCAAAGTTCTCCTCAGTCAAGGCTCCAATGGTGCCATCCTTCACTTGATGGGCAATCTGCATGGCTATCGGCTCCCCCATGGCAAAGTACCGCGAATCACAGCCGATCTGGTCAAGAGAGAGGATATTTTTCTTAAGATATGGGACTTTAAAGGACGAGAAAGTAGATCCCAACCATGAAACTGGCGCGTCCTAGACGACGATTCAGGGTTTCTATGTTTTTGTTGCCCTTTCCGCCCCTCTTGTTGGCCAACTTGTGCATGGACTTCAGCTCGTGCTTGGACACAGAGTCCAGGGATATGAATTCCTGGAAAGAACAGAGGTTTTGGTTTAAAAGAAGGATGCAGGCTTTGAGTTATCATAGAGTACCTTGGGTATGGCAAAGAACTTGGCCAGCTTGGCCTGGACATGAGCTCGCTTGGTGGCAGTTAGATCGCTCCAGTCGTGTTTCTTCAGCACCAGGGAGAGGACGATCTCGCTCTGGCTGTTGGAGCAGCCCATCAGCTCCTTGACATAGGGATCCTGCTTGTAGGCGGGCACATCCTTGGGCTCAATGACGGGCACCTGTAGAGGGGGATATATTTTTAGTTATGTTACCTAAAGCTCTCTTATCTTATCAGCTCTGGAATGTTGTCGCTGAGAATCAGATTCCAATTCCAGGAGGAGTTACTCACCTGGGAGTCGTTTACATTGAAATCGCGCTCCGCCTGCACACTGGCGCCATGAAAGGTGGCCAGCAGAAGGCATAGGGCGAGGAGCATTAGGTTTCCAGTGGCAGATAAGCTTGGTGACAGGTTCATGGCGATCGCTGTGATGTGCTTTTGAATTCCAAAGAAAAAAAATGAAACCAAAGAATGCAGCTTCGATTGCAGTGCAACGAAGGCAGTTTTGGTTTTCTGGTTCGGCTTATGGCTTGCTGCTGCTGCTGCCCGAGACTTCTCCGAGGTTCGATTTCACTTTCGATTCGATTGAAGAGAAAGAATAGAGAGGAGGGCGGTCGTAGGTCGTTTACATCATCTGGTTCGTTAGTTGGTTTCGCTCCTCAGCTGCGTCTTCACCATCTGCAAGTGGATTGGGACAAGGTCTTTAGCAAAATATGGTTTGTTTGTCTGCCCAAAGTTTGTTCACCCATAGCTGCAACTTTTCCTCCACTCGGTAATTAACATAAACAACCGATAGTGTTGTTTTTCCTGTATTTTGGGGAAAAATTAACGCTTGATTAACGTGATGCACATGATCATCTTTGGTAATTGGAAAGACACCAAAGTGAACGAGTGAAAATGGAAAGTTTTACTCAAAGGGGGCATTTAATTAAACGATAGAGATACCCGAGGGGCTGGGGGCACAATTGCAGATTAATTGGAACTTAACCTTTGTGCCCCCAACTGCCTAGTTTTTAAATCAATGCGTTGCCTTTCATCTATCGACCCGCTTAGCAAAATAATTCCCATTAATTGGTTAATCCCTCATTGAACACGCACAGCCCCTCTTATCACGGGGGTCTATTTATAGCGCTGAACCACTCCCCAAAAATTCTGTTCAATAACCATTCAACGATGGTTCGGGTTGGAGTGGGCGCTGTCGCCAGTCCCCTTTCTTCAAATTAAATGAGGCGACCATGTGTTGGACAGAAATTAGAACAGCGTTGCACAAGTTTGCAGCATTCTATTCGGGGCGAAAAGGGGTTAACGTTTGCGACTGGCCATAAACACATGCCTGGGAATGGGAGCTACACAGTCCATCGTCTGTAATCCATATCAAAGGAATTCCTTTGCAGACGCACTGCAAGGAATGCAAAAGGAGAGTTATTGAATGCCGTGGCCATAAATAATAATATATATATAGTAACTATAATTGTCTATGCATGGAAAGACGAAACCATCATTTGTTTTTCTATCGCTGCCGCTTTCCAGTTAAATTTAATTGAAGACCTCCTCGCTCCTCGCTCCTCCTGGCTCCTCGCCCCTGGGGGACCCACCACCAGTCTGGAATAGCAAATGAGAAAAGGGAGAAGGCGGTGTCCAAGTGTCAGGCGGCAATATGCCACCGATACAGACTGTGGCAGAGTGTGTGTGTCTGCCACAGAGTGCCACAGGCGTATGTGAACTTAAAATGCAGCCAAGCATGCAGGGGCCATCAGTCGTTATGCGTTATACCCGATGAACACCTCACCCCCATCATATTTCTTGCTCTTTGGCATGAATAAAAATGAGGCTCTAACCAATGAGGATTTCCACTGAAACAAACAACAAAGCATATTATTAAAACAATGATTATTTTTATATTAAAGAAGGCTCTAATATCATCGGAAATCATAGCTTTTTAAGCCAAAATGCAAAAACCCAAAGCCAAACCTTAAACTGTTCGAGTGGAGTGGCAGAGAACATAATTTAGGAGACACAGCCCAAAAACGAGTTTTTCTCTCCGGAATGCATCGGTTCAGAGACATGGGGGTGCGGACCTACCAGTTTATAGCCGGTATAGGCGGTAGGGTCGGGAGTCAGATCATAAATTGGGTTGAAACCAAGCCAAACTAATAGAGGTACAAGTTCTACAAGTATTGATCTGATGACACTGATTCCTGACATGACACCCACACACTTCAGCCTTTTAAAGTCTTCCTTAGAGGTTCAATGCCTTATTTATGGGCCTTCCTCCTATCTCCAAGCCACAGCACTCTTCTCCCCCCCTTTTGGTGGGCAATTAATTATGAAACAGCGTGGCCTCGGTTCGGTCCAGTTTAATTAGCCTTGGTTAACAAAGAAAGTGCCTCGATGTTGTTCATTCTTGGTGGCCCTACGTGACATAAAAGATGTTGATTCTGCAACGCCGGCACTTGCAAAGACATTCTTTCACTTCTGGGAGCTTGTCTCCCAAGATAGAGCCACTCTTTGTGGTCTTTCTTACTTGCAGTGACCTAGTTGTGGGGCCTTTTTAACCTGAAGTATTATCTTGGGAAGAATCGGATGCTAATTAGCCAAGATATAGACATAATTTTGGGCCTAGACTTTCCACAACTTTCCTCATCAATTAGCTTTCAATCGAGTGTCCAGCATAACTCGATGAGTTTTCTTGCGGGAATAGCCAACAACCAACTACAATTGTTCCATGGCGACTCCATTTTTCTCCGAAGAGGGAACCCCTTCGGCCGGCTTTAATTAATTTGATTCGCCGCATTGGCGCACCATGCCGCCACAGTATGGCTGGCAGTGCGGGATTGTTGTTTACAGCCAGCACTGCCCCATCGAGAAATTGTTATACATACTTTGCCCAGACACACACACGCACAATAGCCCCACAACGAATACAAAGTGTATCTATATATGTACATGACTATGTTGGCATACGTTTGACCCATAATCGCGTTGTGTCGTTTGGAAAAATGGTCGAAATTGAAAATATTCTCTGTTGCACGCATAGTCAATGAACGGGAACCCGAGAAAGGGGAGTCTCGAAGCTCTGGGCACCAAAAACAAGACTACTCCGCTGCCAAAAGCAGGCCATGTAATTACCAAAAATAGCCCCAAAAGTCTCTCGACTCTCCTCAATCATCGCCGCACATCAGCACTGAGTTTTTTGGGATCCAATGAGTTGCAATGACGAGGGAATAATGTGTGGAGCATATGCAAGGGGGAGACTGGTCCCCAACTACTTCCCCAACTTTTCTCTGCCAAAAGCATGCTTCGAAAGCAGTTGGAAATCAGCCACATGACGGGCATTAGCTGGGTTTTCCCAGATAATGCCACCAAAATCATAGATATCATAGGAGATAGCACACCCAGTCATATGGACATTAGATAAGCTAAGGCCTATTGGTAACTGGGGTACCTAATGAGGTAACGAGGTGTTACCCAAATTCCGTAATATAGCCCAGATTCGGGAGTGCTACAGATAACTTCCTTTCTATTATATTTTAGATGCAGCTGGCAATTGAGGGTAATTGGGGTATGACGGAGACGATGAGCATGACCTCATCGATGACGATGCTGATGAGCCAGCTGGAGATACGCATAATCGATGGAGGTGCAGTAAACCACAAAAACAAAGTACTTTCAGTACACTGTGCCCGAGACTCCACCGCTGAAGCAAAAATATTTTGCGTGGGGACCACGTCTGGCACTAATTCTCGATACTGGGGATACTGAGATGGGGAAGGGAAGTTGGTGGAGGGCAGGACTGTTGCCGCCATGTTGGCCAAGAAGCGTGCGGCGTTGGAGTTGAGGTAGCTGGCTGGCTGGCTGGGCTGCAGAGAGCATTGTACGGCCAAGTTGGCGATCAAATGAACTCCAAAAGAGATCCCTTGCATGCATAATGATGCTGTCTGTTCCTCACAACACCAGGCACCAGTCGGAGCACCAGCCAGAGCCAAGTAAAGCCAATTCTAAACGAAAATATAATGCAATGTCGTAAAGTCGAAAAGAAAACCTTCTCACTCTCACTCACTGGAAAGCAAACAGAACCAACAAAAATATAAAGAACGATCCAGAGAGCTGCTGGCGGGCTGGTCTGGACAGCTGCCGTCATGATGTATGTACGTACGTATATCCGGCCATCCCGGCCTGGCGTGGCCCATGTATTTTTGTACTTAAACGGGCCATGGAACCAGCCATAAGTGTGGGGCTTCTGGATAGTTTTCCGACATTCTTGCCAATATCGGTCATATAATATTATTAACAGGCCGGGCAGCTGGGCAACCTGATAGCAGGACAGTTGGCCAAACTTGACACTCCATCTGGCTGTGAACCGGAACCAAGTCCTGGCAATGAAATCTGCCAAAATCTGGAGGCGTGTCTGGAGGCATAAAAGCCAATTGACAACAAAGGGGAAGCGCCAACCAGTGCTAAACGGCAATAAAATACGCAGGACTCCACGTATGCACACACACAGACATACCTACACACTTTCGAATTAGGGGTGCGGGCGGAAGTGAAATGGAAAAGGGAAACACTCGTCCGTAGCCGTCCGTAATGCTCCCTTCTTGCGTACGCAGCATCCGCAAAAGAGTGCCAAAAAAAAAAAGAGTGGTAAGTCGGGAGGGGATTTACTACAGTGGGCTCTGGCTAAAGAGGACAGTATTGCTGATAAAGGGACTAGATGACACTGAAAGGTGAGGTCCACTGTCCTGCCTATTTGGGGTTCTAATGGGGGAGAAATGAGCAGACAGATTGAATCAGAGGAGGAAGCAGAAGTCTGACAGCTGCCGCAGACGTACCGGGTACCTGGAACCGTTTTGGGAGACTCGGGACAGTCGCCTCGAAAATCATTTGTTAAGTGCGGTGACCATAACAACCAGACCACAATTTCCCGAGTCCGTTTCCTCCAACACTTTATCATCTCAGCACCAGCCAAACAAAACAATATCCACGGGAAGAGCATGCAGCCTCCCATTCGGCCACCCCCGCCCCATGCGCCCCAGCGCCCCATCGCCCACTCGCTTCCGTGTTTCGAAATTCAATTTATGTATACTTTATGATGCCGCAGCCAGCGCAGCCGGCTCCCCGAGCTGGTCTGTCGCCGCTCTGCCGCTGGAGCGACCGTTCGTTCGGGGGGCGCCCAGTGAGGCGGAGAAATTTGTAAGTTCAGGAAAATCGATTTTCTTGTATTCTTTCGTTTTTGGACCCGGAACGGTGGAGTTGTTTGGTGTCCTGAAGGACTCCATTGCCTGGAGCTTGTAGCTGTGGCACTCACCTCTTCGCTATGCTATTCCGGACACACCAGTAAGCGAAGTAGAGTCTCCTTGGTGCACTTTCTGAGTCCCCACTGCCCCGTGCTCCTTTGACTGTAACTTGCACTTCACTTGCAGTGTTCTTTCACTTGCAGCACCTGCCCGCGCGGAGCTCTGCACCTTGGATCTCAGTTCCAATTATTAGGCACCTTTCGCGGCAACTACCGATTTCCAGGATTCATTTTTCCCCTGGTCGCGTGGCTTTTCACTTTTATGGTCGATTTTCGGATCGGTTTACGTTAGCACAAAAAACGCAGTCGGGCCGCTCGAAGTGTTGTTGCAGTGTGACCAGCAGTGGAACGGGGCGAAGCGGCTCAGCTGTTGCAGTGTTACCGTGTGGTGCGACAATACCAGATATCCAGACCGGTGTTTTTGGAGCGGCAGCCACACTGCTCCCCAAATTACTTAACATGTTCCAAGGATTGATTCAAAGGTACAATATTATATTAAAAACAAGGATTCTTGAATGAATCAATAATGTTTATCTACATTCAGGACCTGCCTGCTGGTGGCCACCACCGCGGAGACGCTCGTCGTGCGGCAGAAACACGCATTTGACCGCGCAGTGCTGATGCCCAAAGTACGGTGCCACTTCCCCAAACCGAAGGAAGTCAAAAGAATAAAAGTACACGGATGGGATGCTAGGATGTCCACGCCTGAGGGCCGCAGGGTGATAATGCGCCGTATACTCAAGGGTCGCCACGATCTAACGCATTAGCTTTTCGATAATAAATTTGGTTTTATTTAAACTTAACAAGTTATCATTAGCACGAGGTGTTTGTCTTTTTAGTTGCACAGTTTCCGAGATCCGGGCGCTCCCAGAAATGCAGGTGCGCGGTGGTAGATCTGCTGAATACTCTTGGAAGACTTTGAATCTTCTAGGTTGAAGACAAAGGGGACACTGCTACAGACGTCAGTGCCTTGGTTTTTGAAATATCCCTGAGGCAAGGTCAATTCACCGCCGAGAATCAGGCAATCCACAAAAGTCAGTCGGGCTAGAGGCATGGCGGGCACTAGATACAGCTTTCCATTTTCGTAATCAATGGCACGAACCACACCTGGAAGGATTTACATAATGAGTTAATTACTTTCACTACAAAAACTTAACAAATAGCTCACCTATTCCCAGGCACTCTGGAGGGCCTTCGTCTTGGCGGCAAAGGTAAACCACATTGGCCTCCATACCCTGGATAAGTTCCTCTCGTGTGTACTCCTCACTGGTCAGATGCTGGAATTTAAGAAGCTCCAGAGAAACTGCCACTGGTTGCAAATCTGTTAGGGTTTTAGCGTTTCCCCTCAAGCACGAACTGAGGCGGGCCAACAGATTAGAATAACGTAAATCCTTGGCGCTCATGCTCCAAGCTCCTCTGTCCTTTAAGGGAACTGCACTCGCCAGCTTGTGCAGTGTGTATTTTGGAATCTCCTTGACTACAAATTCATCCGATGTGTAAACAATGGGTGTGCTCTTGGTCAGCGTGCTCCACTCGAGTGGGGAATCAAAATTGTTGATGGCCGTGGAACTCTCAATCTGCACCAAATCAGTGGGACAAAAACGGTCGGCCAAGAGGGCTACCAGCTCTGTGCCGAACCCCTTGTTGTAACCCATTGTGTTGATCAGCCAGGGCAGGTTTTGATACTTGGCGTCTTTCTGGATGTGCCGGGCCAACTGAGTAACTGCCTTGGCATACTGTTCCGCACACATAACGACGTTTACGTGGCCGACGGCATACGCGCGATCAGGCTGCTTGTTCAAGAAAAATCCGGGTCCAAGAAATGGTTCCTCAATAAGGGTACAAGACACTGTCTGTGCCACAAACAATTCCGGTTGGCCTATATCCAAATCGATAAGCAGTAGCTTCGGAAACTGCCCCAAGCTCCTGTTGACTAGGTATCGCAATAGGCTGGACTTTCCAACACCCTTTCCTCCGACAAACATCATTCGACTATTAGCTTGCAGTCTTAATTTATTCCATACTTGTGGAACCTGCATGGTACGCTGATTATCGGAGGACTGAACGAGGCAGTGCAGCAAAGACTCGGTAAGGTGGAGCGGACGATGGGATGTGTTCACTTGTGGAAACACATTTTGGGACATGTGCTTTTCAAAGCCATCCACTAGTCTTTGGGAGGCGGTGTTTCTTTGTAGGAGAACAATAGCATCTGTTTGACTTTCAAAATTGGCCTGAATTCTTTTCAACTGGGCGCGAGTAAAATTCAGATTGAGCTTCTCCCAGTCGATTTTATCCTTGCCAGGTCTTTTTGATTTCTTGGGTGAAACGCACACCCAACTGACGCCCTTTGGAGAGTAAATGGTCAGAGACTCCTGACAACGCGGTTTGTATCCATTCACTGTGATTTGGCCACCCAAGAGGGTAAGTATCACCGTGCCGTAGAACTCCAAATCTTCCTTGATCACCGCCAGAACATGGTTGGTCTTTAGGCTGTTTTCAAATACACTGAGCTCGGATAGGCTGGCTTCCGGATTTCTATAAAATGGAACATTGTTATCCGATGTAACGGGAGTATCCTGTGTATTATCAACATCCTCTTGCTCAGCTTTGTCATCTTCTGATTCGACTGCGTCTTCCTGCTCTTCTGTTTTGCTTTCTGGCGGTTCAGCTACTGGATCTTCCTGCGGTTGTATTTTAATTTCTGGTTCATCAGGTTTCTTTACAACCAGTGCCAATTGAAGTGAATCGTCTGGATGTTCTTTACTATTTGAGTTTTTGTTTTCAATATTTTCAGTCACTTCATCATCGAATATTTCCTCTATAATAAGAGGCTCAGGTTTCAGGTGGGGTGGTAAGGATTCAATGGAGTTTTCGCTGCAGCTGTCGTCATAACTGCCAGAGTCTTCTTTCGAAGAGTCTAGTTCGAATGTGGAGTCAAGATCGCTGTTATACAAAGAAAAGTCAAAGGTTTCGCTGTCGAAGGACTCCTCGGTATAGGACTCATCACTGTCAGTTTCCATATCATCACTGCTTTCATTTTCGCTCGGCGACCAATCTTCATCCGCTGATTCTTCGAAACCATCAGCAGGGAAGTTCCCATCGAAAAGAGAAACCCTCCTTTCTTCCCTTCCATCAGACGCATCTTCATCGTCCGATTCTTCAGTCCAACCATCAGCATGTGAGTTCCCCTCGAAAAAAGAATCATCGCTTTCTTCCAAAGACCCATCTTCATCATCCGATTCTTCAGTACAACCATCGGAGAGTAGGGACTCCTCGAAAACAGAAATCTTCTTCACAATTCCTGAAGAATTGGGTTTCAATTTGTGAGCGTTGACCACTTCATAATCCTGAAATGGTGCTGGCAAGTTAATCTTTATCCCTTTATTACGCTTAGACGCTTTGAAAATTTTCGGGGCTCTAAATAAATCACCAATCCCATCACCAGAGTCATCTTGGAACAAATCTGCATAAAATTAACAATTTTAATGACAAAAAAATAAACTTTTAAATAAATGCAATGCTTACCTGTAAGGTCATAGTTCCCATTCATAACTTCTTCGTCCTGATCGTCTTCCTCAGATCCGCCAAATCCATTGCCTGCAAAAGCGATTTGGACTACCTTCCCAGGTTTTGCTGGAGCCGACGCTCCTTGTCGTCCATTTATGGAACTTTTTGGGACGGAAACTGGGCCTTTTCCATTTATTCTTTTCTCAGACTTTTTATTTTTTAGTGGAGCTTTACCTAAAAACAAAAGCTTGATTGGCGAGTGCTTAAAAAAACACGATGGTGTTACCTTTAGTCGTCGGCGCAACCTTTTTCTTTTTTTTCTTTGGACCACCAGATTCATCTTTAGATGAGTCCAATGGCCTTTTTTTGGTCTTGTTCTTGGGAGTTGGCTGGGATTTCTTCTCCTGTTTGGTAGGACCCTTTGGCAGAGTCTGGGCCGATTGCGCCTTCACTATAGGCTTGTTGACTTCAGCAGATATGGGAGCCGGAGCACCTTTAGACTTTTGTTTTTTTTTCTTTTTATAAGGAGATTGGTTTTGCTGCTTGGCACCATCCTTCGGTACGATCTCCTGAAGAATTTTGGTCTTTTTGGGCGCAGGACCAGCCGGACGAAGCTTAGAATCCGCTGGAATTGGTCCACCACTTTTTCCCGGTTTTTTGCGACCGGAGGCAAGATCACGCGCCTCAGTTAGTTGGAAACTCCGCTTTCCTGTCAAAGGACCCTTTGACAGAGTCTGGGCCGATTGCCCCTTGACTATGGGCTTGTTGACTTCAGCAGATATGGGAGCCGGAGCACCTTTAGACTTTTGTTTTTTTTTCTTTTTATAAGGAGGTTGGTTTTGCTGCTTGGCACCATCCTTCGGTACGATATCCTGAAGAATTTTTGGTTTTTTGGGAGCAGGACCAGCCGGACGAAGCTTAGAATCCGCTGGAATTGGTCTACCACTTTTTCCCGGTTTTTTGCGACCGGAGGCAAGTTCACGCGCTTCAGTTAGTTGGAAACTCCGCTTCATCTCTTCCAGCATGTGAGATTTTAAAATGTTTTTTGACATTGCCCCTGATTTTCCCGGCCATGCGACCGAGGGGAAGAGGAAGAAAAAAGTATGACCATTTCTCAAAACTATTAGGGGGTTTTTTTTTAAATATTTGTATCTTTTAGTTTTATCATACTTAATATTTTTATAACTAAATTATATGATAAATTAAATTAAATACATTATATTACAAAGTTATATTTGATTAAAAAGAAAACAGTATCAAACGATATAAATTTAAAGATTAATATTAAAAGATTAAAAGTTCTTACATTCTGATTTCAATAATTTGCCAGATGAATACAAAATTGACCATATTTTTAATTGTTTATACTTTTAAAGTTAAACAAATAATAAAAACAATTAACGATACTTGGTTATCGCTACAGCTGGCCACACTGTTCGATGACCGCAAACGCAGCCCTGAAGGCGTTGGTTCATCGTCATTTTGCATGGGAAAAAATCGTCGAGTTGAATTCGAATTTTTGTAATTGCATTAACTATAACGAGATAGCTAAACGATAGACGCGTAAGAATCAACAAATCTGTGCCATTTTGTAAGCAAATAAGTGTCCAGTTCGTGCTGAGTGTTGTGAAATCATCATTATTGTAAGTGCTGAAGACTGAAAGAGCTGTGAAAAAATTCCACACAGCACGCACACACGCACGCCCAGCCATCGCAAACACACACAGCCGTTTGTATACGTATATCATACATATAAACACACAGAGGCAGCGGAGCGCGAGTGGATGATGAGATGTTTTTGGAATAAAGCGGGACGAGGAGTTTTTCTCTGGAGAGGGAAGCGGCCTATGACGCGACCTGGAGTCCAAGGAAAATGCGAAAACCCAGAAAGCGACAAGCAAACAACGGACAATGGCCACTGGCCAGAAAGAAAGAACCCCCACACTTTTTACTATTAGATCGCCGTCCAGTCGCGACTCGCGAGTATGACTAAGTGTGCGTGTGTGTGTGTGTGTGTGTGTGTTAGCGGGAGAGGGCCACGGCAGTGGGGCGGGAGAAAGAGAGCGGGCGTGCGGCTGTATGCGTGGATGTGTGTTTGTGTGTGGCTTTTTAATTTTGATAATTTTGAACAGCTCGAGCAGTTTTCGCGAATAAATTAATCAGCACTGAACAAACGCTGCGAGAATTGCGAGAAGAGGAGGGAATAAAGGCTGCAACTATTGCAACTACTGCATCTTCTGAATTTTGCAGAATTTCCAATGACGACGATTCGCAAGAAATTGGTAATTGTCGGCGACGGTGCCTGCGGTAAAACTTGCCTTCTGATTGTCTTCAGCAAAGATCAGTTCCCCGAGGTCTATGTGCCCACTGTCTTCGAGAACTATGTGGCCGACATCGAGGTGGATGGTAAACAGGTGAGTTCTAAGACTGTCCCCAACACTCCCAACCCTCCCAGATACGCACTCCTTCCCCTTCTGGTAGCCCCACCCTTGCCGGCGACTCACAGAGATAATCATCCGACCTTTTTTTATGCCTGTTTTCGTATCCTATTCTTCACATTTCCTATTTATGTTTTGTTTATTGTTCTCTTGTTGGTGCCACCCTCAACCTGACCACCCCCACTCCCACCCACACCCTCACCACCCAGCCCACTTCCCTTGTAAAAAAATTGACTCACAATATCGAATGATTTACACAAACACATCCACCCAGAGACCAGAGTCGTACCAGGGAAAGCTGGAGAAAAACCCAATTTTTCCTCAGTGATCACGCTGGTTGCTCAAATTTTTGTTGGTTGTTTTAACCTAGAGAAGCCTATGGAATCCCAACTTTTGATAGCAGTGATTAAGTCACACTTCGCCACATTTCCTCACACACACACATTTACAAACTCACACATACATACATGTATGTACACTCGTAGACCCCAATCGTGTTCTTAAGAGTTAGCAGCGCCAATACCTTTGAAAGCGGCTGGCTGGCTGGCTGGCTCCCTTCCTTCCGCTCGGTTTCTTTTATTATGAATTTGTCTTATACAAGATCAGTGGCGCAGTCAGCAGTCACGGGGGGGTCAGCTGTTATCAAAGTTAATACAGACCGACATAAAGCTCAGTTAGTATTAAAGTTTTTTTTTAGTTATTTTAATATTAGATTTTCTCAGATCCTTTGAAAAGCTTAAATCCTGCACGCCACTGGACGAGTCCGTTGCGCAGATACAGTTTTGTGCGTTGCCCTGCGCCCCCCTCCCACCTCCTCCTCCCTGCTCCAGCACTCTCCCTACCTGTACTCTCTCTTGCGCGATCCCTCTCTTACTCTTTCTCTCTTTTAAGTGTAATGAGCATTCTGTATTTTTTTTTCTTTTTTTTTTTTTGCGATTTCTGAGGGCATTAAGTCATGATTTGCCTTTGCCTGGCTGTGGCTATAGCTATGGCTATATAGCTGTCGATTTGATTTTGAAATAAACAGCAAAAACTCGAATATTGTGTGCCGCCTCTGCTGCGCAATATGGGGGGGTTTCTGTTTGGTTTCTGTATTTCTGTTTGGATAGCGTTTACATACATATGCTCGTCTGGCAGCGTTCACGTCATCCTACTTCACCCGTTCCGAAGTGATTAATTCGCTTGGTATTTCCGCCGGCGAGTTCCTTCGGCAAGCTCACTCTCCCGCCGCTATCTGCAACTCTAACTCGTTTCGCGTTTAGCCTTCCCCAAGCCTCCTACCCATGCCCCAGACCTAAGACTTGATAACAAATACATGTATATTTATTTATACTTTTCCAGGTGGAGCTGGCCCTGTGGGATACGGCCGGCCAGGAGGACTACGACAGACTACGACCGCTGAGCTACCCAGACACTGATGTAATCCTGATGTGTTTCTCAGTGGATTCCCCTGATTCATTAGAAAATATTCCTGAAAAGTGGACCCCAGAGGTGAGTAGACAAAGACTTTTCACTGTTTCAAAGGTTTAATTCTAATTTATATATAATTTTTATAGGTCAAGCACTTTTGTCCAAATGTTCCCATCATTTTGGTAGGAAATAAGAAAGATTTGCGAAATGATCCCAACACAATTCGGGTGAGTATTAAAACGACTTTTCAGCCAGTTCGAAATTTTAATATTGAATTGATATTGCAGGACCTCGCAAAGATGAAACAGGAGCCGGTGAAACCGCAAGAGGGTCGCGCCATGGCCGAGAAGATTAATGCCTTTGCCTATTTGGAGTGCTCGGCCAAGTCTAAGGAGGGTGTGAGGGATGTGTTTGAGACGGCAACTCGGGCCGCGCTGCAAGTCAAAAAGAGGAAGAAGACCAGATGCCTTTTGCTCTAAAAGAGCAAATCAACAAACATGAAAATCTTTACCACACAGCAACAACAACAGCATACACAAACTCACACATACAACCAACCAACCAACAACACAACACACCTTTTTACAACAATAACGAGCTGAACCACCACTCAACAAACAACAAAACAACAACATTGGATACATCAAGCTGCAAAAATCAACAACAAACAGCAAGAACAGCAAGTAACATTGAGAAATGAAAGATCATCGGAGGGAAGAGCAAGGAAGCAGCTCTCAAGCAGAAAGGTCAAGCGGATTCAGTAGAGTGGACCCCGGGCAGAATGTCAAATGCGGATTTGATTTTATATACAGTCTAGTGTAGTTATAAACCGAAAAGTAAACAGTAATAACTATGGCATTATTATTTGTAACCTAGGGCAGAGAGCAGATCGATCAGTCAGCCACCTGCAAGCAAATATATATCGATATATGTAAACATATTCAGAAGTTGTATCCGTTTATGTCCAGCTCCATTGGTGTGTCATTGTGATTAAGTGGTCCAGCAGGAAGTCTAGCCGGATGAGTAAATTGTAAACTGTGGGCAGGTGTATTATCAGTGGATCTAGTTAGACTTGTGCGCGGAAGGCGGAGAGAAAGCTATGAGATGCGAAAGTTATGTTCCCTTTAAATCCTATCTGAGACAGCGCTATGCAAGCAAGTGAAACTACATTACACGAAAAGAACTAAACACAAAAACAAAACGATAAATGTTTATTTAAAAAACTAAACGTAAGCCACAAATGAGATGCATTCAGTTTTCGCGTGGGAGGATGATGAAAAACAAAAATGGATCATGATGATGATGATGATTTTGATTAAAGTGAAACCAACTATTTCGAGCGCATTAAGCGGATTTTTAATATTTGTACTTTGCATTAAAACGAGTGGAAAACATAAAAAAAAAAAAAAAAACGATAGATACTACATTTCTTTTTTGTATTTTGTACCGTCAATCGTGTAATTCTCACGCAGAAGTTGAAAAACTCTAAGATGCAACAGATACAACCAAACTATATATATACTTATAAATAAACAGTAAATTTGATCTACTCTTGGTTTAAAAGATTCCTTTATTTTGGATGGGTCACTTATCATCTATCAGGGGAAAATCATAACTCCAGACTTTGGTTGGTTTTTATTTTTATTTTGTGCTTTAGTATTCCATTTTTTTTTTTACATTTAAAATGTACATAACATTATGAATCAAAATGTTACATTGAATTTCTTTCGATTATGTGATACAATCATTATTGGCATCGCTGTCAGAACCAGTCTGCCGTTTTCAAAACGACCTGAAAATATAGTTCCTTCGACATCTCTCCATGTCACTTTTTAAGCATCGCTTCATTTACATGATGGCGTGGAATAGTTCTACGCCGTTTTGGATTCTGTTGGTCGGAATATTGTTTGTGTGTGGAGGAGGATAATTACGGTAGGCCCGACCAACTGCCCCCACAGAGGGGTCTTCCAGAAGATGTCGGTTTTGTGTATGAGTTCTGATAGCTCTGATTCAGTTTAACATTGATGACAAGGAACTCATGGTAAGTATTTTTGTTATAGAACGTCGTGATGTGTAAAAGTAATTAACAGATTTTTAAACTATAATAAATAAACTTAGGTGTAAACATGGTGGTCCTTAAAAATAAACAATAAACATGTCTCAAACTTAAACAACAAATGCAATTCGGCTGCTTTGGGCTTAAATTACGCACACATTTCGCGTCGCTGTTACATATATTGTATATATTATTAATTCATTTTGGATTGGGGGTTTGAACAAAGCTCTCTGGTATTGTTATTGGTACTAGTGTTCCATCGATCGATCGATTTATAATATTAGTTTACATTAAATTCAACATTTATTCGATTAGTTAAATTTGTGTCGTGTTTTGTAAGTGTATCCTTTAATAATACGTTCCATACATAAATTTAAAATTCTCCCCACGTGGCTAATGTTTTTCCAGCAATTGCCCGCATTATTGGTCGTACGGCTGGGTTTTTAGAAACGTCGCTTTTCCATTAATCCGCCTGCCAATCGTCCGTTCAATAGGAATCAACGTTATTATTTATATTTACTACATAAACATATGTACGTGCATGGTTAATACGTATCTTTTGGATCAGTGCTTAAACGTATTTGCTCTACACATTCCCATTTTCTGGCCAACAAGTAAGTTAAATAGTTTTGTAATAACAAATAATAAATAAATATCTGATTGACCATCAATAACAACTATCTTAGATACAGCAAAAAAGTTACTCTTTTGTGTGTTTTGTGTGGCTAATATTGCACTCGAGGTTGGTCGAACCTAGTTGAGGTTCCGCCTACGCCTAAACACCAATGCAAAAATAGAGCGAATACGCCACCAGCGACTGCGATGGCGTGTATGAATCTTCTCCGAGCTGGAGTCTGTGCCCAGGGCTTTTTGCAGCTCCTTGCGCCGGATTTCGCGGACAAGTGTATAGAACGCTTCGTCGATGTAGTGCCGCAGTGCTGCCGAAGTCTCGAAAAATGGACAGCCAAACTGGTTGGCCAGATTCTTTCCCTCCTCGGTGGTGACGCGGCGCTGGGATTCCAGATCCACCTTATTGGCGATCAACACCAGTGGTATGTCCTCAGAGAGACGCACCCGGGTTATAAGTTTCCTGTATTCAGAGGCTTCCTGAGAAAGCGTTTAAAAAGCGTATAATGGTATCGTCAAAGTAGTCTTTCTTTTCGAATCCTACCTGGAAACTGTGGCGGTCAGTGACCGAGTAACAAATAATGAAACCTTCGCCGCATCGCATGTATTGGTCCCGCATGGCCGTGAACTCTACCTGGCCGGCGGTGTCGAGTATATCCAGCAATGCCGCTTCATTGTCAATGACCGCCTGTTGCTGGTACGAGTCCTCTGCCGGAAAAATTAAGGCCATGTCATTGAGGGGGTGGTGGGATATTTTTCCAGGGGAGCAACTCACCAATTGTGGGGTCGTGGTAGTCGAGGAAACTGTGGCTCACGAACTGCAAAGTGACAGCTGTTCGGCAAAACCGAGCAACGTTCGGATTTTTGGGGTGGAAGATGGTATTGGGTCGAGGGGTGGCCGCCAAAACAAAGCGTAAAAGAAATTGAGATAATTTATTGATTTTTCGCAGCCACACATACAAAGTGCGCAGTGATAGGCCGACCGACTTTATATACCCATTTTTGATTAAAAACCCTGGACCCAGACTCACCTGACTTTCCCACACCGCCGTCACCCAAGATGACGATCTTGTAGACTCTTAGACCACCACGCATATTTTGTGGTGCCACCGGAGGAATCTTAGTCAGGCCACCGCCACCGTTCTCCTTGTCCTTTGCCAGTTCTCCGCTGGGCACATGCTTGCTGGACCGCTTGAGAGCCGCGCATCCGATGGACATGTCTCCGGCCATTGCCAGGTGCTCCTTCTACCCAGCCAGGTGCGGCGGACAGTGCCGAAGCCGTTCAATTGCCGTTCACTGCGACAGGGACCACTTTGTAATCCGCTGCGCCACCGTCTTCTTGTTTCTTGTGTATTTCTTGTTTTTTGTGTATTTTCTTTTTCTTTTGGGGGTGGTTGGACACGGATGCATTGCGAATGTGATCGATAGTATCGATTTTATCGATAGTACTGCATTCGGCGCTGTCGGCACAGTGATTGTTCGCAATCTATCTGGCAACGCTAAAGATCCGATATTGCCACCCGGGCCTAGGGGCGAGTGCTGAACAGTACAAAATAACGAAGATCGCGGTCCGTGGTCCAAACCAGCGGCAAGCATCATCCTGTCCACCTTAGAGCCACAAACTTAGAGCCAAGGAGCCAAAATGTCGGGTGATGTGCAGCCGCGAAAGCGAAAGGATAAGCGCAGAAAACGAGGTGAGTCCCCTATCTAATTTCCTTCGAAAGTGAAAGTAACCGTTATCTGTGACCGTGTGACTTACCGCTATTCTTGGCCGCCGCCAGAATCGAGCAAGCATTTGTTTTCTTTTATTAGCATATTATTGGCGAGTGCATTTAAAAATAACTTTGCCCTATTATATAAAATTATACATCTCGCCCGTGGTCTGTCGCTATGCGTGTGCCGATCGTATAGATGGGGGAAAAATATACATATATGACGTGTGTGCGGATGTCGACACAAGAGCCTGCCTGAGGCACAAGGGCCATGGTATTCGGGGGTTGAATGATCCTTAAAAATCAGAGAGTGGTTCTGATTGCTCGTCTGTATGAGCAAACAAATGTTGAAGGTCTGTTATCTTGCCACCTCCCAGGGGGCGAGACGGATGGAATTCACCTCCACAAAGTCACCATGCTTCTAGAATCTACATATATCTGTCTATAATAATTCCATTGCATTTGGCCAAGACTCTTCCTGGCCATTACACCCACCAGAAAACGGGTGCTGTCGCGGCTTCATGTGAGGCCATTTATATTCTGTTGGCCAGCTGCCCAAGAGCATGACTGTCGGGTTCTTTGTTTATAATCTCACATATTTGGGCATAAACAAATCTTCTCGCTTCCTTATCGGACTGTAATGCCGGTACAACAGAGCATTATACTTATGAACCCCTATTGTAAAATGAAAAATCGCTTAAATAAAGATAAGAAGTATCTAGAATTTTCCAATATGCATAAAATAAATGAGTAAAAATTTTAAAATCATGAGAGGGAGAGAATTTTAAGATCGTATCTGTATCTGCATTATGTTACTAACTTTTTGTCTAGATGATCGCAAGTCCGAGGGCGACCTGACTGATCTGCGCCAGTCCAGTTTTCAAGGTAGCCTAATTTAAATGTATGAACCCCAGCCAGTCTCCCTAGTCCTCCCCTCTGCTGCACGAATATTCTAAACTTTTTTCATGTACTGTATTTTAATTTAAATACCCGCTCAGTTACTAAAATCACTCTGTCTGTCTGAAGGTGCATTTAATTAAAAGGCATTGCATTCACATGTCACTATTATTTCGTTCTCATGCAATTGCATTCTCCGCTCCGGCCGCTGGAACTCAGATGACGACGAATCGTCCCACGGCGTTCACATTACAAAGATGGGAAACGATGACGTCCATCTGCACGTGCACCACGATCATGGCACTGGCGGCCACTGGTGTGCCAAAATCATATTCTTCTCGTTGATGGCTGCGCTCTTGGGTCTGGTGGCCCTGATTATCATGGAGAATCGAGGGCTGGAAGATCGTAAGTATCAACATATCCATAGTGTTCGATTACTTATAAGATTGTTTTCTATATCAGTGGATACTCCCTTGTCGGAATCTCGATTTTCCAACTACTTCGATGGCTGGGTGGATGAGCATAGAGCGGAACACGAGGCCCACGATGTTCAGGAGCCATCCGGAGAAGCTCTAGACGATCATGACGAACACGATGAGCTTGAGGATCACGAAGAAGATGAGCACGAGGAAGAGGGTAGGTTTTTTTTGGGGGATTTAGTCAAAAAACTCAACTATGGGTATCCTTTCGCGATTCATTCTTAGAAGAGCCCCTCTCTGCCGAGTTAGAGGAAGATGAGGCCACTCCTGAGGAAGACGAGGAGGAAGTGGATCAGGAAGATGAGGAACCAGAGGAGGATGAGGAGGAGGAAGAGGGAGAAGAGGAAAATAATGCCGGCGAAAATATAACAGCCGAAGATGATGTGGAGGATGATGAAGCTGATGAGGAGGACGAAGAGGAGGAGGAGGAGGTGGAACCCACTGTGGAGACCACCACCGAAGCCACTGCCGAGTATGAAGAAGACGAAGACAATGTAGACGAAGGCGATGCTGATGATGAAGAAGCTCCGGAGTCTCAAGAAGCACCTCCATCGAAAGCTCCTGAAGTAAATTTTGATTCACTTGACTAGATGAGTGCCATTGCTAAGTACTTCTGTGTGTTTCAGGAAGAAGATGATGACCAACCTGAGGAAGAAGAGGAGGTAGAGAAATCTGTGGAACCCGCTGCAGCAGCGGACGATGATGAGAATGTGAGAAGATTCTGTTAATCCAGTAAATCAATTCAATTCATATTATAATACAATAGAACGACGACAACGACGAAGATAATGATGATGACGATTTTGAGTCTCTTGATCAGGATGTTCAAGATGAACCAGAGAAAGTAGTCAGCCAGAAACTGGATCAAGATGATAAGGACAACAATGAGGAGAAAGATCCCCAAGAAGAAGGATCTTCCTGGTTGGCATCACGTAAGTTGGTGGCAGAGATTGATAATTTGAACGGTTAACGAATATCCTAGAAGTATAACATTTAAGAACGGACAGACAGAAGGACAGGCTTCATCTTACAAAAAGAACGAAGAACAATGTACACTGAAAAAAAAATTGTACAAGAAAGTGCAAGCGATATATGTTTGTTTTCTGATTATACTAAATACTGACTCATTTACAGTTGCCGTCAAGTTTGGCGTTGGCGTAGCACTTGCCTTAGTTTCACGCCTTGTATTGATACGGAAAAGTCCTAATACAAGTGAGTCTTCAATGCTAAATAGAATTCTCCGCCCCACGCTCTGTATTCTTCGCTCTCTGCTCTTCAATCTCCAATCTCCATGCAAAAGCAAAAGCAAAAGCAACAGCACGTCAAATTGTAATGCTAACGATTAAAACCCAATGTGGGGAATTGGTCTTTGGATGAATCAGGCTTCCAACTAAACGCCGCTTTCCTAGCTAACTCCGATCTATCTGAAAAGAGATCTATATCTGAATGTCTCGTATTAACAGAACTAAACCCAAAAACAGGCATCTTATTTTGCACTTTCTTCACTTTAGCTTATTTTGATTGTTCATTTTTGATTTTTTTTTTGTGTATTCTTGATTTTAGTCACAGCTTTATTTAAATATTTTCACCCATGTATGTATGTATGTGTGTACGGATATAGTTTTATGGCTTAATGTTCTTGCTCGACATGTATACTTCCTATATCCTTGAATAATATTCGATCTGAACGCTAGCCGACGACCCGCCCGCCCCGGAGGCCGTGATGCGGCGCAGACTGACGATCGCCTCGGCCGAGGATCACATACCGGATGACGTGGAGGAGCTGCCCCTGTTGGACGATGGTTGGACGATTTGAATAATTATGTATCCAGCTCATAGCGAACTTCGGTCTGCCGAAGTTGCCTTTAGATTACTGGCCAATCCAAGTGATCTACTGGCTCCTTTAGCTTTGAGTCTTGGCCACGGGCCCAGTATTTTAATTTAAGTCGTATTTCCAAGAATATTCCGAGGAGGAAATCGTTATCGAGGAGGAGATCGAGGTGGAGATCAGCGACATTGAAGAGAACGAGGAGCCAGCCAACGACAGCGACGATAACGTGGCCTCCATGGCCAGCTATGTGCCCGAGACCTTTGAGCAACTGAGCGCCATGTACAAGGGCAAGCAGGAACCTCCCAAGGATGAGCCGGTGGAGCAGAGAGTGGAGCCTCAGCCAGCCGGGTCGAGCGATATATATGTGGAGTATGAGGATGGGGATATGGAAAATTATGAACACGATGACAGCGAGGATGACGCCGAGATCACAGACGAGGAGGACGAGATATCCGACGTGGACGACAGTGATCTGATGAGCCGGCTGGATGCCAAGTACGGTCGCCTGCCCTCAAAGGAGTACGAGAGCGACCCCGACTCGGACGATCCCAGCTGGACACGTAATTTCTAAACTCAGCCATCGAATCCATCCTCATCCGACACACACTTTCGATTGATCACTTATGTTAGAGCTACTTTAAGACACGTACACTCAGATCGTAACACCTGACCCTAACCAGTAAGTGTTAACGTACCAAGTAGCCCTTAAATGGAGTTCTTCTAGGATTAACCGTTCAAAATTTCGCATTGCCATTTATCTAGAGTCGATTATAAATGTGCTAACGTAAAATTTAATCCCGAACAGAGATCAAGCCCAAAGAAGCTCCTGTCGAGAACAACGAACTATTCGAGCAGGAGCTGCGCAAGGCCAACGAGGAGATGATCCGAGAGGTGAGTTCCACTCCTTCGAGAGCCTACAATCGGGATTAATTCGCCAATATATATATCTCTAGCTCAACAATCACTAAAGAAATCACAAAAACACAACTCATTTCATAGCTTAAAGTTTATGTTTGCTTGTTTTCCAGTTTTGTCAATGGCTTAGCATCGTAAGATTTTGGGAAGATTTTAGTAGACTCTTAAGATATAACTCTAGAGATAAGAATGAAGAAAGCCCCACTTGTCGGGAAGTTAGTCCCCATAGAGTTCCTCGAACAAAGACACACCCAAAATTGGAGGAGCCCTTAGGCCTCCTAACTTGCCGACAACTGGGCTTCGTTTCGATTGCAAGAATGGACTTTTTTTACTAATTGCATGTTCCTTGTCATTTTGTAACCCTTCTTCGTTTTTGGCTAATGAACCGCTCACTAATATGCACCACACCCAAGAACTACGCCCAAGCCCTGCGTTCCTTTAACATGCTCACCCTCCGCTACGCCGACGAGCCACTGGCCCACCTGGGCAAAGCCAAGGTCCTGGCGCATCTGGCCGAGCTACAGCAAAGCAACCAGCGTCTATGGGAAGCCATCGATGCCTACAAGCGGTACCTGGCCTTTGAGGATCTGATTGTCAGTGATGCGGAGTTTATAGCTGCTGGCGAGAGCTGCATTAAGCATTTGAGATTCTTGGGTGAGTATACTTTTATTAGGACATTACCATATTCATAAATAGTTTAATTACAAAAGATTTAATGATTTCAACCCACTCTCAGGTAACCACCACCAGGCCGTTAACATCCACGAGATCCTCATCGAGCGTTTGCCTAGAAATCCCCATTTGCGCAACCAACTATCGCTAACCTATCTCATGGCCAACAAGTAGGTGAGACAGGTGACCTTATTCCTTCCGAATCGCCAATACATCCGACTCCTTCTATGCAGCATTCGCCAGGTGGAGAAGGTCTCATTCAATACCCTTAAGATCGCGCCGGATGATCCAATGGCCCAGCTTCACTATGGTCTGGTTCTCAAGCAACTGCATGGAGACTATCCCCAGGCGCTGCCATTTCTCAAGTACGCCGTGGAATCCGAGGCGGAAGGCACCCAGGAGGCTTTTTTTTACTTGGCGCTCGGGGAAACCTTGCAACGCTTGTCCCGGCAGTCCGAGGCCATTCAAGTCTTCTCCAAAGGAGTGGCCAAAGGCTTCTTCACCAGTCAGTATCAGAGATCACTGTACAACGTGCCCGGCTTGAAGGCCCAACCATTTTGGGCGCCAGAGGAGACCGGCTATCAGCGGCACTTGGAGAAGTTGCAGTTTCATTGGCGCACCATTAGGGATGAGGCATTGGAAGTCATGGGCAAAACAGGGCTTTTCGCGGACGAAACGGAGCTGTTGCGGGACAAAGGTGTCTGGCAGCAGTTTGAGTTGTTCTCCCAGGGACTCCGAATGGGAGCCAATTGCCAGAAAACCCCCAAAACTTGTGCTTTAGTGCAGCAGTTCCCCGAGTCGAGTGGATGTCGACGGGGTCAGGTGAAGTTCAGTGTGATGAAGGCCAATACGCATGTGTGGCCACATTGCGGACCCACCAACTGCCGTCTAAGGGCTCACCTCACGCTAGTTGCTCCAGAGCCGGAGAAAACTGTGCTCCGTGTAGCAGAGCAGGAAAGGTATGCTTGACATTCTACCTATTATTATATTATTGTACAAATATATTGTTTCAGGACCTGGCGCGAAGGCGAGCTCTTCATCTTCGACGATAGCTTCGAGCACGAAGTCTGGCACAATGGCTCGTTGCCCCGTTTGGTGTTAATCTTGGATATGTGGCATCCGGAGCTGAGCGCTCACCAGCGCCGCAGTCTGCCGGCAATTTAAAGTATCCGGTTCCTAAGCCTGTTATTTAGAGCAATTTCCCACCCACATCTATATCGTTCATTGAATCGCCATTACTATGTTAGATTCGTGTTTATATGTATATTATTGCAACCATACCTCTTAATGGATAAGCTCGACTTGAATGCGTGTTTAGGCTAAGACACTCTATTATAGTACGTTAAGCTTTGGTGGGCGCGTCTGTACTCTAAATACACAATTAACAACCTTTAGGTTTTGAAAAGTGCTGGTATTATCTGTCAACTAAATTGGAGGGTTTGCACTAATAGAGTTATGGACTACGGAATGGGCTGCTCTCCGAGTTAATATAAAAACTGGAACCACTTTCAGAGAATTAAAAGTTTTAAAATGCTTCTTCGAGCGCTAGGAGCAGTGTTCTTGTTAGCGGTCGTTCGTGGTGATTCCCTGGACGTGTGCCTGCAGGATTTGGGATGTTTGAAGGGCACCGAAATGCCAGGATTCCAGAGCGGCAGCTTCGAGGCCTTCCTCGGCATACCCTTTGCCCAACCGCCAGTCGGAGAGCTTCGCTTCAAGGTGCTGTCTTCCAGCTAACTTACTTTTTTCATGGATTATTTCATGACTACTCTTTAGAATCCCAAACCGGCTACTGCCTGGAATGGCGTTAGGGACGCAGGCATGGCCATGGAGAGCTGTCTGCAAAGAAATTATTTTGTCGACGGCTGGCCGGTGATGGGGTCGGAGGATTGCCTCTATTTGAACGTCTACCGCCCGAAGGAAAAAACCTCTGATCTCCTGCCCGTTATGGTCTACATCCACTCTGGTGGCTTTTTCAGCGGATCAGCTCATCCCATAGCCAGTGGTCCAGAGTACCTAATGGATGCTGGAGGCGTTGTTGTGGTTACTATCGCCTATCGCCTTGGTCCTTTTGGCAAGTGCCTCCTATAATCCCAGAATAACACCTTATTTCTATGACCCATACCACCTTCCAGGTTTCCTAAGCACAGGAGATGAGCATATGCCAGGTAATTTTGGACTAAAGGATCAGCGCTTGGGACTGCAATGGGTTCAGCGTCATATAAGTAGCTTTGGTGGCAACCCGGAGATGGTTACTCTGTTCGGGCACAGCGCTGGAGGAGTTTCCACCCACCTACATATGCTAAGCCCAGGGTCCCGAGGTCTGTTTCATCGCGCCATGACCTTGACAGGCATGCTGTTTCTTCCGTCCATAAGTATTCTGAAGGATCCACTTCCGCAAACCCAGCAATTGGCCAATTTGGCCGGAATAGCGAAGGACGGAGACCTTAGCAGCAAGGATCTTGCCGAAGCACTACGCGATGTGGATGCCATGAAGCTTTTAAAGAGTGTCGATAGCCTGAAGGTGTGGGACACCCTGCCTCAGCTCAACTCCCGGCCAGTCCTAGAGCAGGAAGGCAGTCCGGATGCCTTCCTGCTGGAGGATCCACTGGCCACACACTTGTCTGGTAACATGCACCAGGTGCCTTGGGTAATAAGCTTCAATTCGCGGACTGGCGAGGGATCCATGACTCTATTGCACGCCTTTTCTGATCCAAAACGACTGGAGGAGTTCAACGAGCGCTTTCTGGAACACGTGTCCTTGGCCCTTCAGCTGCCGGAGGGCACTGCCCCGGAGGTGGTACAGGACATATTCGATGCGTATCAGTTTCAGGGGACAGGTCTGAACAACGACACTCTTCTGGCGCTGACGGAGATCTGCGGGGACTTTAATTTTTACTATCCGATGTATGAGACTCTAGTCTCATATGCAGGATATGCTGATCTCGAAAAGAATCCATTGTCTATTTATATCTTTGACTTTGAAGGATCCCGTCCCGCTACAGTGTTTGTCAGCGGAACTAGTCTGAACTATGGAGTGGGAGCAGGACATATGGAAGACGGTCTACATACGATTCGCATAAGGGCAGTGGTGGAGGACTACCCGAAGGACTCACTGGATGCCAAAGTGACCAAAAGAATGAGTGAATTGGTGACCCAGTTCGGGAAAACGGGGTAGGTTAAAGGTATGAGATCTAAGGATTTATTTTAATTTCTGACTCCAACCTAGAATTTTCCACGAGGATGCCATCTGCCAGGCATCGGATCTCAAGGACAGAAAGATGTGCAACTATTTGCTATTCAGCGGTGGTACCAGTCCAGGCACCTTCGAGGAATCTGTTCAGAATAGGCTAGACCTTACAAGATTTTCGCTATGGAAAAAGTTGTATTTATCCCATAAATAGACCCTCTATAATGGTGACCCTATTTAAAGTAATTCTCAACAGTTAAATAAAGTAGAACGGAACTCGTAATCCAACCTGGGGGAGCACTGCCATTGTGGAGATATGGCTTTTGTTCCCTTTTATGTTAAAGACTGCTCCCCTTTTTGCAATTGTCTGGCATTCGAAGGTCAATTAAATATGCAGAATGGGCGCAGAATGAGATTAAGTGCGAAATACAGAGTACAGATAAGATAGGCCTTCCGTAAGTCGCAGCCCAAGCTCAACCCCCAGCCCTGCTCCCAGGGGCAACACTTTCTACTGGCTATGGCTCTGGGTCTGGCTCTGGGTCTCAGGCGCGTGTTTCAAATTACACGGAACCAGATTTCGATTCCCACTAAGATCGAGATTGAGATCGGAAAAGGCTAGTTGCAGTTCCAGATCAATTGATATCCGCTGCGATCAAGCATACGCCGTGTGGACCCCGCTCGTGGCTGCTCTGAATAAATTTTCCACTAACGAGATCGGTCGCTTGTTTTCTCTGATCTCGGATCGTAAGAAGAGAGTTGGAGAGTCTACAGAGTAGATTCTACACCTACCTGACGAATTAGTTACAAAATAAACTCTATTTAGCGATCGTAAAGGTTGGTTAGTTTAAAAAATTCTTCGCGATTATTTTCCATTTGTTATGGATATTTAGATAGTTTATATATTTAATACCACACATCAGGTTTTTTTCTCAGTGATCGCGAGAGAGAGAAGACGGAACGCCAGGCCGGCGGAAGTTTTTCCTCTGCCGGAGTTTACGATTAAATTGAGTGCTTGACCCTCGAACGCTGGTAGATCGATTTGGACCTTCGAAGAGGCAGGTTCTTCGAGACACTTTTCCCCCCTGCTAGATCCGATCGTAAGTACTGCAGATGGGCAGCAGCTCCCATTCGTTATGGCCGACTCCAAACTAGAGTTTACATCATCCGCCAGATCCGCCCGTCAAAATAAATCTATGGAAGTCCCCAAAATACGAGCATAAATAACAGCTTGATAGGCCGATAATTAATTAGCCCGGTAATTAATTGGCTCTATTTCAGTCACCGCCAACATGAGTCAACCATGGATTTCGATGGTGGTGCTGCTGTTCTGCTACTGCGGTGGACCCACCTTCACGGCTATCACAGCGGCCTTAGAGGCCCAGACACTGGATGCGCTCACCGTTTGCCCGCCAAGTGTGGGCTGTCTGAAGGGCACAACCCTCGCTGGCTACCAAGCGGAGCGGTTCGAGGCCTTCATGGGCATTCCCTACGCCCTGCCGCCTGTCGGAGAACTGCGATTCAGTGTGGGTTCAGTCACGAGAAGTCCTCGATTGCTAACACCCACTTTTGGGCTTTCAGAACCCGAAGGCGATGCCGAAGCTGAGGGGCGTGTACAACGCCAGCTGGCCGAGGATGGACTGCATCCAAAAGAACTATCTGCTACCCACTCCCATCGTTTATGGGGAAGAAGACTGTCTATATCTGAATGTCTATCGCCCAGAGCATCCGACCAGATTCCAGTCATCCAACCTCCCAGTGATGGTCTACATTCATGGCGGTGGTTTCTTTGGCGGTTCTGCTGGACCAGGTGTCTCAGGACCCGAGTATTTCATGGACTCCGGAGAGGTAATACTGGTAACAGTGGCATATCGACTGGGACCGTTTGGTAAGTGTCTAAAATCCTCGATTTGGAAACTATTTCAGATATTTCCCCACCAGGCTTTCTGTCCACTCACGATTCTGCGATGCCCGGAAACTTTGGTCTGAAGGACCAGAATATGGCCTTGCGTTGGGTACAGCGAAATATTCGCTACTTTGGGGGTGATCCTTCGAGTGTGACTATCTTCGGACAGAGTGCCGGAGGTGTGGCGGCCCACATGCATCTACTGAGCCCTCGCTCCAGAGGACTCTTTCACCGCGTAATCAGCATGAGTGGCACGGCCAATGTGCCGTTTGCCATTACAAATGAGCCCCTAAGGCAGGCTCGTCGCCTAGCCGAGTTGGCCCATGTGAAGGATGCCCGGGAACTGAGCACTGTAAAGCTAACCCGGGCACTCCGTCGAGTAAATGCCGAAGACTTGCTGAATGCGGGCGATGGCCTCAAATACTGGGATGTCGATCACATGACCAACTTCCGTCCAGTCGTCGAGAAGGGGATTCCCGAAGGAGAGGTCTTCTTGGGTGAGCATCCAAAGGATACGTTGAAAAACGGTAAGCGGCCGGCACTGCCCTTGCTCCTCGGCACTGTGCCTGGGGAAGGAGCTGTTCGGGTGGTGAACATCAATGAGAACCATACTCTTCGCGAGAGCTTCAACTCCCGCTTCGACGAACTTCTGCAAGAGCTAATGGAGTTCCCTCCTGGACTGGACCAGCAGAGACTCAAGCAGGGAATGAAGCTTCTGGTGGGCGAGTACTTCCTGGGCCAGCACAAAGTCAACGATGAGACTGTCCAAGGTTTCATGGATGTAAGTTTCTAGGAGTCCAGTAATCTTATCTAGTTATTCTCAATCCCATCTCGCTTTCCATCAGTTAATCACGGATAGGGGCTTCAAGCAACCGCTCTACAATACCATTCGCCAGGAAGTTTCCCGTGGATCGAATCCTGTATTCCTGTACAGCTTCAACTACCGAGGTCCTCTTAGCTATGCCTCGGCGTATACCATCGCCGATGTGTCTGGAAAATACGGAGTGGTTCACTGTGATGATCTGCTTTACCTTTTCCGGAGTCCTTTACTTTTCCCAGACTTTGAACGAAACTCCACCGAAGCCCAAGTGATGAAGTCTTTTGTGGATTATTTTGTACACTTTGCAAAGTTTGGGTGAGCATAACTCTATTCAAGTTGATAAAAAAAACAACTAATTTTACCATTTTTTGAATTAGAAAACCAAGAAGTTCTGAGACTCTGACGCAGTGTACCCATGAACTGCTACAATCACGTCCAAATGGCATTTGCGATTACCAAGAATTCGTAAACTCCCCCAAGGGCTTTGAAATCCAGGTGGCCAAAGAATTTCAGATCGACAGGGTTAAGCTCTGGGCCAGTATACTGGATGAGGAGAGCAGTGGTTCCTAGTCATTATAGACAGAAAAATTATTCCTAAGATCTGTCTTTTAGGTTTCCAGACATATTAATAAATGTAGGCTACAAGAAAATAAGTTTTGATACGTAAAATAAATTCCTATACCTAATGCTTATTTATGGGCTGAAGGCTGAACTTTGCCTTTAGATTTTGATGCAGATTGATGGAGAATCAATCTACAAATCGTTTGAGGTATTCCGCTCAAGAATCGGATAATTATTGGCAAAGATATAGCCATCCCAGTGGGCCACATACTGCTCCCAAGAATTTTTCAAAATTTTAAAGAGGATCCATCAGAAAATTTGACAAAAAATCTAAAAAAATTTTTGCCTGTAGATTTTGATGCAGATTGATGGAGAATCGATCTACAAGTCCTTTGAGGTATTCCGCTCAAGAATCGGATAAGTATTGGCAAAGATATAGCCATCCCAGTGGGCCATATACTGCTCCCAAGCATTTTTTGAAATTTTAAAGGGGATCCCTCAGAAAATATGACAAAAAATCTAAAAAAATTTTTGCCTGTAGATTTTGATGCAGATTGATGGAGAATCGATCTACAAGTCCTTTGAGGTATTCCGCTCAAGAATCGGATAAGTATTGGCAAAGATATAGCCATCCCAGTGGGCCATATACTGCTCCCAAGCATTTTTTGAAATTTTAAAGGGGATCCCTCAGAAAATTTGACAAAAAATCTAAAAAAAATTTTGTCTGTAGATTTTGATGCAGATTGATGGAGAATCGATCTACAAGTCCTTTGAGGTATTCCGCTCAAGAATCGGATAAGTATTGGCAAAGATATAGCCATCCCAGTGGGCCATATACTGCTCCCAAGCATTTTTTGAAATTTTAAAGGGGATCCCTCAGAAAATTTGACAAAAAATCTAAAAAAATTTTTGCCTGTAGATTTTGATGCAGATTGATGGAGAATCGATCTACAAGTCCTTTGAGGTATTCCGCTCAAGAATCGGATAAGTATTGGCAAAGATATAGCCATCCCAGTGGGCCATATACTGGTCCCAAGAATTTTTCAAAATTTTAAAGAGGATCCATCAGAAAATTTGACAAAAAATCTAAAAAAATTTTTGCCTGTAGATTTTGATGCAGATTGATGGAGAATCGATCTACAAGTCCTTTGAGGTATTCCGCTCAAGAATCGGATAAGTATTGGCAAAGATATAGCCATCCCAGTGGGCCATATACTGCTCCCAAGCATTTTTTGAAATTTTAAAGGGGATCCCTCAGAAAATTTGACAAAAAATCTAAAAAAAATGTTGTCTGTAGATTTTGATGCAGATTAATGGAGAATCGATCTACAAGTCGTTTGAGGTATTCCGCTCAAGAATCGGATAAGTATTGGCAAAGATATAGCCATCCCAGTGGGGCACGTACTGCTCCCAAGCATTTTTCAAAATTTTAAAGGGGATTCCTCAGAAAATTTGACAAAAAATCTAAAAAAAATTTTGTCTGTAGATTTTGATGCAGATTGATGGAGAATCGATCTACAAGTCGTTTGAGGTATTCCGCTGAAGAATCGGATGATTATTGGCAAAGATATAGCCATCCAAGTGAGCCATATACTGCTCCCAAGCATTTTTCAAACTTTTAAAGGGGATCCCTCAGAAAATTAGACAAAAACTCTAAAAAAAATGTTGTCTGTAGATTTTGATGCAGATTGATGGAGAATCGATCTACAAATCATTTGAGGGATTCCGCTTAAAAATCGGATGATTCTTTGCAAAGATATGGCCAGCGATTTGGGTCATATTTCATGTTCACTTGCTTCTTTTCTAAATGATAAACCACATAGACCGAATACGTGAAACTAGTTCACCTGTCTCCTTTTGAAGTATGTAAGAGAGCAATGAACTTTACCATCAGATGGGTGTTGTGGTCATTTGCTGGCAAATTAGGTTAAAGCATGCAAGTGTCCTTTGTCAACTGGACACATTTATGTCAGCGTCGCATGCAATTCAAATCAATAATCGCAACAGAACCACCGTTCATAGAGGTCCTGCAGGACGTCATGGTCAGTTTCAATTGACAGTGCTGGGTGTAAAGTTCAATAATGGAATTGGGTACTAAAGTTGCCATTTTTCCCGTTTTCCTGGTGGGATTTATGCTCTCCATGGGCGATGGGTATTTGAAGAGTGTTCGCGTGGAGGAGATTCCGTTCGCGGGAAAACAGATTGTCAGAAGCAGTAACCGAGCCAGCGGAATCCATCTCATATCAAGTATCGAGCATCAACGCACCTTTTTACACCTTTTTCATGTGCCCTGTGAGTGACTATTGGCTTCCTTAATATTTCACAAAACTTTTAAATTCAAAATTCACAGATATCATCTGCTTTTATGCTGCCAAGGGAAAGTGGCCGTACGTCCCAGGATTCATGAAATACCGAGTGGATAATGCAGCTCGCAGTTTCTTCCACCAGAACGACAGTTTCATCAAACAGTTTTGTACCAAGTGGATCCAGGTTAAGGAGTGTTTTCGTCCCATTTTTGGTGGGTATGCCAACAGATAGACCGTTATAACCAATAATATCTGGGAAAACTTTAGACAAATCTAACACCACAAGCTCCGAGGCGGATGTGGAGACCCTGGACGCTAAGATCCAGAACCAGAATCAGAACCGCTGCGACTGCGACAAACTGATGTCCACGGAGGCACCAGTGCCGGTAGTGTACTTTGACAAAAACTACATTGGAAACGTTAGCTCTGAGACTATCATGAATACAATAGAGTTCCTCGAGAGCTTCCTGCCGCCACCTACCAAAAAACACAAACGCAAGAATCGTGTACGAGGTCGCTTGGATGAAATAGATGTTGATTAATGATTTTAAATGAAATCTAAAAATTGGCTCAATAAATTAATTCAAATTCTACCGCTATAAGCTTTTTGTGGGAATATATCGATATATCGAATATAATTTTTTTTCAAATATGTCTGTAAGCTTTTAGTAATTCTGTTTCCTAAAATTAATAAAAAATATTACCCAACTATTTATTAACTTTTTTCTTAATAAAAGTCCTTTTAAATAGTTCTAATACTATTAGAAATAGTACCGATAATAGTTATCGGTATCGCGATATAAATATTTTGGTATTTTAGTATTAATAACAATCCCAATTATCGGTATCGAAAGGGTAAGCTGGTCACACTCAACGCCAACGAAGCTCCATAAAAACTACTTTTGCCAAAACAATTGGAAAATCGAGTAGCAAAAGAGCAATACCGCTGAGCACCGCTGCGGTAGAAATTAGTGGCGTTCACATAACTTATCATCTACGTTGATGTGCCGTAGTGCCGTACACCTAACTTATTATTTACGTAGATAAAGTTGGTGCTCCAAAATACTCGACTGACGCTGCTGCCAACGAAGTTTCTTTTCGCCAAGTGTGCGTGTGCCGCGTTGCAATTTTCGTTTTGCCAAACGAGTATATTAGATACAGATCCGCGAATCTGAATTAAAAAAAAACCGGCGGGAACGAGGAGAGAACGGGTGAATGTCGCAGAAACATCAAAAGCAATCCTACCAGCCGCTACCCACTGCGGCCGCCATGGATAATCCCGCAATGAGCCAGAGCAGCAGTAGCGGCGTAAGCAGTAGGAACGGTAGCCGCGAGGATGTTGCCAACTTGGCCCCCATCGGACTGCCTGCCACATACTCATCGCAGCAGCTGATGCCTTCAGACTCAGACAGCATGGAGGAGGAGAGACATCGACTACGCCCCCCTCACCCATCGGGGGATCACATTATGCCGCACCCGGCCGTGCCCCTTAGACTGAGTGCGGTTAGGGGGTCGGAGTGGTTCGTGGTGTCGACACTCTGCTTCGTCAACCTCATCAACTATATGGACCGTTTTACGATTGCCGGTAAGTGTTCAGAACTGAAAACTGGGAACTGCGATAAGGCTTCTTCTTAAGGATCAGGGACATTGAGGCTGGGAATGAATGCCAAACAACAGCAGACTTAATCATCGAATGAGAGTTTCCCCAGAAATCTGATGTTGTTTTCAAAACTAACCATACTGATTGCGTACGCGTTTATGACTTTTCTGACTGTGGGGCATGACTAATCATTACAATTGAATCACGCGATCATATATATTCATAAACCCGAACAGACAGACCGTTTTATCGCCTGCTAATTTACTGATAAAGGGTACTGCTTCCTCGGGACATTTCCACTCTCTCTCCCGTTGGCAATCAATCAAGAGCTTCTTGTGAGCATTCCTAGCACCCGGGTGTGATAAAATAAAATAAAGATCAGGGCACCTGACGTGGGGTGATCTTGGCCCCACGATTTCTTGGTACATCGCTCTTCGTGATTACTGATCAGAGGATCCGCCCGCGTGACAATTAGCGACTCATCGTATGTTTTCGGCTTAAAAATAAACTATAGTTGATGTTGATTGGCTCGAATTCTCGTTTGTTTATGTATATTAGTGGAAATTGGAGTCTAGCTTCTTGGGTCTCTAGCATCTCGTATGCGGGCGCGTTCAATTGAATCCGGAAAACGACGACTATTTGGTCTAGAAATGGAGTGTCGGGAGTCTCGTATCACATTCCATTATACAAACGCCCCTTGTACGTTAAATGGAAACTTGTTTACTTGCGAGATTACACGGAGTAACAAGTTATGACTAAAAACGGTCACCCCATACGGGCTGTTGCTCAACCTAATCTCCATAATCATTACCAAGAGTCTATCCAAGTCGAGTATAGTCAGCATGAGGGCTATTTATAGGCCTGTGTACAGGGGAATGTTTCGAAATCCTGTGACCAAGAACTTGAGCCCAGTTATCAGTTGATTGCCTTTGGGGGGGGGCTTTGCAGATTTCAATTAGAAATCGATTTTATACTCTCCTTTATGGAGGGATGGGCCTTAAGCCTCTGATAGGAGTCACTCAGAGTATCGTACGACTTATAATCGGCAGCAGGAAGTAGCTGGGATTAGTCACTGAGTGAGGAATGAGGAATTTTGATAACAATTACAAGCAACCGTGAACCGGGTCGTGAACCGACGCCCACAATGTAAAAACTGCACCGCTGCACTGGGTGCTGATTCGAACACGTGTCGCTGCAAAACTTGTAGGGCTTTTAACAAAGTTCAGTGATTAGATTACCTTGCCAATTTCGACACAATCCCACGTTTACTGTTACGCGCTACAGGTGTCGTCCGACGTCTGACCGCCTTATACACATAATTATAATTTAAAGCGCGTCTGGCCTTTGCTGCGTCTGACCTCCAAACTTTGCTGAATTTGTCGGTTGTTGCATACGATTTCATAGCAATATACCCTTTTGGATGGGTCGGGTATATAGATCTCTATAGATCTGGTTCGATTCATTCATATTATTTCGCTGTTGTTGACAATCTGGTGCCGAACTTTGATCGGGACAAAGCTCTACTGGTTATTTTGGTCTAAATATACACATGTGGGCTAAATGCTTATATGTATTAACGTAAATTTTCTTGGCCCCCATGCAGACAAGAAACAGAATCTAAATAATTTCCTCTGCTCATTGTTTCAAAAAATCTTTTTACTTTCAATTTTTTTTGAATTTAAAACGGGGATCTATTAAGAGGTTACGCTATTTAGTACCCCGTTTCGTAATTTTCTTTCTGTGTCGCTCCTAATACATATATTTCCGTATAATTCGAATGTCTAGCTTGGGGCTTTGCATATTTTTATCGAAGATTTGGACGTCACTGGTTCTATTTTGCATTTTTGTGTCAACGCCCTCTGCGAAAGTGCAGTGGCCACATTCCGCTAGAAAAGGGGGATATCGATTAAAATATTAAGGTAGGGACTAGTGGAGATCTGGAGCTATTTTGACTGATCTGTTGGCGTCTTCGCTTTCACAATTGATTTCCACCTGGTCGGAAAAGAAAGTTTCTCTTTGGGCACAACATTCAAATGCATTCCAAGCGAAAGTCACACGCAGCCTCGGTTGTTTTTTTTGTGTTTTTTTAACCGAAAAATATCATTTTCTGGCAGATATTTGGCTTAATCATCGACTGATTTTAAAACGCTTACGCTGCACATCGCGCGATTTTCAAGGTTAACGTCACCAGATGCCAGAGACCGGCCATAAAGGGGGGGTACCACTGAGAACAGTCACTTTCGACCAAAAACCACTTTTTCATTCATTGTCTGTTTGGGTTTTGGCGGGTTCAGCAGTCCCCAGTGTTCTTCATAAATAATATGACCACTCCAGAGTGCTTGATTAAAGGGTAATTAAGCATAAAAAATGAATTATATTAGACTAAACTTCCCTAGAAAGTGTTAAAAATAAAAAAGTAATCTTTAAATCAGAAATCTCCCTCTCTCTGGGGAGAGAAGAGAGCCAATAACTGGTTCTGAGTCTCCGGTTGCCGGCTTGTTCTCGCGTGTTTGGTATGGGACCCCCCCCTGTTTTGTTGGGGAATACTTGGCTGGTAATGGGGTCTTTTGGGGTAGAGGATGTCTACGTACTGATATACTATTTTTTTTGTTTCGTACTGCCACTGTTTCTGTTTTGGGCCAAGAATGCCATAAACAATCGGAATGTCTTGCGGGGAACCAGAGATTACCCACCCGTTGGGGTGTGCCCCATGCCTCTCTCTCGCATTCTCGCTCTCTCTATCTCTGAGCGCCATGCACCCTGCATACACACACTATTATCGCGTGGCGTCCTCCAACCGTTACGTCACTTGGCAAGTCAAACAAACGCTCCGATTGGTCGAAAACATCGTACGATAAATTTCTCAAAGCGAAATGAGCAAAAAGACCCAGAAAATGGAATAATTAAAAAGCAAACGCTGATTCACTGCAGCACCAGTCTCGTCTTGTCGCGTGTCGGTTGTAACGGGGGGAGTGGGGCGGGCGACTCTCTCTTTGGGCTCTGTTTCTCTTTTGCTTTTTTCACCGTTTTTTTTTTATGGCCAACTGTTGAGCTTTTGATCACTCTCTCCGCCTGCTCCACTCTTCCTCATATGTATATACCTCCCCTCCCCCTTGCCCCTTGCTCCTAGTGGCGGCTTCTGTTTACTTTTCGGTGCTCGAGCACCTAAATAGCTGAATTTCTTATTATTTTTGTATTTTTTTTTTTTTTGTTTAGAAGCCTGAGGCCAATGTACGAAGAATAGCTCAGAACACACACTCACGGGCTTGAAGCTCAGTCTGAGCTGCAGATAGAATCGGCTATGTCGGAAGATAAACAGTTATCGGCGGAGGTCGTTTTGGCCATTAAATTGATGGCTTGCATATCCGTTAGCTAATGGTCTTTTAAATGTTTAGGAAATGGTGGGGATTGTGGGCGAAGGTGATCATATTTAATCAGAAGGTAACTGCAAGGCTTCTTTATATTTTTTAATAAAGCTTTTGATTGGAGCTTTTGTAACTGTAACTCGAGAGCTTGATAAGAGGACGCTCTTATCTCCTGTCATGGCTCCGTTTTAATAGATATTGATGGTTTAATTAATGGACATCGAGGGTACTAGGATGAGCCATATATCTGATAAGTTTTCGCAATTCATTCGCTTATAGAGTGGCAATTATAGGCACTCTCAGCCCGAGACTAGACTTACGTAAAACCCGCTAATATGCCGGATATTTAAACGATCTGTTTATTTTTTCAATTATCAACCCGATAGCTTAATAACAAACTTTTTCCATTCCCCAGGAGTGCTGACGGACGTGCGGGATGACTTCAAGATTGGAAACGACCAGGCTGGACTGCTTCAGACCGTGTTCGTCATCTCGTACATGGTCTGCGCCCCGATCTTTGGCTATCTGGGCGATCGTTACTCCCGGCCCTGGATTATGGCGGTGGGTGTGGCGTTGTGGAGCACAACGACCTTCTTGGGATCGTACATGCAGGACTTTGGATGGTTCATCACGTTCCGGGCGCTGGTGGGGATCGGAGAAGCCTCCTATAGCACCATTGCTCCGACCATCATCTCGGATCTGTTCGTCTCGGACATGCGCTCCAAGATGCTGGCGATGTTCTACTTTGCCATTCCCGTGGGATCCGGTCTGGGGTGAGTGTACAAGTGGAGTCCGACCAAAGATCAGTTCGCCGCCAGATGAGCTCTTATCACCAGCAGGTCTGGCAGCTTATCAGGCGATATGCTAATGGGGGCTAAGTTCACAGCTGAAGGCTAGAGTCTCTTCCAAATCAGTATCGCAATCTCTGAAGAAGCGTGAGAAGCATCACGAGACTCCAGCCTTCCAGCAATTGATATTGGGATTCATTTGGAATGCCGCAATTGGTGGCTTTAATTGAATTAGAGTGCTGGGTCAACTGGGGGGGTCGATTGGCACTTAGGCAGCCCCTAATTGCCGGCCAATGCAACGGGTCAACTGATCGGGATCACATAATAACAATTACTAATGGCCCGCCTCTCTCCGCCTCTTCGCAGGTACATCGTTGGCTCCAAGACAGCTCACCTGGCCAACAACTGGCGCTGGGCCTTGAGGGTCACCCCCATTCTGGGTGTCATTGCCGTGCTGCTGATATTCCTCATCAAGGACCCGCCCCGTGGTCACAGCGAGGGATCCCAGAACCTGGAGGCCACCACCTACAAACAGGACATTTGCGAGCTGTTGAAGAATCGCTCCTTCATGCTCTCCACGGCTGGCTTCACCTGCGTCGCCTTTGTGGCCGGTGCCTTGGCGTGGTGGGGTCCTTCCTTCATCTATCTAGGCATGAAGATGCAGCCGGGCAACGATGATCTGGTCCAAGACGAGTAAGTATTTGCATCCGAGAGGGAGTCCCCATTTTCACGGCGAGAGATACCCAAAGTTGGTTGCGAGATCCGTTCGTGAAAATGGGGACTGGGCCCACAACCTTATCGACCCCCTGACCTCCCCCGACCCAACGAGCTATGCGTCGTGAATCAAATCTGGATTTCCATTCGTTCCTTAAGCATCTCATATATGTTCGGCATTGTGGCCATGTTGGCCGGCTTGATCGGCGTTCCGCTGGGCTCCATACTGGCCCAACGACTACGCGGTCCGTATCCCAAGTGCGATCCGTACATCTGTGCGGCGGGACTCATCATCTCGGCGCCCATGGTCTTTGCCGCTCTGGTGATGCCCCAGAAGAGCGAGGTCTGGTGCTACTTCTTCGTGTTTGTGGCCCAGGTGGCCCTCAACCTGTGCTGGTCGATAGTCGCCGACATGCTCCTGGTAAGATGGATATTGAAGTGTTAAGCAAGCAAGCAAAGCCATCACGAAAAGCCAACAAGCTCGCCAAATTTCGAACTACTGCATAAGCCTCTGCCCTCTAGTGACCCCTGTTATGTCCTGCAAAAGGACACCTTTAACCTTTTTGGCCAAAAACTAACCAAACCTGAACTTATCACCCAGCGTTGCGTTCATCTTCGGAGTCATCACAATGATGGCGGGCCTGATCGGTGTGCCGCTGGGCTCGTTCCTATCGCAGTTCCTGAAAAAGCGCTACCCCACCGCCGATCCCATCATCTGCGCCTTCGGCCTGCTGCTGAGCGCTCCTCTGCTAACCGGGGCCTGCCTCCTGGTTAATGGCAATTCCGCGGGCACCTATGTCCTTATCTTTTTCGGGCAATTAGCTTTAAATCTAAATTGGGCAGTTGTTGCGGACATCCTGCTGGTAAGCCAAGAGATCCATGTATCTCGACGGGATCTCGACTTCCCGCTTTATGCTTTCTAAACTATCTGCACAGTATCCACAAGTACTACTATATTGTTTTGTAATTACACCCAGATATTATTAATTGAACATTAACTTTTTACTGTTATAATCAAAAATCGAACCATAATGCCTGCATCCCACATCTACTCACAGCCTCTAACCCATAAGTGTTGTCCATCGTGTGGTGGTGGTGATGTCCATCATAAAAATATATTGATATTATTGTGACCAGTAGCCAAGTATAAGCCATATATAGTAGATTACTTTACATTCGTTGATAAGCCGTCAGGTGTTGCTGATGATGCAAGATGCAATATCAACAGTGGCAGCTTTTGAATGAAAGATAACACCATCGCGGGTCAGATAATGGCCTGCAAGGTCTTCTGGTATCCGACTCTCGAGCAGACGTAATACTCTCGGCACAGGTTTCTTGGCCTGGTCTGTTCTATATTTGGCAAGACGACGTATATACACCCCGCAACATGCACTATTTTCCGCTTTTTTTTTTGTCAACGCACTTGTATTCGCTTTTTAGCCGCCTCCCCCCTCCCCCCTTGCCCCTCTTGCCATTGCAAATACCAGCAATCGGGCCAGAACCGATTATCTAACAGAAGACCCACCTTGCTTTCATGCCACCCCCACTGCTTTCATGTACAACCACCCCCCCCAGTATACTTGTTTATAACAGTAAAAAATTAATGAGTCCAACAGTTTAGACGCCAACGAATTGCCACAATTTAGAATTAAAGAAATGCCCGCCATGTAACCAGGTAGCGTTAAAACTGTTCCCGGTCAGGCCCGCCACCGTATCTGTTCCCATCGTTGGGGACACGAACCCTAGAATGTTACTGGGCTGCGGTGCCTCTTTCTTTGTTCCCCAAATTCTTAAGTGGCTCCATCTTTGGCGAGCTTTTGGCAATTTAAAATCAGTATTTTATAATTTATAGAGCACTCTCGCACACTAACTGCTTAATATTATTATTTTATTAATTATATGTGTTTTAACACTAATTTATTAGTAATTTCGCACTTTTTGGTAGTGGTGTTGCTGTTATTTTGAGCTTGGCTTTGCTTTTGAACTCTTAACCCTTATGAGACCTCTTAACTAACTTGATATTTGTGCTCCCCTCCATAGTATGTTGTTGTTCCTACACGTCGATCCACGGCTGAGGCCTTCCAGATCCTGATTTCGCATGCCCTGGGTGATGCCGGCAGTCCCTACCTGGTGGGAGCGGTAAGTTAATCCTTAAACCCTTAAAACTCAGTTTATAAAAAGATCCTCTTCCCTCGCAGATGTCTGAGGCCATCATGAAACACTTGCAGAAGAATCCCGGCGATTCTGGTTTGTCCACTGAAATGGAAAGTATGTCTCAGGTGGTAGAGACCACGACCATTACTGTTAAAGGACTAATCGAAGAAGGTGCCGCTAAACTGGCAGACACCTTGAGCTTGACCGCGGAAAAAAGAGCCGGAGAGGTAAGTACTCCCCGTCGTCGAAAGATGTTCTCAGAACTTATATCTCCCCTCCTTTCAGTTCTCGGAAGTAGTCCAGTTCGAAGGATTGCAGTATGCCCTGTTCTCCACCAGCTTTGTGGAAGTTCTGGGGGGTATTTTCTTCTTGATCACAGCCTGCTTCATCATCAAGGACAGGCAAAAGGCCTCCCAAGGTAAGGCAACCCAAATCTAGGACCCTATCTGTCCGCAATACACAAGTTCATGATCTTCATCGCCACCCGATCAAGTTAAAGCATCCATAAATTAAAAAAAAAAAAATTGTTCGCTCTTGGCAGGCGTCTGTGGATCCTCGGAGGCAGAGCGATCGTCACATGCCTTGGCCAGCGGTCAGAAGGACATAGAGTCCTTCAACTCAGACTACCTGGTCCTGTGCACTGATATCGCTCTCCGCGAACGCACGTGATAACAGCACAGTAGTCAGGTGTGGAAGTATGTGCTCAGCACATATGTATCACGTGAATGTATTTTGGCCCCAGTTTCCGGTAGGTGGAATGCTCCAAATTTTGTTGTCGTTATGCGTGCGTTCTACTAAAAATCAGATCGGCTTTAACTTTGTCCAAAGCGTCGTGCCCCCTGTTTCTATTATCGCTTTTTTTTTGTGTTTTTTAATTCCAATATAATCCTGACTTAATGATTAACTTTCTTATCGGATCTTTCAGACGCCGCGTCCCAGCAACAGCCGCCGCGACGGGAGCAGAATGTTGCCTAATACCAGCCGATCCTTGAGGTTATGCTGCGCACTCAGAGCTCCAACGATGCGCTGCAGGCTGAACATATTCTGACTGAAAACCATCTTTAGTTTAAGCTCTCACCAAGCTCATCATCAGCAGTACACCTCAGTACACCATGCCATCATAGACAATGGCGGGGAATTCTGTCGCATTCTGTTCGTCGAAGGTTCCCCTTGTGATGTTCCTATTAGGAGGGAAATATCGATCGGATTGAACGGACTGTGGTCGTCGTGGATGAAGAACCAAGCACGAACTACTTCTCCGTTTGTATAGATATATGCAAAGACACTCTCTCACATGCACCCGAGTCATAGCATTACTCCGAAACAGTAGTGATGCAACAGTAGTCGTACATATATGTATCTAGTTTTGGTATTTTAGGCTAAATCGAAATTCAGGAGGGAGCAACTGTTTTAATGCATTTGAAACTGATTCGATCAAAGTACATACATATATCAGTCGTGGGCAGTCGAATGCAGAATGTGTCAAAAGTGCCTACTATGCTAAAATTGTTCAATGCTTTTATGTATATTATGACACGACTTGTAAATATATTTAAGAATATACCGGGCCATTGGATAAGTGCATAGTTTGTAATATCGATAGTTTTCCTCTAATTTTATATATATATATTTTAATCGTAGCTTTACTTAGTTAGACCCGTAACAAATTGGAGATATGCCTGCACCCTCAAAAATTACTGAATATTACAGATTAATTATATTATAAACCAAGAAACTAAACAAATTAATTGTTAAATTGTGTTTTTATTGCCTTGTCGGAGTTCTGCTGACTGCAGATAAGAAAATTGCGTACTTGATTTGAAAAAGATAATATTTTCGTCGATTTTCGTAGCCTTATCTCTGCTATATAGCTCAAGATCTCCAACCGAGATAGCTTTAAGGAATCTGTGATTAATTCTTCTCTATACGTTCCTATTTTATTTTTGAAATTGGTAAAATTTTTTGGGAATATGGATTAAGTTTTATTCCCAGAGTTAAAACTAAATATTTATGTTTTTTAAATGGAAAAATGTGCATAACTCGGCTTGTACTTGTCAGATTCAGAAATGTTATACCTTCCCGATCTTGTATCTTTGAGTAGCATCTTTTTCGATCAAAACCTACAAACAAAAATTTTGACCCATTTTTCGAAATTTTTCAAAGGGGTAACATCACAATTTTTGGCAAAAAATGGGCCAAAATTTTATTTCTTAATTTTGTAAATATTTTAACGCAGATCGACGGAGATTAGTGTCCTGATTCATAAATGGTATTCCTTTTTGGAATCAGTTAAGGAATAGTTAAAATATTCTCTGAAAACTGTGAAAAGTTCGGATTTTTGCAAATTAAGAAATATTTAAAATGCTAATCCAATTATTTAAGTTTTTTCAAAAGAAAAAATGTGTACAGTTTGGTCAATACTAGTAGGCAGATCTAGAAAACCTTCCCGATCTCGAATTTTCGAAAACCATCGTTAACTTAGTGTGACCTTACTCGCATACCAAAACGCCCTAACTAGGATGTTTTGCGGTGAGAGCATGTTTAATCAAGAAAACTCCCTTTTCGTAAAGGATCAGGTAAGAATTTATGAAAATGAAGGGTGAGTGTTGTGTTAAGGACCCTAATTTTAAAGGTGGTGTTAGGGTCATTACAGACACACTTAATTTATCATTCCTTGTACATAATGACATTGTAATGCAGGGAAATAACCAAAATACCTAGAAAATTCTTATTTCAATAAAAAAGTCTTTAATTTTTAGCGAAATAATTTTTTTATTTTGAACTAGCACACACCGTTATATTAATATACATTTTAAAAACATAAAACCTGTGGTTAGAACCACCCTTATATTAATATACATTTTAAAAACACAAAAACCTGTTGTTAGAACCACCCTGGAAAAAATTTATTTTCTTCTGTTATTTTTGAATTTCACCATATTATGAAAATAGTTTTCAAAACCTATTTTGTTGAATTAAAAAATGAAATAAATCATATTTTTATGTAATATTCTATTATATTTCTATTTTAATTATTTTTTATACCAATAAATCATAAAGCATCTGCCAGAAATGTGTCGTTTTGAGCGATGAAAACCAATAAAAAATGTCCGAATTAATATTTTTAATTGTTAAACAATTAAATTCTGCCACTAGAAAATTGACACCAAGATGTCTGAATTATTGATAATAAGGTAGGTAGGCTGATAAGGTATTTAAAATTCAAATACATATTTCTAATTTTATATTAAAACACTGATAAGAAAGCATTTAAAAAACGTTTATTCTTCTCACAAAAGCAATTTAATCAGATTTATTTTTATAGGATTATCAAAATTCAACAATATTTTTCATATTTTAAAATGGCTGAATGATCGCTCGTAGAGAGTAATCTAGTGTTATAAGCAGTATCACGAGGTTATAGATTAGGATTAGGATAATGATTAGGATCCTAAAGCTATGTCGCAACTAAAATCTAGCTGCGTCATTAGTTAATATATATATTTATAATAGCATGGCTTCCGTTGGCAACCTAGATCCGTTTCAACTATATAGTACATATGTATAGTACGTTTTGAACAAAGATAACTCCAAGGAATATTTGTAAAGATAATAGAATAAAATTCAAAGCGAATGGATCAAGACGCTCTTTACAGAACCAATAAGTCCCATTAATTCTTTGCGATAGTCCCCACTAGGATAGCTCTATTCGAGATAATGAATATTAAATAAAGAAATATTTGGGAATAAATGTTTCTTTGATTGAAAAATTAAAAAATTTCTCAACAAAACTAATGAGTTTTAATTGATAGAGAGTTGATTGCTCACAAATTATTTTTCTCTCGACTTTTAGAAAGGGTCTTCGTTAAAGGGGCGAGACACAAACAACCAGCCCTTATCTTCTCAACTCACCCTCGCAAGGACGGGTCACTCGCGATCGTCAGGCATCCGGAGTATATAAGAAAAATACTTCTACGCTTCAATATCAGTTCGCGTCAAGTCGTCGGCGAATGCGGTTCGTGCCGTCCTGTCGAGAGTGTACATATTTCTATTTCACAATTTTCGACCTCCTAGTGAGCATTACCAGATAACGATCTTGACGGGATTTAGAAAATTTTTTGTACCCCCCGGGGAGAGTTTTCTTTTTAAGAAGAAGAGAAATTACTGAATCTTGAAGGCCAAGCGGAATATAAGGATGTACTTGCGATTACCTTCACCTCCACTGTCACCAGGCGAAGGAGCAGCTTGGACGAGTCCTTCGGCCGTCCAGGGTGCCTCGATGCCGCTGCTCAGCGACTTACTGGCCCGGAACACCCAGGATCTGAACGTTCCGCCGGGCTTTATGCTCTGCATTCCGTGCTACTTGTGCCAGCAGCCCTTTGGCGACATAGAGAGCTTCAAGGCTCACCTTACCCAGCACGCGGCGGAGATCTACGCGAGGAATACGGGGAATGCCACAAATATGCAGCCTTACATTCCACCTAACGAGTCGGCACCGCGGAGTACCCACCCGTTTCATATGCCAGTGACCTTTCCACCAACTCCATCGCCGCCAATGGGTCCGATGCCCTTGCATCCCTGTGCGATGCCGTTTCCCCTGGAGCCGCCAATGCAGGAACAGAGGCAACACCCGATGCCGCCGCTCAACCAGGTCCCTCTTCGACCGCTAGAGACGATGGTTGCGAGAGTAGTTCCAAGCATTCGACACCATCACCCTTACCCTCTCCATCTCCTTACCCGCCCTCCGCTGTGGCTGAGGCAAGGAGTCCCCAATCAGCCACTCCCCCACCAGCCACTTCCCAACCAGCCACTCCCCAATCAGCCTGTTCCCAATCTTCCTCCAGTGCCAGTGCCGATCCAGCACCCCATCCAGCACATGGTTCCAGCACCCCTGCAAGCAGAGCCGAGACAGTTACCGGAGCATCGGCCAATAGTTTCATCCGAAACTCCGGAAACTGTGGATCTTTCGGATGTGGAGATATCTGTCGACGTAGAAGAGCAAACGGACACTGTGGAGAAACCAAAATCCCCAGCTGTTCAAATATTAAAGGACTTACTGATGAAGAGATCGGGACAACCTGCATCCTCGGATCCCGCTCCGACAGGGGAATTATTGAAGAAGAGCTCGGAACAATCTGAGTCTTCCCATCCTGCCGCAACTTTGAGGCCCATTCCGACAAAGGAATTACTGAAGACGAGCTCGGGACAACCTGCATCCTCGGACCCAGGGGCAAGTACGGAGCCCCTTCCGACAGGGGGATTACTGAAGAAGAGCTCGGAACAACCTGCATCCCTCGATCCTGCAGCGAGTACAAAGCCCATTACAACAAAGGAATCGCTGAAGAGAAGCTCGGAACAATCCGAGTCTCCCCATCCTGTCGCAACTTTGAGGCCCATTCCGACTAAGGAATTACTGAAGACGACCTCGGAACAAACGACATCCTCCATTCCTGCTGCATCTACAGAGCCCACTCCGACAAACGACAGGTTCGACTGTAAGCTGTGTAAAAAGAAACTGAGCTCCCGCCAGTCGCTGAAGTACCACTCCAGAGTGTTCCACCAGATAGACGACCTGCCCACGGACCGGATTGGCAGGCACGTACAGAAGCTGTTCAAGTGTAACGTCTGCAAGAAACGCTACAAGAGGCAGACCTTCCTCAAGCTGCACCTGAAGTACAGCCACGGAGTCGTCAGTCCGTGTATGCAGGCTGAGAAGCCTGCAAGTCCCACAATGGATTGTGAGACGTCACCCTCCCCGGAAGAGAGTGCGCCACCACCAGGTTCCGAGCTCGGGCGCAATGAGATCTGGAGCACAAGACTGTACAATGCGGTGGCCGCGGCAAAATACCAGCCTGCCAGCGAGCCGGCGGCCAAGTACTTGCCCGCCAGTGACCAGCCAGCCAGAACCGAACCGGGAGCGAGTTCTGCCAGGCAGCCGAAGCGAACCTACCCGATGCGATCGCCGTTTTTTAATCCGTAGGTTAAGTCACGCTTATCAGCTTTACAATATTTTTTAATATTTCTATATTCTTTTCAGCGATCTATGGCTGGACTGCGATGTGTTCTCATAGAGCGAGCGGAGGAGTGCCTTCTAGAAGACTATTTAATATTCGGATGGAAATTCATTAGATCATATTCACAACAAGACGCCTGTGCCAGCCAAGCTGGCCATTATTTTTACGATTATTTAAAGCAATTTTAAGGAAATACAATACTCTTCCAAGACTGAGTGGATGGACTCCTTGAAACCAGACCTACAAACAAAACTGCTCACTCAGCAGTATGGACTTCACTTTCAAGCTATTTTTTTCAAGTGAAATAAGAACCGACAACGGAATGTTTCTGGGGTTGTTTTTTTCTCATTTTTTGTACGAAGAGTTACGAAATAATCACATTCTGAAGTTCAGCAGGTACTGAAGACCAAACAAAAGATATTCGGTCTTTACACATTGGGCCGATAAGGACGTCCCGTAGGATAATTTATGGACCCGTGACCCTAAGACTAGCAAACACACGAACACCACGTGTTTTATCTCCTTTTTTGTGAAAGTCCTTGGACGGTTTTTGGTTATTTTTAGACCTGAGTAGGATACATATAAGTAAAATGGCTTAGGATTCGAAACTGTACCGTTTCAGCTGGACTTTATGCTGTTCCCGTTTCGAAACGGAAACGATAGAACCCAACCAACTGGTATCTTGGGCCTGAAGAACACCACCCAGACCTGACTTGCGCGACAGGTTTTGGTGAATCTTTCAGCTGCTCTCAGTTAAACACAGAGTGGGGGCATATTTTCTAAAAAAATATATAATTAGCAGAACGTGCGCTGGGCTTAGTCAGTCAAGAAAAGGGGCTAGTTGCCTAGATTATATAATGTATCTGTTAAAAGTATCTGGTATTGTTTATCTGCGCCTGAACCGCAAACTCTGCGCAATCCAAGCCTCACTGGATCACCGGATCGATGGATCGCTAGAATGAGCGCTTCACCATAAAACTATTGAATAAACTTAAGCTAAGTGTCCGGCAGATTGTGGAGTCTCCGTCCGCTTACAAATCGGCCACCGACTTGCGGCGCACGTACTTGGCGAAGTAGTCCGGACGCCAGCACTTGCAGGAGCCGGGAATTAGGAACCAGTCGTAGTACAGGCGCACCTGGAAGCACCCCAGCTCGTCATGCCCATCACAGTGAGCATCCGTGGGTGGCGAAGACGCGCCGGTCGAGGTGCCATCGGAAGCAGTGGCCACTCCGGCCCGCTTCTGAAGGTACTGCTGGTAGGCCTGGAAGTCCTGCACTGATGGCGCCTGCGTGGTGGTGGAGGTGGAGGGCACTGTATCCTCGGCATTCGGGTAGAAGATCTCAGCCACTAGCAGACTGACCCAGCGTGGCGAGGACAGACAGCCGCCATCCAGATAGTGGCACCTGGCTTGGATGCAGCGTGTAACCTCCACAGTCTGCGTAAAGTATCCTTCGTAGGGAATCTGGACCACGTAGCGCCAGGCTCCTTGGTAGTTCTTGGCGAACACTGGGGTGGCGTACTCCACCTTGGCGGGACAGGGCGTTGGCGGACCCTCGTACCGGATGGGTCCCACCTCCTCTCGCCGTTCAGCGGTGGGAGCAGCCGCAGAGGACGAGTCTCCCTGGATGGCCCGGTACAGTGTGCAGAATCTGTGGAAGAATCAGCGATGTAGTGGGTCTGGAAGCAGGTGTTTTCTGTCATTGACTTACACTCCACCGCCATCGCAGAACTTCCGTGGCTTCCGTTCCTCGGCAGCTCTACGTTGCTCCCTCTGCTTGTGATGAGATGGATCCTCCTCGTCCAGAGCAGGATCAAAGTAGCTGTACTCATTGGACTCCACTCCCTCGGGCACGCTGCGGCGAACTCGCGTAGATCCTCCCGACGGATACGGGCGATCGATGTTGTTGCTGTCCAGCTGCTCAACGGGATCATCCCGTATGATCTGGGTGACCTTTGGCAGAGTGTCATCGGCCTTCAGAACTGGGAGGGTCTTTGAGAGAAACTTCAGGGTTTGGTTGCGAATGAGCTCGCTGTTGGGAAGATGTGGACTATAGTCTTAGACTCTTAAAGATTAAAAATTACTTACAAGGGATAGGGTTCTCCAAGCACGTTCTGACCCAGCGGGTTCTTGGGTATCTGACCCTTGTTCAGGTCTCCGCAGATGTTGTGGACGGAAACGGCGGACTTCTTGCCGGCCGCCACCTCCTTGCAGTCCGCATTGACGTAGGTGTATGGAGGAGGACGCACCTTGGGGGGCACAGCATTGGGAGACTCGACGAAGGCGTAGTAGCCCTCGGGCGGCTGCTCCTCTCCGTACTCCGATGCAGAGTGAGACTGCTGCGGCTGGGAGAAACCCAAGTGGGCCAGCAGCAGAAAGCTAAGAATTTTCTAAGAAAAACAAAAACAAAGTCTGTGAGGGCACATCCGTAAAATTAATTGCCCCGACCCGAGTTGGGCATGAATGGCCCGGCATTGTCCCCAGAAATAAGATACTTTTTCGAGACGTATTTGTTGGGTTTGGCGAAAGCGCGAAAGCCGTGACTGCTGGCGGAAGATAAACAAACGCAACAACTTTTGCATCTTTCTCCGTATTCACTTGACCATTAATTGTTCGAGGGAACTTTCCCTGAAATTCTGGGCAGCTGACCAACGAAATCAAAAGTACGCTGTGCCGAGGAATTCAGGTCAAGCGGCATTGTTTTTGTGGGCGGATGCAGTGGAAGATGCTGTGGAATTTCTCTTGCCCGGAGACGACATGGTTCACAGCGCAATTTGAATACGGCGACGGCGATGGCGATGGCTACGGCGAGGGAAATTGGGTCAGTGACGGTAGCGGCTCGAGGTCTTTTGTTCTTTTTTCTTCCCCTTCTAATGGGCCAAAAACCAGTTTGCCCTCCGAGAGAGTATTCGAAAAAAAAGCAGACCTCCGAGAAGGAGGTAACTGGGCCCAATTTGCATAGGTAAATATTGATAGCCCAATTGCGGATTGGCAACAAAAGCGAAAGAACCTGCCCAGTAGTGCCCATATAGTGTGGCTTAGAACCAGATTCCAGCTTAGCGGCCCGATGTGGCGGTGCCTCGGAAATAAATGTGCCACACGCAACTAACGGGAAAGTTGCTCGGCACCCGGCCAGAATCACATCCAGAGGCGAAACGGTGCTCCACTGTTAGTTTAATTCATTAGCATGCTCCAGAATCGGAGCGCAGTAACAGTAATCCGCCGCAGAACGACAAAAACGCATATTGCAAAACAAAAGACTTGGGCAACGAACTTGACTTGACTCGCAGTTAGCAGTTAGCACACCTGTAATTATGACATACCAGTAGAAGCCGATAATCCATTTCCATTTCCGTTCCTCCGCTCTTCCTTGTCTCGGCTTGGGTTCTTGGTATCTTGGGGGCTTGGGGTGTTCCTCGCTGGTGATCCGCAATAGAACCTGACTCTTCAGGTGCACACACTGAACTGAGACTGTCGGTGGATCGCTGCAGACATTGAACCTCTGGTTCTCCGGTGCTGGATCTGCTTTATAGCCCCACCATCATGGGGAGAGCAACGAAGAATAGTGCCAAGAAAGTAGATGAAAAGAAAGCCATGTAAACTTGCCCGAAAGAGCGACTCGAACTTGAAGAAGTTTTCAAAAAAGAAAGCATACTTTCGGGCAGGGCCCCAAATCTTAAGAGTACCCCTGTAGAAAGTCAGTAAAGAATCCAATCCCAGTTTTGAATCCAACAACTTCACGTATATTTATGAATTTCATGAACATTACACACCTAAATAAAGTTCTTCAATCTATTTAAACTCGTTAGTCGATCAACTTGAAGCTTCCAGAGTCGTATAGCGTAGATGTATGGAAAATAGGTCGATGTTGAAATCAAATCGTTATTACAGAGCATAGAGGTGTGTATATAGAGTCTAGATCTAGGCCTAAAAGGTATAATAACGTGCATACATAGATTGCAGTTTGAAACTTGGTTTCGTGTACAAAAAACTCTAAACATAGGCATGCCAAGCACTTCATTGTTTCGTCGAAATTGGCTCTGAGGACTATACAAGAAGTTAAATAAATATAAATAAAATATTTTTACCGGCTGGTGGTACATCGGAAATGGTGTCAGATAATAAAATAAAGTTTACATCGTGTATCAATCATCAAATAAATAATGTTGGGGCTTATGATTTCTACTCAAGTTTCCGCCTCAAGTGTCAAACTTAATGCCATATTGCAAATATCATACATATGAGTATACATCTTAAAGTAAACAGATTTGTATAACATCTTAATCATCTTCATAATGCTTACTGCTCGCGGCTTACAAATATCATATAAAGTAAACTTTAGGCTTATGGCTATAGTGCGTTTGTGTGTCTTCTGGTTTATGGTATCTGGTTTCTGTTATCGTCTGCATCCTGTGCTTCTCTGTGGTTTCCTCTTCCACTTAATTCTTGGGCGAAACGGTGATGAGTTTGTGGGGCGTCAGGGGCGATATCTGTAAGAATAATCGGGTTATTAATAAACATTACATCCAACATTATCGCTCTCCAGCTCACCCAAAGCGATCTGCCCATGTACGAGTCATCATCGTCCTCCATCAGGTCCGACGCGTGGTGATTCTGTTGGTCAATGAACAGCAGAGTGTCCTTGCTGCAAGTGTTGGCCGAGTTCCGGAGCAGGGACGACAACGTCTCCGTGTAGTTTGAGCTCGTGGAGAAGGAGTGTCGCAGGCTCAGGCTTGCTGCCGCCGCCGCATGCTGCTGCTGTTGGTGGGCGGCACTTTCCTCGGCCGACACACTGCTCCTGGATCCGTTCCAGTTGTGGTTATGCAGCTGGACATGTCGCGAAAGCTGGGAGCCCGATAGCTGGGGGGTTCCGTTGAACAAGGAAGCGGCGGCAGTCATATGACCGTTGAACTTTCGGTGCAGCGTGGATGCCGCGGTGATCGACGTACTAAGCGATCTTGGCGAGGACCGCGAAGACCCTGAGCTCTCCAACGAGGACGAGGATGAGCTGGTGTGGCCGTTGGTTTTGGCCGTCTCTGCGGGTGCTATACCCTCTTCGGGGACTACGGTCATCTCTGTTGCCTCTGCCTGCTGTGGGCATTTTTCCTTATCCTTCTGATCTCCTTCCTCGAGCTCCGTGCAGTTCTCGTCCATGGCGAAAATTAAAGTCGAATCCTCGGCCAGTGGCTGGCGATCCTCATCGGCAATTGTGGTAGAGGCTGGCACCGGTAGACACCCATTGCTCTCCTCGCTGATTCCACTGCCATCCACATCCACATCGGCATCGGCATAAGCTAGTTCCTCCGCTCCTAGCAGCTCGTGAGGGGGCGATTTCTCCATCGCCATCACATCTTCCGGTGCGTCAGTAACTGAAAGAGAGACTAAGGTTACTAATCATTACCTTCCCTTTTTGTTACTCCACCTACCTTCCATCTTCTCGTTGCAAATATTGGGTATGTCCACTGGCTTGGACTGCGCCACCGCCTTCTCCGCCACCTTAGTGGTATCCTCCAGCTTGACCGTCTCCTTCTCCCGACCCGACGTCGAGGACGCGGACGAGGATGAGCTGGCAGGTGCTAGGCGCGACACCCAGTGGTCTCCCGAGTTGGAGCTAGAGCCGGAGCACTCGCCGGCGTCCACGCTGCGTCGCTGGTAGAAGAGCATGTACGCCTCGTTGTTGATGATGTCCTCCTCGATGGCGTCCTCGGGCACCTTGCTGACGCGCTGGTCATCGAACTTGTACCACTGCCGGTCGTACGGGTTCTTGCACGCGGCTGTGTAGTGTCCCGTTTCCAGAGTGTCCCCCTGGTGGTAGCACACGGCGTACAAGTCGTAGCGCGTGTCCTTCGATTCGGTGCGCGAGTTCAGAGTGGAGGAGCGCGATTCCCCGGTCTTGGCTCGTTTCCAAGGATTGGCAGAGCCCAGGCCGAGGCCCAGTCCAGTCGAGCTGCTGGCACTCTCGTGCACGCCCCGCGCCAGGTGTGGCGACATGTCGAAGGCGGTGAGCGGAAACTTGACCATCGTCGTCAGCTTGGCGGCCTGCGGGCCCTTCGACTGGTGCTGGCGGAAGCGCTTGAAGTGCACCACCAGAATGTCCGGCAGCGACCACAGCCCCAGCGTCTTCACCACCGGCAAGTACTGCTGGCAGTGGGGACACCGCCAGGCGTCTTCGGCACTCAGGGTCTCCGCCTTGGTGTAGTGCTCCAGGCACTGCTCCAGGGTCAGCGCAGCCGTAACCCCCGACTTACTGGCACTCAGCCGGGCCACGCTTTCGTGCTCCACCACATCGTCCGGCTCTTTGCTGGCCAGGAAGTACTCCTCCGGCGAGCTCCACTCCAGAAGCAACTTGATGTGCTGCGGCCCCGCCTCGGCGGAGAGGACGGACAACGCCAAGTCGATCATCTCCGTGAGCAGCGGGTGCTCCACCTGCTCCAGGTAGGTGTCCGGGTCGGCGGAGGGGTCCTGCAGTCGGATGCGGAACATCTCGGAGGGCGGCGTGGCGTACGAGAACACCTCCGGCTTCAGCAGGAGCGTCATTTCGCGCAGCATTCTCTTCTGCAGCTCCTGGTAGGAGCAGTCCCTCGGCGCCTTCATACTGAAGGGGGCTCCGAAGCGAGCCACGTCCTTGCCGTCCTTTGCTCTGTACACATTGGCCACTAGGAGGAGCAGGTCTGCCTGCGGCGGGGTTGAAGCTGAAGCTGGGGCTGGTGCTGAAGCTGGGGCAGTTGCCGCACTAGCTGCACTATCGGCGCTTCCAACCACCTTTGGCACGGGGGTCGCCTCGGGGACTTCGATGCAGTAGATGTTCTCGTTGCTGGCCACCGTCTCCACGGGCTGGGAGTCGAAGAACACGCGCGTGAATCCCTCGGCGTTGAGGTCCACCAGCACCATGCATGAGCCCTCAATGCCGGTGTCCGTCTGCAGCTGCTCCCGCAGAGCCACGATGGGGGATCCGGCCGGGACACGCAGTCCCATCTTCACTTGGCGCGGCAGCTTCTTCATGTAGACGACCGTGACGAAGATCGTCAGCTGGGTGAGCTGCGGGAGCTGCACGGAGATGCAGTGAAAGGGGTCGAAGGTGTTGGATTGCTTTTCGCAGCGCGGGCAGGTCAACGAGGATCGGAACTGGGCTTGGAACACGGCCTGGACGAAGCTGTTGTTGCACCGTATATGGTTGGCGAGAGTCTCTGCGGCGATCACCTCGTCGGAGCGGCCGTAGGAGTTCTTCAAGCTCTTGTAGCGCCTCTTGCTGGCCGTGTTCAGGTCCTCGTGCACCTTGTCCAGCAGCCAGAACAGAAACTCCTGGGCGTCGTGCTGCGTAGAGCTGCGGAACTGCGTTCCATACCTGTCCACCACGGCCTTGAAGCTGGTGCTGTGGTCGCTCTCGTTCTTGCAGGTCCACAGGGCCTTCAGGACATTGGCCAGCTGTTCGGTGAGTTCCCCCTTGGTGCCAAACTTTCGCGAGTTGATCTTGTTGCGTCGTTTCAGATCGGCCTGGAACAAGGAACGGAATTAGATAAGGTCTTTGGGGGGAATATGTTTATAGATCCTTACCTTGTATTGGTCCAGGACAAAGTACTCGGCCAGGATGTCCGTGTGGCTGAGGCATTGCAGGACCGCATTCATGAAGCAAGTGTTTCCATGGTTCTTCAGGCCCATCACTCCCGGCGTCTGATCCGCCGGCCACTGGTAGCCACCGATGGGTGGCACTCGCTCGATGCTGCCAGCTCCCCCAGAGTTCGAGGACGAGGGCTTGTTGGCCTTTGGAGATTGGAGATTTGGAGGAAATGGAGATTTGGTCAGTTATCTAGTTGATTTTAAAGCAAATATTATTTATCAAATAGGAAGTATGCTAATTTGGGTTCAATCGTGTGGAAAATTTGCGAGTTTAGGGTCGATAATGAATTGGAATCATAATGGAGAGGCTACAATGAGCTGTCTGGAGGTGTGTCTGACGGGTAAGTGTATCAGAGATGCTGTCCAAATATTGTTAATTAAATTACATAAAAGCAATAGTGCCTTTCCAGCAAGTGCCTTTGATAGCTTGGACTTGCGGATGATGAAATGTGTGCAACTAGCTCGAGGGGATTGTGGGGTCACTGTAATGAGTAATCCGAAGGGGTAACGTCATCGTTCGACCAACAAAAAAATATGAAACAACAAGCCAGACTATAATGAGTTCAATAGAGACAAAAAAAAAACAAAAGAAGCTCGAACTAAAGCCGGTTTTTTTTTTTTTCAAAAAAAGCGAAAAACCCACGCAAGACCAATACCCAGTTGGTCGAAAGGAAATAAATCTTTGGGTGTGTGTGGGATGGGGCTAGGGCCTGATCATGACACTGGGGGACGACTGGTGAGTGTAGAGTGTAGAGGACCCCTGATTAGATAGAGAGTTGGTACCTCTTTTCTGCGCCAGCATCCGGTGTAGAAAGGCACGATTTCTATGAAGGCGAGGCGGCGATCCGAGTACGAGTTATCCGCCGCCTGGAAGATGCAGCATTTTGTGGCAAAAATAGGAAGAGATTTGAGAAACCATTAAGATTCTAGCAGCAATATGGATATATTTTTCTATACATTTGCTGACCTAATCCAGACAAGGGGCGGGGGGCTAATTGGCCAGAAGAATACAACTGGGGACTGGTCACTGGCCACTTGTCTCAATTTGCGACGACAATCATCATTTATAAATTTAAGAACATTTCTCTGGATCTAGTGGGCTCGGTCTTTCGTCGCCAGGCCCCTAGTAGCTCCAGTTCAAGTGTCCAGCGAGGCGACACTCTTGCCCCTCTAATGCCCGCCGCTTTGTTTACTTTCTCGTATTATTCTGTTTAACTCGATGTATCGAATTTATCAGGCCCTCGTCTCGAATTCTTGATTCCAGTAGCCAGCAAAAATTCCATGCCGTGTGTTTATGCGGCCAAAGCTCTTTACAGATAAGCCATAAGAGGTTGGAGGGCTGGAGAGGTCTGGAGAGGTCTGGGAGGTGGCCAGATAACTTATAAATATTGCACTGCACTCGAGTATTTATTCAACTTTTTACGTAAGATCACCAGTAGGTATAGTATACTATATAGTACTTGTATCTTGGCATTTCTGTTACGTTTCACGTTTTATTAAATAATTGTAAATAATTGAAGATAATTGCGACGCTGCTTGGCTCCGAGATCTTGGTCGGGGCATGAATGAAATTGGTCTATGGATTAGGGCCTTTAGCTATATCTTATGCTATATAATCTAACTTATTAATGGAACCTATTTTTAGAACATTATCGGCAGAAACTAGTACTATATTTATGTCATTCAGCTCCAAGCCGACAGGTCTGTTAGTCAACAAGTGACACCTCTCCATGTGGCATGATGTCTCTGAGATTTATGAACGAGATCCGCAAACATTTAACCAAGTCTATACCTTTATAGCCCCGTCCCAGACACGTAATGCTGCTGCTATCTCCCCCCCGTAATTAGATCTTATTGCCCGAGATCTACATAGTTATATAATATAATATAGAGTAAGCCCAGCAAGGGCTCGATCAAGTGGAAAGCTCTGTCAAGGTTGTAGCGACAACGGGCTCTAATCAGACCACCTTGCTGCGAACACGTTGCTTATCAGATACGGGGTGGTGCTCATGGGGCCCATTTAAACAAGTACAGTGCGCGACAGGCCTGTAATGCAAGTAGATACAGCTTTGTAGAGGGCTCTTATTTATAATTTTCTTTATGGCTGTTACTGTCTCTATAGTACACCCTATGACTCCTGTCAACCTTATCTTATATCTAGCATTTGGATTCAACGAACACGTAGCTTTCGACAAGGTCGAACCGAACCGCTTGACTTCCGAAGTCCACTGAAAAATTTGCACTTTCCTGTTGAGCTGCGAATTCATTTACATTTTGCTCATATTTTCCAATCCAGTCTCATGATGTGGCATTCTATTAACATTACATCATACTACATAGTCTACATTATGTTTGTCATACCGGACATACAACAAAAACCAGTGAGTAACGCCCAATTAGACGGGGTAAGTGCTAACAACATGGTTTTTTAGGGGAAAATTTTAACAAATTATGGTTGGAAAATGTTGTTTTCAGGTTTGAATAAAGAATTATATAGAATTTGTCTACAAATCTTTTAAGATATGCCATTCAATGATCGGTGCAAAACTAACAAAGTTACAGCCATTTTTAGAGACCATTCATGAATAATTTTGGTTTTCTAGAAAAGGGGTTCCCCAAGAAAAATTTGCAAAAAAAATGCTAAAAAATTAAGTTCTTAGATTTTGATAGAGATCTATAGAGAATTAATCCACAAATCTTTTAAAGTACTCCTCTTTGGGATCGGGTGCAAATTGACCAAGATATAGGCATAGCTAGAAGCCATATATGAACATTCTGGATTTTGGAAGGGGTTCTATCATAAAAATTTTAAAAAATATGAAGTCATAATTTTGTTTGGGGTTTTTTAAGCGAAATGATGGGGAATTAATCCACGAATCTTTTAAGGCATTCCGTTCAAGGATCGGATAAGAATTGGGGAAGACATAGACATCTGTGTGGACCCTATAGGGGAAAACCCCATTTTCAAAGGACTCCATCACAAAAAAGGGCAAAAAATTAAAAAAATATTTCGTCTCCGGATTTTGATGCAGAATGGTGGAGAATCATTCCACGAATCTTTAAAGGCATTCCGTTCAAGGATTGGATGCCTAATGGCCGAGATATGAAAGTTGGAGATGCCATATACGGAAATCCAACTATTTCCAAGGGGTTCCCCTAGAAAAATTCGAAAAATATGAATAAAAAATTTTATTCCTTGATTTTGATCCAAAATGGTGGGGAATCGTTCCACAAAACTTTAAAGGCAATCCTCTTAAGGATCGGATATTGGCTAAGATATAGAGATTTCAAGGAGCCTTGGGTCGAATTTCTGTGGTTCCCCTTAAAAAATTTGAAAAATATGGATCGAAAATTTGGTTCTCAGGTTTTGGTGCAGAATGATAGGTAATTTATCCTTCATTCTTTCAAGGTATTCCTCTCAAGGATCGGATAAATATTGGCTGAGATATACACATCGCAAGAAACCAAATACGACTGGTTACTGGATGACTGAATATATGAGGTACATGAAAGCCCTGCCTTCTAAAAGGGGTTTCCCCTGGAAAACTTGTAAAAATAAGGATTCAAAATTCAAAATTGTATATTGGTTGAAACAAAATTTAAAAATCTTCTTAAAAAAACCAGAACGTGTCTCGCCACGCCGCCATGGAATCACAAAAATAAACGCAAAGCGAAAATTTTGAAAACATTCTTTCAATTAGTTTGATCTCAATTGATTTTACCTTGAAAGCGTATTCAGCCCCAGGGGAGAAATGGCGGTGGGGTGGGGTCAGGGGCTGGGGAGAAAGAGAGGGCGGAAGAAAGAGAGAAACGTGCGAGGCTACACGAGCGGCGAAAACAATTGTGAAAAAAATGAAAAAAATAAAAAATGAGAAAAAAAGGCACATTAGACAATAATTCGCACAGTTGTACAACAACAAGGGGGAGGGGAGGGAGGGAAAAGTTACGTGTGAGCCATGGGCCGGAAACACGGCGTACAGCAACAACAACAACAAGTGGGAATACTACGCTCGTGTAGGCTAGAGCCCCCCACCCCTCCCCCTCGGGTCTTGAATATCATAGGAAAATCAGCAAATAAAGACGGAAGGAGGTCTGGGGGGTGGCTAAGTACACGCGGTTACGTACTAATCTGGCCATCAACAAGTGCAGCACCTACGGTGGCTTCTTTAGTTCCGACTTCTGAGGGCTGATGGGAGCTCCCGAAATCCCGAATAGGGTGATGTTTACAATGAGGTAATGGGCTCTTGGGGGAAACCAACCACACCATTGACCAATTACCACATAATCTCAACCAGAAGCTATCAGTAGAATAGTATCTCTATCTATAGCTATATCTCATTCCCCTCGTTTTCATTGAGCTTTACGCCCCCCTCCCTCTCTGAATGAAATTAATTTTCTGTTCTCGTTCTCGTATGCGCTTATCGTTCTGGAATTCAAAAGCGCCAAAAGGTCAACTGCAGCTATAAGGTTACGACCTCTACAATTAATCAAAAACCACCATATCAATAAAAGCCAAATGCACTGGAGATGACTTCTAAGCATGACACACATTTTAAAGATGCAGCGGAGGCGGGTGGCGGGTGGCGGTACTCCTCCTCCTGGTCGCGCTCCAGCAGCTCCAGCACGACCTGAAAACACTCCGCTACTAGACGCTACTTCTAGTTACTGTTTGTATTTGTTTGTTTATTGTAGCGCGAGCTGGGCACCAAATGTTACAACAAAAACAATGTTTGAACAATTGGTGTCTGCGAAACAAAAGGTGCCCTACACCTCCTCCACCTCCACCTCCCAATGAACAAAAATTATGATAATAATGAGACGGCAATTGTTTTAAAAATAAAATTAATTTCCATTCCCCATTCTGGTAGCGCTACCATTCGGAAGGTACACTTTTGGAAAAGTGCTGCCCCATGTACTCCCCATGTATTTATAGTTTTGTAAACAAAGGCATTTTTATCCAAGGAATGCGACTGGGCTATAGATACGCGATACGAACAAAGAACGCCTGGCGGGGTGGCCTGGCGGGGGAGCACATCCGCGCATATCATGCATATGGATTAGCCGGTCAGGCTCTCTCTCTCCTCGCTTATCACTCGGACCCGCGAAAGTGAGTCAGCCGGAGGGGAGGGGTTGGGAGAACAACATCAACAACCATAGGACCCATAAGGGGGGGTCGAAGGTTCCACAACTTTGAAAACAAAAGAAAAACGGTGCCAAATCGTAGAGAGTCGCCATATGTGCGGCACTGGAGGGACAAAGAACGACTCCTCATCTTGTGGTGACACTGCACTCCTGATAAGATGCCCTATGACTATTGTGGAGAACAAGTCACCCAGTTAATCATCCATCATGACTCCCTCAAGGAACACTTACCGTCGTTAGATGCTGGGTGATTCGATTGAGAAACTTCCTGAACGATGAACGCCGCAGGACACGTGCCCGCTTGTTGTTGTTGCTATCCTGGGAGGGAGGTGTCGTCACCAAAGCAGGTGTCGTGGTGGGTGGAGCCTCGTAGCTGCTGAGGGACACAATGCTACCGCTGCGTCCTCGACCGCCACCAACGCAGGAGGATATAGCCGTATGGCTGCCACGTCGTTCCGCATTCTCAGGGCCGGAACCGGAGCCGGACAGGGAGGCGGCAGCACCGGACGAGGTCTTGAACTTGCGCGACCACCGAAAGGGATTGCGTGGCATGGAGAAGGCGCGCTTGATTTTTTTGGCGGCACTCGTGGCGAGCGGTGCTCCTTGCGGCGATTCGGCAGGCGGCGGCGGCGGCGTGCTGCCACCACCCACCGGTCCTGGCGTTGTGTTTGCTGGTTGTTGGGGTTCTTTTGTTGTTGTACCCATGGTCTCTCTTTCTCTCTCTCTCTCTCTCGCTCTCACACTCTGGCTCACTGAACACGGATTTTTCGTCACATATAGACACGTAAGAAACGAATTGTACGGGCGGAGACCGTCGCTTTCCGCCCTAGCTGCTGTTCTGGCACAGCGTTAACCAAAAACCAAGCCCGACTTGACCTTTTCGGAGCACTTATTGCCAATTTTTCTGCCTCGCTTCGCTTCGTCTGACTCTTCCTCTTCGCGTCTTGCTTCTGACCCACTCCGCAGACTTTTTTTTGGTGCAAAAGGCAAATACTTTCACTAGTGCCTGGCGATCGTCGATCGGAATCAGTGATCCGCACTCGAACGAGGGTACTCGGTCTCGGTCTCGGAGTAGGAGGGGCGTTGTTTCCTCCCGTTGGGATAGGGATAGGACGCGGCACACGCGAAGGACTTTACCCGCTTTCGAGATTTTGTAGCGCAGACCCGATCCGGTCACAGGCTGGGCTACCGAGTCTGATTGGTGGTCTGTTTAGTTTTGAGGTCTTTTCTGTCGGTCGCAGTCTGTGTGCATGCTCTTTTTCGCCCGTGTGGGTGTGTTGGGGGGGCCACAGTACTGGAATAAACAAACCAGAAGTGTCTGGTATATAATTGCACAAGATTCACGGAGTCCACATGTTACGGGGAGGGTTTAACGCTTATTTATAATTATTTGTGGTCCGTTTTATTAATTAAATTTGTGTTTATTTTGCTCGTATTCCGCGTTTATACTGTTTTAGTGTTTATGTCGTTTTCTAACACGGCATATCGAAAATGTATCAAGTTATCGATTATTGATGTTCGAAAATACTATTCTTTCGGTATTATATCGATTATTGTTCAGTATTTTTGTATTATCGATAACCGGACCATTACCGGTTAAAAACCCCCTATTACCGGTTCAAATTTTGCGCCCCATGCTGGAATAAATGAAAAACTTTTTGCCGCCAATGGACGAAAATTTAAAATTTAGCTTAAGTGGCGCCACGGTGGATGGAATGATGGAAAATTATGGAACAAAACGGAATAGTTTTTTAAAAATTACGTTTCTATATTTTATATTTAGTCCGAATTTACCATAAATATAAATAGCAACTACTGCTCTTAAAAAGTTTTAGTTAAAACTAAATTTCAGCGTAATAAAATGAAGCCCTTAAGTAGCTGAAATAAATTAATATTAAAAGATTCTATGTTTTAATTTTAGATTTTTTAAACTTCACATGATTTTAATGTTTTACTTATTTCACTTAATAAGTACTACCTATTTCTAATATTTAAAAAAAATAAATTTCTCCACGGTAATTCGAGTAAAAATTAGCACGTCCTCAATGCAGATAAACGCATCCTTAGAATCTCCTCCATGCCTGCCCCCCCCCTGGCGGTTCAGTCGACCAATTAGTGCTGCAGTAGGCATTTCGAATCCGTGCCCACAAATCGTCTAATCCGCTGCCACTGCCTGCCTGGCAGCCGGAGAATCCTGCCTAAATGTTGACAAATACAACACCTACGATACAAATAAAATTGCTACAGAAGTACCACCTAAAAACGAGAACCAAGCGGAACGACTTAATTTTCTCAAATTTACAAAAACATCAGGGAATGGAAATGGAAACAGAAACAGAAAACGCCGCCACTGAAGCTGTGGGTTCTGGTCCTGCCGAGCGAGTCCAACGCGGAGCAGAGGATCCCGATTCGTAGGTCCTGGGTCGAAGTAGCCAGTGTCCTGCAGCTCACTCGAAACCGCCACTCACCGTAGCTAATTGCCCGTTCAATAAAGAGAGAAGGAATTCTTCTGAAACAAGACGCATCCGCTTCATACGCTTGGTCCTGGATCGGTCTCTCCGTCTCAGATACATTCCGGGCAACCAAAATATTATGGTGTGCCCCGCTGTTCGTGCACCGTCAGCGCGAATTTGCTGTGGTGAGTCGATGCTGTTTTCATGTCCTTTTTTTTCCTCCTAGTCCTGGCTCTCAGTGTCCTGTCGTCGATGGTTTCTGTGATTTGACATGTCTGTTAGCTGGATGCCCGCTGACCCTGAGTCCTGAGATCTTAGGCCCTTAGTGTGTTCCACTTTGATGTGATTCGTCAGTGCGGTGGAATCTGGCTACCGACGACCTCTCCTTGTTGCCCCTGCCGTATCGGCCGTATCCTGCTGTACACAGCTGCCCCCTACCAAGTCCCTTTGACGGTGCAGTTTGCGGCTTTCCAGCAGCGTTTGTTGGCGAATCTGTCCCAGGGTCCTGCTGCTCCTTCACATGAACCCCGATTCGTCATAGATTGAATTGAATTGCCTCGGAGACCGCAATGCGCTGTATTTATAGTAAATGTGTCCGATTGATTTTCTGTTTCTCGAATGGCACTCTCAGGACATGCCCCACCTCTCCACTGACATCTTTGAGATACTATTACTCAGCCATCTATGAGATACAAAAGAAAATCCTCAGCTAGTCTCTGTTTATTATAATTTGTTATATTTTTTGTTAATTATTTACTAATAATTATGAATTAAAAAATGCATGAGAAAAAATTCATTAATAGTCCTTGCTCTCCTTAGCTTCCACTCCAATATCCTGCACCTCCCGAAAAACCATTTTTTTTTGTAAAAAAGAAACCGCTAATCATTGAGCCTTACAATGGCAGGACAATCGCTCACCTAATTATTCGTCCTGATTGTCGCTGCCCAGGACTCACGGCTCACGACTGTAGACTTTTTGTGGCCTCTTTTTGTTTTCGAAAAAAAGCGAGCCAATTTTTTTCTTTCTGGGCCACTTTGTTGCTCTTTTTATGAGTTTTTTCCATTGTCATTTTTTGAACGACCCTCGATCCCGACCCAATCCCGGCCTACGCTACAAACCTCCTAATTACAGCAATTGGTCCTTGCCCGGGTCACAGGACATGCGTACGGACAGGGGCAAGGTTTTATTGCGCGCTCGCATTTCCACTAAAAATTGGGCCGAGAAAAAAAATTCCTAGGCCCGGAAGATCCGGACGCGCCTTTTTATTGGTGCACCTTCGACGGAACCGCAGGACAACACAGGGGACAAGGATCTGTGTATAAAGTCGTGGCTGGAAAATGTAGTGCGCTGCTTTTAGAAAACTAGATCAGTTTTTTGTTCTAGTATTTGGTCGATTTTTGTGCTCTGCTCTGCTTCGCTTTATGGTTTATGGCCCTCGCTTTTCCAATTCCCAGTTCCCATTGTTATACGAAATTATGGTCTATATGCAGATTTTTATGTCGGCATACCCGGTCCCGGTGATCTAGTTCGCGGAACGACCAATATCCTGCCGCGAGTGGTCCTCTATTTTGGGTATTAGGAAAGTAGATCAAGTTTTTTGTTTCCATTGTCCGATTTTTTCGTTGCGCTAGTTTTTTTCTAAGAACCCCGAGAAATGCTCTAATTTTTTAATTCTTCACGGCTTTTCGTATAGTGCTCCTGAAAAAATGTGTTTTGGGCTACAAGGTTAGCGTTCTACTTACCTGTTAATTATGGGAGTTTTAAGGATCTTTGAGGGATCTTTAGGGATATATCTCTATGTTTCTTAGCCTTCAATGGCTTTTATATTATATGGGTCTATTGAACTAAATATTTAAAATTATAGTATTCTTCCTAGAGTAGAAATTTTATTTTACTCAAGTCATAAAAATGTGAAACTTTGGGATTACAACTTGTGTATAGATATATCTATATATCTATCTAAAAAGTTTATAGTTTTTATAACCAAAAAATCATAAAATAGTGGGTTATCATAAAACTTTTATGTATTTTTAAGTGATGGTCTATTTTAGTAAAGATTCTAGTAGTTTTTTTTTTATTTTGGCTAAAATATATGAAATATATGAATTAATTAACTGAGAAAGACCCACCATAATGCCTCACAATCATCATAAATTATTTGCCATTTTTGGCGTAATCGTTTTATTACACAAATTACTCAATCATCAATCATAATTCCGTTTGCCGTTTTTATTGCCAATTTTTGCACTGCCTCTGCCTTTTCCTCCCTTTTTGGCCCTTCCAAGTCCCTTCCAAGTCCCTCGATAGGGCATACTATATGCTATGCTTCTTTGGGTATTGCGCGGACAATTCCATACCATTAGTGTCCCGATCGCCATTTACTTCCCATGATGACGATGACGGACGATAATCAGCGAGATCGGCGCTTTGTAAAGGCAGTATGTGCAATAAACCGAGCATTCCGGGTATTTGGCTGGACGAAGGGAAAACTGCGAAAGTGTTCGCGGATCGAGAGACACCTAGGGTGGTGGTCAGGTACTCTCATCCGCACCCGTACCCGTACCCGTCACTTTCGCCCATAAAGGGTATTTACTGTCGCTTAACCCAGCAGCCCATCGCGGAGAGAGTCAAAGACAATGGCTCCGGAGGTGCTGCACAATAGGCAAGGTTGTAGGTTGCGGCCAGGGTAGGGTTCAGGGTTCATGGTACGGGCCTGGCCAAGAAGGCTTGTAGCTGGACCTTTTCCAGGTCAATAATGTAGAGGTCCTAGTAGAAGGTACTATATAGGTAGGTAGTGGCAGGACAGCGAGTTAATGCCAATGCAAATTGCGGCGCAATATAACCCAATAATTTTAACTATGTCAACTCGCAAGGATATGCAAGGATGCAAGTTAGCCGTAACCGGACAATGGAGAAAGGTTGCTTGCTGAGTTCCCGGCCATGTTAATCCCTTTTCCATCATCCAGATTATTAGTCAATTTTCAATATCCAGCGCGACCTAGTTTCGGACTCGGTTTCAGTTTCAATTTCGGTTCAGCCTGCTTTTCATTTCACTTTTCAGAGTGGTCCTGGTTCCAGTTACCGGTTACCAGTTTCGAGTTAGATTTTATTGCAGCATCTTGAACAATCGACTCGAAGTTTGGTAACACGCTGGGTGTCCTTTCTTTCTGACTTTCAATTGAACCGAATTAAATGGAATTCCTTGACCAGACAAACCAGAAAACCAGAAACGGGGTTGCAGAGTCAGAGTCAGGGCTTTCCGCTAGTCAGGATCCTGTCGCTTGTTTGTTTGTTTGTTGGCTCGGATTAGCCGGAGGGCTTGACTTGGTCCTGGGCCAGGTCCCAACCCGGTCCCAAGCCTTCGCTGATTTCATTAGAAAGTTATAAAAACACATAATAATGACGTCGAAGGATTGCGGGTCAGGCAGCCCAATTAACGGACTAGGCAGACCGGGTTATTTTTTTGCGCGGACTTAACCCTAATCCCTTGGCTTAATCCCGTTCTGATCCGTCCTGTCGGCAGGTAGATACTACCATCTCCCACTCCGGCAATGACTGCTCCACTTGCGCCCCCCCCTCAAAAAATGGTATCTTTTGGTACAGTTGCTCCTCCGCTCGTCGTGATTATATCATCATAATAAATGCTTTCCCAAACGAAACCCAAAACTTTTCAAATTTAGTTCCAGATGAAGGCTTCATATATCCCCTGCCCGTAACTACCCGACCAGCTCAGCCATTATCCCACAAAACAAAATGGTTTTGGGGCGAGGTCTGTCCCGAGGGTGGCCCGGGATGAATAAACTTTTCAGCTCCAGTGTGGGACTGTTAAACGTGCGGCATAATATTAAGACTTCATAAAAGCGCAAATAATTTGCTGGCCGACTCCGGATCGATAAATATATGTACTCCTCGTATATGTACTGTTGGGAGGATGCTACCGTTAAGAAGCAGCCACCGCCCGTACGGCAGCATTATGCCATATCATTCTTGATGAAGCCGATAAAATCCCATTATTAAGGGGGCCCACCCGTCCCGCTCACTCGTGGAGAGTCCACCGCCTGCGGACAGGCGAGACAAAAGATTCGCTCATCCGCTATGAATACCAAAATACTCTCTCTTTTTGCAAGCTCCATACCTCTCCCCCTCCCCATCCAACCGCCCGTTGTTCCAGCCTCGTAATTGCTGCTGAGCAGAGGCTCTTCCTTTTCCTGTGGGTCACAGGGAGAGCTCCATGCTGAGCGCCTTTGCCTCATCAGCTCCTCACAGACCAGAAGACGTCTTTGTTCCAGTCTCGTAATTGCCTCTCAGCACCGCAGCATCGCAGCATCTCTCTGCCTGCCGTCTCGCTCTGGGTGACCGCTGATTGGTTGCCTGCCGCCAGGGCGGCCATTGCTATGGTTGCCCGGCCGAGCTCTCGCGGGTATAAAAGCGGGCGGGGGTGGCTGGGAGAGGCACACTCGAACTGTGACCGCCGCACAGTCAACACATCCGCACTTTCAAAAGCAACTCGAACCCTCTTCCGAACCGATCTCTGAATCTCCGCCGCCGCCTAAAGATGCACGGATACCGAACCTACAACATGGAGAGCCACCATGCACACCACGACAGCAGCCCTGTGGACCAGAAGCCCCTCGTGGTGGACCTTCTGGCCACCCAGTACGGAAAGCCGCAAACTCCTCCGCCTTCCCCAAATGGTAGGTTTTAAAAATTAATTGCATTTTTTATGGAATGGTTAACTAACTGATTATTTCTTCTTCTTATTCAGAATGCCTGTCGAGTCCAGACAACTCCCTCAATGGCAGCCGCGGCTCGGAGATCCCAGCCGATCCCTCCGTCCGCCGGTACCGCACCGCCTTCACCCGCGACCAGCTGGCCCGTCTCGAGAAGGAGTTCTACAAGGAGAACTACGTCTCCCGGCCCCGACGCTGCGAACTGGCCGCCCAGCTGAACCTCCCAGAGAGCACCATCAAGGTCTGGTTCCAGAACCGCCGCATGAAGGACAAGCGCCAGAGAATCGCCGTCGCCTGGCCCTACGCCGCCGTCTACTCGGATCCCGCTTTCGCCGCTTCCATCCTGCAAGCGGCCGCCAATAGCGTGGGAATGCCCTACCCCCCATATGCTCCGGCTGCTGCTGCTGCCGCCGCCGCCGCCGCTGCTGCCGCCACCAACCCGATGCTGCCCATGTCGATGCCGGCCATGCCCGCCATGCCTGCGATGCCCCCGATGCCCGGACACCATGCCGCCGGCCATGCGCCCTCGCCCTACGGCCAGTACCGCTATGCCCCGTACCACATTCCGACTGCCCAGCGCCCAGTGCCCGCTCATCCCGCCGCTGGCCCTCATATGCATCCGCACATGATGGGAACCAGTGCCGCCGCCGCCGCTGCCGTCGCCAGTTCCTCGTCCTACTCCGGCGGCTTGCTGGGAGCCGGTCTGCCGTCGGCCTCCATCTACTCCGGACTGAGTGTGCCCAAGACCCAGACCCCGCCTTTGGATCTGCAGTCGTCCTCCTCCCCCCACTCCTCGACGCTGTCCCTGTCGCCCGTCGGCTCGGATCACGCCAAGATGTTTGAGCGCAGCCCCGCTCCAGCTCCAGCTTCCTCCGCTCCTGCTCCCGTTCTCCTGACCACCACCAGCCCGCTGCCCGCTCCCGGTCTGCTGATGCCCAGCTCCAAGCGCCCCGCCTCCGACATGTCGCCCCCATCGCCAACGACCACGGTGATTGCGGAGCCCAAGCCGAAGCTCTTCAAGCCCTACAAGACTGAGGCGTAAGAACCTGCCTCCTGTTCCAGTTCCAGTTCCTGCCCCTGCCACTCCTCAAAGATTGTACAAACTAGGCTTAGACGAATCATCCTTTTATTTATTCCTAACGATTGTATCATATTGTAAAGTAGCTCAATTAGTATTATTAAGATACGAAAATAAATACAAAATTAAAGAAAATAATTTGCAAGTCTTTTTGGAAGAAACTACCTGGAAGAGTCCTCGGGAAGAGGGGAGCGAGCTACCTGACTTTTATGGACCTGGCTGCTTGGATTAGCGCTGGAGAAACCTACAACGACAGCTGTTCTGCCATGACATTTTATGCAGCCTTGCAGAGTCCTGTGTAGAGGGACGCTGAATGTCCTTCGGAGTGGCCACCCACAACCAGGGTCACAGCATGCACCAGCGGGGGCAGGAAAGCAGGATCCACGGGGTGTGGCACAAGCCAATGCTATATTAATGTGATTTAAGCAAATCGAAGTGTACTGCACTGGACTGTCGTGATAGAAGGATGAGTGTCCTGCTGGTAGGCAGGGCCTTGTTCCACTCCCTGCCACGCGTCCTGGGCGAATTCAATTGCCGTGGCCTCGGATTGGTCTCGACTAATTAATTGTCACCTCACCCGTTGTGTTGGAACGGGTCCTTCGACAGACGGGTCCCTGGCCGTCTGTTTGCTTTGCTCAAAACGATTGTCATAATTGAGAAATCAGCAAGGATAATACGTGCAGGATCGCAGGAGCTCAGGACAGGAGCGACAAGTCAAATTCATATTTAATTACCAGAGAAAACATGTGTTTCGATTGCCTCCTGGCTTCCTGGCTGCTAAAAAGGCTGTCAATTGTTCATAATCCCGCACATAAAAAAGCCGATTCAGCAAAAGGGATACGCCTGCCAAGTACACTGAGAGAAATGTACTTAAATAAACTTTTTTCAAAGGATAATAACTACAAAACAATAAAACAAAGTTTATAGACAAAATTAGTAGATTTTTATTATAGAATCTTTTTTTTAAAAGTCCTTTATAGTTTTAGTTCTCAGTGCTTATTCTGGCAGATAAATAGATACTGAACCACCCCTAATTCCTACTGTATCTGTATCTATATCTAATTGAGCGAGCGCTGGTATCAAAACATGTTTTGACACTTGCCAGGCGAGGCATAAAAAATGGTCCTTGAAGTGCCAGGACACCCCTTTCTTCGTGGCCCGGCTGCTCCCTTCGGGGGATGCACTGCACACAAGTGGCAGCATTTTATGATTTGATAATAAAGATACGTAGATACCCAGGGGAACGCCCCGGAACGGGGATACAGTAAATTAAAAAAGTAGCAAAACCAGGAAAATCTCTGCCAGGCAGTATTATCCTCTGGAGGGGGGGCAGTCAGGCAGGACGAGCCAATTGGTTTGTCGGGTGGCTGACTCCGACTCTGACTCTGGGCAGGTTGATAATTAATCATATGGGGATTAGGGATTTGTCGTGTTTGAAATGCGGCCATCATCAAGTTGTTTATTGGAAAATTATGCGACAAGCTGCCGAAATGGCCAACAAGAGGATTAAATCCTTCCAGCCAAGCAGCTGGGAGCAGAACGCCCCCGAAAACCATGATTCAGGAGCAGCTGCGATTCTTCCGACTTCGGAATTGAATAAATCCGATATTATTATCAATTAGGTATACGTATCTAATTTGGTATTGTCTCCGAATTTCAGGGGCTCTGATATTTCCGCCGTTTATGGTGGTTATGGAGGCAATCAATGGTCCATCCAATAGATAGCGATACATAGCAATGAATGGCTGCCACTTCATGGGAACTTCTCCCACGTTCCTCGAAAGAAAAAAAACAATGGATTATTGAACAACCACATCTCAAGGCTCAACTCCTCCGATGTGCAAACAAAATTAAGTTTTATTGGGGCGTGATGAGTGGAGAATGGGTGCGATTTCTGTTTGAGACTCTCGGGACTGGGTCTTGGTCTTCTTTCTTTTTTTTCTGATTTCTTTAATAGTGAATTAGCACCTTGGCTGTGTCTTCCAGCCGTTTATAGCCACCTCTTTGCTTTCCCAGCTCCGAGACCCATCTGCAGAGCCGACAAAAGGCAGCTTTTGTGGCCAAGACGACCGCGATTCGGCCTCTTCTACGTCGATTTATGAGCTACGAATTTCACACTAACTGTCAATGAATATAAAGTGATCATCAGAGAGGAGGACTGCCAGTGTGTTTACTGCTAAGAGCCAGAGTTACGGCAAGATCTGAGATTACCAATTTTTTGTATATTTTTTTTTTTTGATGGAATGAGAGGCTTTGCAATGAATAAACATCTTTGTAAAATGATGATGCCAGCACTGAAATAATTTCACACATTTCTCGCACACACAGCACAGCACAGCATCCCAAAATGCGTCATATACCCAATCTAGCAATATTCGCAATGTATCTAGATACATGTGTAGCGGATGTATCCATGGGATGTTGGCCAATTTGCACGCTGTCCATTAACGGGCCATGCGCCGTTTATCGGATCGGCCGTCGGACAGACCAATTCCTCATCATTTTCATGGATATTAACAAACTGATAATCGCGACAATCAAATGAGGGCGATGTTGTGCCAACATTTCCATACCATACCATCCATACCAGGAACTACACCACAATGGGGTGGGTGAATCGATGGCAATTGGTCAGGCTTCACTGTAAATGGACAATAAAATCGAATCAATTGCCTCTGATGGATGCTGCGGCTGTCCGGGTAGATGCGGTATTTTCGGGTCATCGGAAGTGGGAGCTACGAGGGGGTCAGGGCCATAAATCTGCTGGCCAGATAATGAAACTAGAATGATTGCGGCAATCACTGGTGCGGCTGGCACTGCGCATGTCCTGGGCACAGAAGCGGAGCACCTAGCGATAGATACAGGATACATAGGCAGGGCATGTAAATACATACATAATGTGTTGTGGAGACAGTCGCCTTCCTGAAACCGGTGTTTCGGCCTCGCAGTCTCGCAGTCTTTCAGATCCTGCGCACGACGTGTCAACTTTATTGCGGTTTGACTTTCCAGCTCTACAGCCTGAAGCTGTAGTATCCCGAATCCCCTGGGCAGACCCCTGAGTCCAGCGACCATTCCGATTCCCATTTTTCGGCCATGATTTATAATTCTTGTTTTTTTCGCGTTATTTTTTTACGGGGCTTTAATGGCCCATCGTCAGGATAGCCCACAGGACCTTCTCGGCATCCCGCTCTACTGTCTTAAAGAGCTCCGGGTGCGAGGGAGAGATCCGGAGTGTCCTGTTCTGATTCTAAAAAATGGAATAATTTTTTTCTCGAATTTTTGGGCGCGCCTGCGAGCAGGACCTCTTTGTTCGGACCAGCGTCCCTTGTCCTTTTTTGCAATATTCCTTTTTTGCCGTCAAGAGTGTTACCTAGGCCGGCGGTTTATGGCCAAGATGATATTCGGTCGTTCCGTTTTTTAGGCCATAAAAATTAGGCAGCATAAAAAAACTGCATTGGAATTCTAGTTCTAGTTTCAGATTTTTAGGTTTCCAGCCCGGCGAAAAATTTCGCATTTCGCGGAATTCGGAAGCGGAACAGATCCCGATCCCGATCCTGATCCTGTCCAAAAAAAAAGGCATGACCTTGCCCTCTGGCCGAAGGGCCGTAAAAAAATTGACTCGCTGCGGTGCGCGGAAATGTATTTTTTAGAACTGACTCGGCAAACTGATCTGATCGTAAAAAAAAGCAAAACGACAAATGATATCTTTATGGTCCAAAGGACCAAAAAAAAAAGTAAGTCACAAAGTCACAAGGTTATCCGGAAAACGGTACTGTCAGCCGTTAAAGGATGCGGCAGAGTTCTGATGTAGATACTCCGAAATCTGCAGGACTCCATGTCCCAACGCAGTTCAAAGCTCCTGCCGCCCAAATTGGATTTTCTGGGAGATCCTTCTTTGATGCAAACCGCCGGGTGACATGCAAATTAGCTGCCCTAATTTGCGGCTAGGTTTGACCTTGTGGCAGGCTGGCTCTGGCACCTTCCCCCACCCCACCCGCCAACGGCAGCACCACCACAAACGGCCTACTGCCATTGCAGGGCGAGTGACCTTCGAACTCTGCATTGTTTTCTCGCCGCTCCTCAATTTTTTCCATCTTTTTTCACAGGCTATTGCGGCACTGCTGCTTCTGCTGCTGCGGCTGTCCGTCGTCCTGGCCGTTGTCCTTTTTAGCATAGCGAAAAAAATCTTCATAGCGATCTTAGCCGGAATCGAAGTGGATTAGGCCTGTTTATGGCCCACGCCCTCAATCCTCCATAAAACACTAAGCGCTTCAACTAATGCATCGCATTCCAGAATGTATCTGTATCTCGGCATCTGTACGCTTGCCTGTATATTGGTAAGTTTCTTTTTTTAATAGAGTCGGAATCGGAAAGATGGCGAAGAGCATGGCGTGTGAGTGAGGGGGCGACTCTCATTTCCATTCATCCCCATTGGCAGCTGGGAAAGTGGCATCCGCAGCCGCAGCCGGAACTGCTGCAGCTCCAAAAATATCCAATGGATGCCATCAATTAGCATACAATTAAAAACTGCTTAAATAGTTTCCTATATGGTCTGGCCGCAGATACCATATAGCCGCCGCAGATACAGATACGGGCCACACCAAGTGGTTACTGGCGGGGCGGGGGACACATCAAAGCGACGACAACATAATTGCTGCTTCACTTCACAGTTCTCGGGCACTTAGCGGCCGAGAGATACACATGAGAATCTTTCAGATGCATCTCATCGATCTTGAGTATCTTTTTTATGTCACTGCGGCAACGGCTGCGGCTTGTGGACTCTCGAACCCCTGGTGGCCTTTCGAGGGCTACTGGCGCCTGCTAATTGAGATTGCGACGATCCTTCGGGCATCCACTCTCGAGTTGCGGAAGTCCTGGCACTTCCTGGTCCTTGAGAGGGCCTTCTAATCTCAATCAGGATCTGTAACGGATATGCAGGATAAACGGGAGCAGGAAGACCTGCCCACTACCTGCCTGATCCTGCCTAGGAGTGATCCCCGCGAAAGTTCGAAGCTAATCCACAAATATTTTCAACTCTTTGAGTCTAATCTTCGGCTAATCACTTCCCTGAAATGCATAATTGTGCCAAGGATTCTGATGCGATCCTGGTTCCCAGAGGAGAGGAACGGGTACGAGAACCGCAGCCAAGTGGCAGCCGAGATTTGGCAAATCCTTCGGGCCAAACAATACCAGAGAATGGGCAACAAGTAGCGCGCGAATTAGCAATCCTATCATGCTTTTATGGCCAGGCCAACTCTTCTGCCCGTCAGAGGCCGTCCGGAGGAACCCGGAGGACCTCTGTCGCAGTCAACCCCTTTAGGGCGGTAATTCTTTAAAATGTTTGCATTAATTTCGAGGCGTAAACGGATTAGGGCGTGCTCGCTGGGTGTAACCCGCAGCAGAAACCGCCGAAAGGCCACTTGCCTCTGTACTCTGTACTGTGACCTGCACACCCTGCCCCGAACCCTGCCCTGTCTAATCCTTTCGCGAAGTCAGATGACTTCTGGACTGGGCCCGCCTCTAATCCTTTTGCTTGCCTGCCCACCTTGAGGCCCGAAAGGGGTCAAGGGATACAACGGCAAATAGGCTTAACTCTCCAAATAGGCGATTACACCAGATGATCCGCCGAAAGTCAATCTGGTTTTGGGCTTAATTGTCCTCCTAAAGCCAACTGACTCCTAACTCCCTACTCCCTACTCCCCACGCCCCTTCTGTTTATATTTGTTTGTTTTCGTTTGTTTTGAGAATTTCTGGCAATTAAGTTGCCCCGATATGACACACGGGGCGGGGGCGCATCAAATCCTTTAGCCATATCCTCTATACCATACCTGTCCAGCCAGTGTAGAATACCCCGACATCCCTCCGGGACTCGCAAAGGTCAACAGCAGCTTCGCATTCGCATTTTCTCCTTTTTTTTCGCCAAACAACTTTATTCATTGTTTTGTAGGTTTTCTTTGGGAAATCGCAAAGATTATGCGAGGATTATGGGTTGGTTGCGTGCAATTATGCGACATCCTGCAAGGATGCCAAAAACTTCCTGCTAAATCCTTTCAGCACCAGAAGAACCCCTTTGTGTCCGAAGGCCTTGGATGGTTTTTTTTTTATGCCTTTCGTTGCAGGCTCTTGCGTAAAATTTCATAACCCTACATGGCATGGCAATGGCAGTTCATCGGAAAGCGAATCCTTACGCTTATCCTTTTTACCTCTTGCCTCTATCCGTTGGCTAAAAAATGGACAGGACTTCCGCGTAACTGCCGCGCAAAAAAACGAAACGGCAAAAAAAGAATGTATCCCAGGTAGGATTGTAAGTTTCTGGCTAGCAGGGTCTGGTTATATAACGGGTTTATATAACCCGGAGAGCGTAAGGATATATGCGTAAGGATATTTCTTCTATTTTGATTTTTTCAACTCGAGTTAATTGCCCAGGCAGCAGCAATTGCCGGCAATTATAAAAACAGCGCAGATGGTTCCGGACTCCGGGACTCCGGAATCTCTATCTCTCAGCATCTCATATCCTCTCGGAGTTTTGGGGTTGCGTGGGTGGGCCTAGAAGGTTGGGGGGGGGGGTCTTCAAGCCGAGTGATAAATGTGCGTGATTTGGAATGAATGCGCATCGATTAAAACCGCAGGGCAATCAATTTAGCGCCTTTTACGCCAAATTGGCTCGTACACAAACCAATTAATGTCAGCGGGTGAAGGCTGACACCCTCGCATCTAACCCCCGACCCTCATCCGTATTCCTCTACCTACACCAGTCACCCCGAAAACAATTACAACCAGTAAGGGGGCAGGGACGAGCCAGATTCCGCTCAATAAACCTTCAATAAAGCCTCGCCGTCTAATTGCTGTTAACTCGTCAAATAGGATGTTCCTACTTCGTCCTTTCAGTAAGTGTTTAACACATTGCCATTGAAGGTTATTTAATCTAGCACCTAAGCTAGTATTATATAGATTCTAGATCAAGAAAGTATATAAATTTTGACTCTTTAAAGTTTAAACTCTACTTATAAGACTTTCAATGCTTTTTAAAAACAAGACCTCTTTTTTCCATTAGAGATATGAGAGGGTAGACTCTAGAGTGGAGGACACTGAGCAGTAGAGGCGTGGCAGGAGGCTGGGGGCAGGTGGGCCGTAAGCGAGCTGTTTGCATCAAACACCGCAATAAATGAGTGCTCCATAATTGTGAGGCGGCTGCCTTTCCGGGCGAACGAGCGGCGGCCATCTTTATCATCGGCCCCCGCGCCATGCCCCCGCTCCCTTGGCAGCAAACTGGTTTTTCTCTCCCACACTTTCTCCGCGCAGACTCCATCCTAGCTGCTAGCTGATTGGCTGCTCTCCGCTGGCTGGAATGGAACCTGGACATCCCATCTTGGATGTAAGCGGCAGAGCTCCGGTTTTTTACAAGAGTGTATGTTTGTATAGCTCCCCCAGCTACTCCAGGCCAGGTGCAGGCCATTGACCAGGATGAGGGGTCTTTATAGAGACGGCTATATTATCACCAACGGCAATCACAGTGTGGACAAAATAATAAGGGTCTGGTCCGGGAATAGACTGAACTCTGGCAATATAAGGACCAAAGTAGTCACCTGCCTGGATGAGAAGTATGGGGCACTTTAATATCCGGCGGGAATCGGGTATATTCTTATACTTTAAGCACCGGAACTTGCAGAACTTGAAACTTCCAGAGACATTAAACTTCCGAAAAAGAGTACCCATTTATTTTGAAGCCACTAAGAAATCGTTATAAAAAATATAGAAAATTCGGTATAGATATAGAAACTTGATTTCTATATCTATATTTTCAAATCTGTTCCTCAAGATTCCCATCATTCCTCCCGTTTGTGGCGCCACTTCCATTTTTACCCACCCACGGCAAATAGTTTACAATCCTTGCCACAGAGGGCGCCTCAATGTGAACCGGTAATAGTGGGTTTTCGAAAATAATCGGAAGATTAACGACTACGCCCAAATATCCATGATAAATACATACATATATTTTATTCCGTTTTTTTTTTATTTATTTATTATATAAAATACTCGTACATAAAAAACTTCTTAATACGGCGTCTTTTTATGATTTTTCTTTCCCGCCTTAACCTTTAACTTTTCACTTCCACTGGCTTCTGACGAATCCTGTTCCGCCCAAACGGTGACAATGCCACTCTCGCCGCCTGTCACCAGCAGTCCCCGCTTGGCATCAAATACACTATCCCTCACGATCTGCTTGTTTCCCAGATAGTTGGCCAAGGGCTCCAATTTAGTTTTGGAGGTTACATTAAAGGATCGCAGGACCTCTCTGTAAAATAATTATAAGTAGGAGCTTCTTGAGAAAGGGCTAAGGCTGTATTAACTCACCCTTTGTTGAAATTTGTGCCCGCCAGAAGGAATAGGCCTCCATCCTCCTGGTTGTGGGCATTAATCGGAGTACAGTTGGAAGGATTCTTCCGCCTTATGGCAGCTGTGATGTACAATCTCTCCAACGAGAACACTTCATCGCCCTCCTGGCACTCGTACATCTTAAACTCGTGCTGATGCGTGATGCAGGAAACCATGTCCTTCTCGTAGACATTCCGGTGCCACTGGAGTCGCCCCACGCTGCTCTCCGTGTTGATGGTGTTCAGGAGAGCCTCGTCTTCATCGGACTCCTTTACATCGAACAAGTTGACCAATCCGTCAATGCTTCCGGTAACCAAAAGATCCGGATTGCGATCGTGAAACCGCAGTGAGGTAATGTCGTCCTCGTGACTTTCATTGTAGGCGCCCATGAAGCTGCGCTCGCGCACATCGAAGAACAGCAGGTGGACGTTACTCATGTGCTGCTCTGTGCCGCTGCAGACTATCCTTCCATTGGCATTCCGATCGAAGCAGGTTATCGACTTTGAAACCGGCAACTGGCCTTTGTCATTCTGTGTGTGGCGGAATCGCGCCTGCTCTCCCTTCACTCGCAGGTCGTATAGGAGCACATAACCGTTCGTACTGCCAACGAGTACGTTGTCCGGTCCCTCATCGAGGAACCTCACGCCACAGATGCTGGACTTCGAGTCCGAGGGCGGTAGGAAGCAGAACTTTTCAAGACGCCCACCTCCGTTCGCATCCAAGTTGAATATGTGCACGGCGGAGCTGGACAAGCCTGCCGCAATCCTGCTGAATCCCCTGTCTGCATCCAGGCAGAGGACATAGTCCCGTTGTAGTGAGACTCCCGATTCATCTTTGGGCCTAAAATTCCGGAACTCTCTGGCCAGTTGTTGGGCGCTACAGGTGTCGTCGTCCTCGATGTCTTCCTCATCCTCTGAGCTGGGCAGATCCGCGGACGCAGCCTCTGGGATATTGGAGGATCAGTTAAGAATCCAAGTCCAAGGTTTCCAACTCACCTTCGCAGTATTTGTTGAACCTTTCAGTCATCGCGAATCTAGAGATGAATGAAAATATCTGTAGGCCCTCTGCGGCTGCACGTGTGATAGAGATGGCACTTTGGCCATATATAAGGTTAGCTGTTTTACGGCTAGGGTATATTTCAAGCCAACTCTGTTGGGAGAACCATTCAAAAAACCCTTCCATAATTTTAATTTATAATTAATAACACAAAATATACTGTTTAATATCGCAATGTAGTTTAATTCCTTTATACAAAAAGTGAATTTCACAAGAAGCCAATCCGAATACAAGTATTCAGATTGTTAGCCATAATTTAAATTGTTTCATAGTAATGTACCTAAATATTCCATTGCCGGTTGGATTTGCGTGTTCGAAATTGTTCGTTGAGGTTTCCTGATTGCCTGACTTGACTCTGGATGTGTTCAGTAAGGTTATGTATACATATATAGTTCAATATACATATTTATAAAGGTTCTTCTACTATATATTCAACAAAGGATTCAAATTCCTGCTCAGCATCATCTCTAACAAGAACTCTTCAACAAGCAACTATGTGTTCAATAATTAGATACATGCGGGGGTAAAACGTAGGTTAATCTTATTCACATAAAGTCGTCGTAGTCGTCGGTGAAGTCATTGCCATACTTTTGATAACCATCAATGTCCTGCAAAAGCATAAAGTCAGGTTATATTACTAGAAACTGTATGAAAATCCTTTCGAAACTCACATCGTTTTCTGTACGCAGTGTCGCCTTGCCCTTGCCCTTGCCAGCGGGTTTCTTGGCATTCGCCTTCTCCATTTTGAGCTTTTCAGAGTGGAGAGTCTCCACGTTAATCTTGACCTTCTTGATGTCAGTGGCACTCACTTGATAGGAAGATCGAATCAGATTAGCATGAAACGGTTAGGCAGATGAGATTAGACACTCACAATTCACGCAGAGACCTCGCACCAGATCCTCAACAAACTGGGGAAAGTGCGGTGACTCCTTATACTGGCCGATCTTCCAGCTGAGGGCTGCTCCGAACTCCTTGAACTCCTCTTTGCTTTCCGGATTGAAGGCATCCAGGCCACCACTGCCTGTACTCGTTACCCCGAATGCGTCCAGGGCGTGTTTCAGGTCAGATTCCTCCTGTATTTTCTGGAGGCGCAGCTTCTCGGCCAGCTTCTCCTCGGGCGTGAGGTTGGCCAATCGTTTCGCCTCTTCCTCCTCTTCGAGCCTCTGCATGTGAATGGAAATAAGTATGTAATCTTTTAGGTAGGATTCCTCAAGCTTACCGCTTGTTCCTCCAATTTGGCTTTCAGCGCCTTGTTTGGCTTTGTTTTGGCTGGCACATCTGCTTTTGTGGGCTTCTCTTCGTCCTTCTTCTCCTCCTCGTCCTCCCAGCTCTCCTGCGGATTCCAAACAAACCAAAATTAGAGAAAAAGTAAAAGTGAACACGTGTACAATGCATAAACAAAGGGGAAAGTAAGCCACCAGAAAACAAGTTTCTTGACTGGAATCCGTCTTATCGTTATGAGTTGTGGTACCCACCTTGACGTCCTCGTCATCGTCCTCTCCCTCCCACTTGTTTATGTTATTGGTGGCATTCGGCCGTATAACTACTTCGCTGTCCGCTGCGGATTCTGCCACATCACGAAATGGTCATGAAATAAACGTTTCGAATACGGTTAGAAATGGCTAAAAATACCACCAAGGTTGATGGCATGGCGACCACGTTTATTGTCCGCCACAGATGACGCATCGGATCGTCCTCGCCACTCACCCCAATCATCGGCCATAGCTGCAAGTTTGTTGGTATCTGTATCTGTTAGTGTTGTGCTTTGTAGTTTGACCAGCAATTTGTGCTTTTCCACGCAATTTGGTGATTTTTCCAAATCAAAATCTACACGAGCCGATTTCCATTAGACTAGGGATGGAGGTTTTACAATGACTTCCAGCCCTGGAAGTCTGGGCGATGTGACCAGATTGTCATAAACGGGGCAGGCACAATCGGTATAAAACGCGGTAGGCACACTCTGCTTCATATGCCACATCAAATTTCATTTCAAACAAAAATATATACAATGTCATACAAATTAAGAGTAAATCTTTGAAAGCCACATCGACATCGTTGTGTGCCCCACCAGCATATCGGCCACCCAGCCTCGTTGCCAGCAAGCCTTAGCTCCGTCCAAACATTTCAAACACAGACCGCTCATCCAAGGAGTTGGGATACGTGTCGTTGATCGGAGGTTGATACGAGCGCAACACAATGGCCCATCCCGTTGGGAATATGTCCGGAAACATGCAGGGACAACCTCCTTCGGGTGGCCGATTACCGATGGGTCTGCAAAGGTGGGTGTCAGTCTAATATCACAGATTCTTTTTTTAATCCAGTTGTGTATCCCATGCAGCTTGCCCTCCCTGTCCAACTTGCCGTCTCCGATGGAGGTGATCCAATTGGTGCGAAACTCGCTGCGGCCATGGAGCGTCTTCTTCAACATTAACAACTTTAAGTCGGCCGTCAGCATGCAGCGCCTGAACAACCGGGTCCTGCGAAACTTGTCCTACTTCCAGTCAAACTACGTCTTCATATTCTTTGTGCTGATGATCTACTGCCTGTAAGTAGATGGTCTAGTCTTGAGTCTTTCCAAATGGCATCTAATCCTTCTTTTTAATCGCTTTTAGCATCACAGCGCCGCTTATCTTGCTGGTTATTATCGCCGCCGCGATTGGTTGCCATAAGCTGCGTTCGCGCAACACCAACTACACCATTATGGGCCAGACGCTGACGCCCAGTCAGCAGATCATAGCCCTTAATCTGGCTACGGCGCCAATTCTCTTTCTGGTGGGTGCCGGTTCGGTGCTGTTTTGGACGTTGGGAGCCTCCTGCTTTGTCATATTCATGCACGCGATCTTTTACAACATCGATGCCATTGTGACGGAAGAGAATGAAGGATTCCTGGCGGAGGTTGTGTGACAATCTCAAGGTCGATCAGAATCTCAAAGATCTTGAAGCGATTTTGACAATCGAAAGCAAGATGGGGGCAGAGGTATTCGCCAAATGGGGCCTTATTAGTCAATAACATTTGCAATATCAGATTACACACATAATTATAACGAATTTTAGTTTAGATCTAACAAGCTCTGACATTGAATAAAAAAATCAAAGGGATGTGAAAAATGCATTAGACTATATTCCGTTTTCAATCTGAAGGCCCAATCCCCGCATTTGACAATACATATTTGGCATAAAAGTAATTTAAGTAGCTTTAAATTAGAATAATACACAAGAATCATCACACAATTAAAGAGAGGCCGGCTGGATTCAGCTGCTCTGCCCAATCGTCAAGAGAGTACACAATAAAAAACATTGTAAAAGTATAAAAGTAATGTCCTGACTCGAGCAGGACTTAACTTAGTCAGTAGTTCAGTGAGGTACGGGTAGTTTGAGCTAGGAATGCTTCAATAGCTTGCGTAAGTCTTGGTCCAAATCCCATTCTAGGCAAACTGGGCGCTCGCCAACGTTGTCGTTTCTTGTTCCTCGTCGCTAGCCTGGGTGTCTAGCTTCTCGAATCCGTTACGATCCCGGTCGAGCAGTCCTCCGAGCTTAAAGCCGTCACTCTTTTCCCATGCATGGCGTCGACTCCTACCGCCAAACGGATTGCAACCTAGGAGTACAACACGAAGCTATGATTAGTTTAAAAGATTCGGGTATAAACGTCACATTCACGACATGTACAAGTCCTTTAGAAAGTTCATGCAATGACCTGCGGAACAAAACAGGAAACGAAATCAGAATAATTTAAATATAATTAAAGACAAACGTAAAATGTTCTAAAGATACAATATTTTAATTGAATACAAAGCACATTTTAATTTAGTTACAAATCATACAGTATGTACACGGAATGCGACTTACAAAAAATATGGAATGTGGACGGAAAGAGATTCGAGAGTCAACTTAAAAATAAACCATACAAAATATAATTATGCGTACAGGTGCTACTGCAAAAAATACATGTATATGTGAACGCAACACAACACAGGAAATGAGTGATCGAATAATGGTTTTCTCAGGATTAGCACAGGCTCTGGTTGGATGCAGTCAACTGCCGGTAGACCAGATCGGTGGGCGGCGCAGATGTGACCGCCTGATTACCTCGTTTCCGGCGCTGGGCGAAGAACAGTGCCAGTGCGAAGGTGGATCCGGCGAAGATCAGCATGAGCGAAGACACCAGAATGGCCTTTCCGCTGGGATGGTGCCCCGTGTGTGGCGTTGATGCATCCAATGCACTGGACTCGCTGAGATCGGTAGTTATGCTGCTAGAGTGCTTGGTGGCCGACAAAGACATGGGCTTCGCCAGGGACTTGTGCACGAATTTGTGAATGCGAGCAGGATTCAGCTCAGCCACGTAGATTTCTTTTCCGTCGGTAGTGACGGCGACGTCGTGCGGATTTTGGAACTCCATGTTGTTTGGTCCAAACTTGGACACCACCTGTTTGCTGCCCATGCTGAGGACGAAGCCATGAACTTCATTGTAGTGCTCAGGATGGATTCCTAGTTCGGCGGTGGGTCCATTGACGATGACAAGTTGGCCTCCTATAAATCGGAACATGATTAAATATAGAACTAGAATGCGAGGCCAAAAGTAAGATATTACCTTCTGCTGGAGTGTACGCCATGCTGAAGAGACGGTCGCCAATCAGTGGGTTGTGATACTGCGAGTGGAATTTTCCATTGGTGGAGTAGAAACACTGAACCCGCCCGTTCTCCCGATCAGCGGCACACAGCAGCTGCTGCTCCGGCACCAGGGTGAGGGCATGTGGAATGGCGAAATAGTTTTGCGGCGCAACATCATAGGAAACACCAGCGAACGAGTTCTGACCCCAGGTGAGGATCAGCTCACCTGCCCGCGAGTACTTCAGTATGCGGGCATTGCAGTAACCATCTGCCACGAAAAAGTCACCATTTTCCAGGACTGCTACGGATGTGGGCTTGCAGAACTTCTTGCCTATGCCGGGCTGGAAGGTGACGCCAAGGGTGAGCAGTGGCTTACCGCCTGCACCGCGGGGTGGAAACTTGAACACCTGATGCATGGCCACGTCCGTTACCCAAACGTTGTCCTCAGGATCCACAGTCAGGCCGTGAGGCATGTAAAAGCTGAAGTGGATTAAAATGCAGATTTGGAGTTTTAAAGATCATATCGGAGAAGGGCTTTTAGTTCATCTAATTGCCATTCAGACACTAAGAATAAACAGTGCAAGTTTCTTATGAATAAATATTAGCCAATAAAATAATCGTGTCAAATGTCGCTAAACAAATAAACACAACTGCGACTTGGTTGCTTATTGTAGACTTTGAAGTTCTTAAGAAAACAAATGGCTTACAAGTTCTTGCCCCAATCGTATTGAAGCTTTCCTGTTTCTGGTTCCAGTCCAAGGATGGTGCTTTCCCTGATGGGACCACGAAACTTCTCCATGTACTGGTTCCTGTTGTCGAATGTTTCCTGTCCCCAGATACGGTCCACTCTGTGGAAAATGACAACGTTTCCAGCCTTGTCGAAGCTTACGGCTGTCACAGCTCCCAGTTTCACTTCATTTGCCGGCCAGGCATTCTGGTAGACATACGCTGGAAAGGCATTAATATAGTATTACAGCTCAGTTTAGTTTAAGATGGAAACTCACTTGTATTTAGTTTGGCTAGTTCAGTCTTAACGTCGGGAATGGCCTGCTTGGGCGGCTGGGGCCAATTGACCGGGGTGGCGCCCGCTCCCTTTAGCATCTGCTGCATGCTGTTGCTGTTTACGTTGTCGTTGGCATTCTGTAGATAACGCACCGAACTTTGAGTCTGGAAAAAAGATTGCAAAAATTATATTAGCCAGGCATACATAGATGAAAATCTGCCACGGAGCACCGAACACACACACAAGAGGCCAACAGACCTTCTCTGCAAAATCAATACAAAAACTTGATTTCGGCTTGGAATATGAGGAAGTCAATTTTTAATGCAAATTGCCTCCACGTAGTACGTCTTCCAGGCATCCAGATGGATGCCAAATTTGAAAGGTGTCTTACCTGTGACGCCGCTGGCTGTGCCTCCAGGAGGAAGAAAACGAGGAGGAGCAAGCAACAGGAGATTCCCAGGGCAGCGGGGTCCTTGCTTTTGGTCTTGGTGGAAAACATCGTCGTACGAGCTCTATGGAATGCTTGTTCGGCTGCAATTGAATAAACAAACATATCGGTCTGGCCGAGAGCTACGATTTATGACGCGACGACTGGCTGTTGAATGATATGTGCTCAGGGTCGTAGATGTTTGACTTTCCAAGGGGTCGAAATAAATTTTAGTTCGATTTCTTTTTAAAAGTATTTTTGAAGCAAGTGTTTTCTTAAGTAATAAATAAAGCTTTAAATATATTTATTTCTTGATTCTAGAGGTAATTATATTTATTACTTTGTCTACGCCTCTGGCTGCACAGCTGAGCGGCACGCGTTAGTACATTTTCGAGTCAGACTTCAGACGTTTTTGTTTACTTCCCGAATTCACGAATTGTAAACATGTCGCAAACAGAGCTTGACAAAAGCATCGAAGTAATTACCAAAACAGAGGAGTTGGCGGACAAGATCTTGGCCAACAAGCATGAGTTGACGGTCATGGATAAAAGGCGCCAGGAAACGAGGGAGGCCCTGCGTCTTATGGAAAAGTCCCAGGAAGAAAAGGTCTGGATAACAATTGGGTCCATGTTGGTTAAGATGCAAAAAGTAAAGGCATTAGAGCTCCTAAAGAAAGGTAAGCACGTTCCCCTTGGTTTTGAATTCCACTAACTTTCATATATTTCAGATCAGCAGCAGGTTGAGCAGCAAATCAGTATGATATACTCGGACCAAAAAGTGCTCGTCAACAAACACCGTGACATAGAGTTCAAGTCACCCTTTTCTGGCACGCACCTGAAGCCACTTGATCGAAAGGAGTTTGATGCCCTAAAAGCTAATCTTCCACTACTGTAGAATGTTTAAATATCATTAGGCATTATTGTTTTTAAACCATTGTTTTTCTTGGCGGGCAGTGTGACCAAAATAGTTTGACGGGGTAAAATTCCAGACAATCCATATGGAACCTATCGATACATCGATATGATTAGTACGTTGACAACACTGGTCCGTGCCCGTTCGTTTGTCTCGTTGTCCCATTAAACAGACTTCCAATCAGACATAACTTATTTCGAAACCCAGACTCTGACTGAATCGGGAATTATTGGAAAATCTCGAGATCGCTGAAGATTTTCACATGTGGCGAAAACGTGCGCTAACATCGGTTGCGTGATTGTGTGTGGTGAGTTCTCTTCTCCCACTGGCCCCTCCCCCACCAGCCCCATCGCGCTCCCCGCGCAAAAGTAAAGTTTAGTGCAAATAAATTGCCTTTGCTTATCTCGGGGCGCGTTCGCGTCATGAAAGTGTGTGTGCCGCGTGTGCGAGAGTGTTGTTAATTAATTAACAAAAGTCGCTCCTGTTTAGCGAACAATAACAACACAAATTCGAGAAATTTGAAAACCAAAAATTTCGAGGGGAAAATAACCGCCAAATTGCATAGTGCATATGGGCCACTTGGGGCGCCCACTCTTCGACCGCCCACCGCTTGCAGTCTGAAGCCAAAGCCAGAAAACGAAAGTTCTTTTCTAAAAGTAACAACAACAAGTGCGCAGAGCGCCACAAAAAGCCAAGAGCGAGCGAGAGAGGCTCTCGGAGACGGAGACTTGGCCTTGAACTTGTGCGCGGTAAGTTGAATTCAGCCATTCTGTTTTCCTTTAGCTTTTCGCTGCAACATCGATTGATGCAACTTTTGGTTAGTTTGTTGCAAGGGAAAACCGCTCATTGAATTGTTGGTTAAATAAGCTAGGTTTTTTTTTGTCGTTATACCTTCTTCCGGCCCTCTAGGGGTTAAACCACAGAGAACCTAGAAAAACCCATCTAAATAGCTTTTATTAATTTATTCTAATTGTTTATATTCATGTAACTCTAATTACACATTACGTTTTAAGAACTTAATATATTAAATCACGCTCATGTATTTATCATCTTGGGGTTCCCCTTAATGTCCTTCTAAGCCCACCATCACTAGTCCGACTAGAGGAAAGTAGTCATGTTTTATGCCGTAATACACTTGCTTAATAATCTTACAAGCCACGGCACAACAAACGAAAGGCAAATAAATACAAAACAAACAAGTTTTTTTTTGAAGAAAACAAAAAAATTTAGAAATTCTGTTTATGTTTGTGTGTGTGTCCAGTAAGCTTAACCATAAGCTTTAATATAATTTGTAAAAATATGTGAATTAATGTTGAGGTGGAAAAAACAAGTTTCCAACTATTTGATTGATTTTTAGTTATTTTTTTGTGGGGTAGGAAGTCTTGGGGACTGACTCAGCCAATTGGAACGCAGCTATTGGCGAAGAAATGCATTTCAGTTTCGAAAACTATGCAGAACTGTTTTCGAACCAAGTTGATAAGAGCAAATTGGTAAAATGGCGATTGGGGCTTGCCGGTATAAGTCCTGCAGATTGAAAATTCACTTCTACGGTTGAGGAATTTTCGTTTTAGTTAAAATATTACCGGCCAAGCCTGATTAATTATGGCTTGTCGCTCCGTTGTCGTTTAAAATGCTCAACTAGACTCGGTTGCTTGTTGTCTAGTGTGTGTGTGTGTGTGAGCTTGGGAGTGTGCCTCTTTATTGGTGTGAGTGTCCAGTCGAGTCCGGTTTGGGGCCGTTTGGCAGTTGCAAGTGCAGCGCTGCGCTTGTTTCTTCCCTATAACAGGGTATTACGCATACGACATGGTGGCTACTTAATATGTATCTCACAGATACCTTATTATACTGACAGGGTACTACCGTGTTCGGTGGGGCTACAGCGATCCTTGCTGGTTCCGCCTTACTGGATTGAAAATTGCATTTTTGAAATTTCAAACACGTTGCAGGCACCAGGTAGCAACAATGGTGGCAGCTATGCAGTTGCATTGTACTTGTGACTTGCCTCCCCATCTACTCCTTTTTTTTTTTTTGCGCCAAAGACGAGATCGAAAATTTTCCATACATCTGTTTTCGTGCCACCACCCCGGGAGGAGGCGCTCTTTCTTGGCACAATCGTTTGTTTGCCTAATTGTTAAATAATATTAAATGAATTTGCTTTAAATCAGACAGCTGATTCGTCGGCTGACCGGAGAGCGAGCGCTGGGGCGGAGAGGGAGCGGGAGAGAGGCGCGCAGAGTGAGCAAACAAACATATTTGACAGAATCGCTGGCGGATTTTATTTATCCCCACCGGGGGGAGGGGAGGGTTGGGGCGTACGGTGGGTTCTATCAATTTCTGCGCCGCAGTTTACACATGCGTCACACCCACACAATCGCAGGAAGAGTACAATTTTTTTAAGAAATTCAATAATAAAACGCAAAATATGATAATCATGCTAAAAAGAGGAAAGCTCAATTCACCACGGGCTTTTTATCAAAGAGAGGGTCACCAGTCGCCAGTCGGCGGTCGAGAGAGAGCTGGCGCGTGTTTCTGACACACAGACACACAATAGTGAATTGAGTTAGGAACTGGTCAACTCTTTGTTGCCACCCATTCGGCTCCACCCACCCCCTGCCGCCAGCCCACTCACTCAGCTGGGCCACTTGTTGATGAGAGCTTCTCAGCAGTGAGCCGAGAGCGCGCTCGAAACTCACCACGCTTGGGGGAATCGATTGTCGTGAGCAAAAGAGCAAAACAACAAACAACAAGTCTCTCCGCCCTTTTTTTCGCCCTATCGAGGGGGCGGGTGGAGGGTAGAACGAACGAGCTCCCGTTCTGGGACCTCTCTCTCTGTTGCTTTTTAGTGCCTTCTGGCCGCCCCCTTCCTTGGTGCTTTGTAAAACTTATCAAGGTCGTTGGTTGGCTTGGCGTCGCCTCTTTTTTTTTTTCTTTCGTTTTCCTGCTACAAGCGGGTTTTTCTACTTGTCCGTACCGCACTGCCCCGCCCCCCTCCCGATGCTCCACCGGCCGGACACGTTCTCTGCAGGCTTACCAACATCCTTTGGCGAAAAAAAAAAAAAAATTCTTTTGCTTTTATGTTATTGGGTTTCTGCTGCCTTTTGCTGTTCGCATGCTTCTGCCTTGTTATTAGTTATTGTGCTTGTCCATGAAGTGCACTTTAAGAAAATATTTAAATATTAAATAATATATATTGTACATCTTACATCTTTCAACTCTTAATATTATTAATATTCTATATCAGCATATCCTTCTCTCCTAGCATATGACCTCCTAAAGGGTCACTTTCCCCTCCGAATAACCTCCCTCTCTTCAAACGCCCACTTTGTGCTTTTTATTTGTCGGCTCTGTTGTTTAATTTACTTCGTTTACCTTGTCCTGGCGTTTACTTTGCGCGTGTCCTTTATCCTGGGATTTCTCAACGCCCCCCCTACCTCCTTCTCATACAAAAAAAACCATAAAATTCCCATGGAACATGGCTAAAATGTTTAAAACGCTCCCGACAGTTAACACTTAGTGCCTTTAACTATCGCTACGACTAAGTCTCTAAAGTTTAATATTCCAGTAGGGTTCCATCGGGAATTCCTTAACCTGGCCAATACCTGTTTTTTGCCTTATTCCCCCCAGAGTAGCCTTGCAACTTGTTTCGACTGCACCACACTGCGTATACGTTATATTTGGAGTTGGGCGCCCCCTTCCCGCCTTCTCCGCCTGCCTTCCAGGCCAAAGACACTTGAATGGTTAAAAGGTATGCGTGCCTGCCTATTTTTAGCCACTTCTAATAAGCGCTTGCTATTTTTAGGCCAGGTGCTCGTTTCTGTCTCTCGGCCTCTCAGCTTCGATTTTGGTTTCCTTTTCTTGCAGATCTTGTTGGCCATTTTTTTTTTGGTTTTTTTGCCAGATCATTATGGCCAGAGTTGGTGGGCAGTTAACAGAAGGAGGAAACTGTTTTTGGACCAGCTCGGGTAATTGTCCATGGCTGGCATTGATTGCTGACTGAACGGGTTATTCGTGGTATCCATAAGATACCCTGGTTTTATGGAGTGTGATATAAAATATAATATTAAAGGGCATCTGTTCGTCTAGGTTTCTCTACAAAGAAAAAGATCCAAAAGCCCAAACCATAAAACTTGAAAAAAATACTTCATTTGTTCCACTTGTAGCGCTGAGTGCCAAAAATCACCAAAATCATAATGTTTGATGACTGTGAAAGTTTTCAAATGGTTCATTAAGCCGCTTAAATACGCTCCAGCCGTGGAGTTTTTTATTTTTTTGGCCGAATATTGCCACAAACACACAAAACTAGACAGAGGTGTACAGTTTTTTGGCCAATTCTGGACAGTCGGAGCTTTAGAATCCAAGAAACGGGGACTTGGGTGAACCTGGGCATTAACGAGGAGTCCCAGTTTAGTTAATAGCCAGAAATTAAGCAACCAATTCCCACAAAATATGATAGCTTCCAATACCAAGCTTGGGTTTTTTTTTTGGCCATCAGAGAGCTGTCAGCCTTCAAATAGACATTTTTGGTATCTAAATATAGACCGAATAAATATAGCGGAACAATTAGAGTCGAGCGGTGGCTCAAATGGTCAACTACCAAATGTGTTCGGGGGCCAAATCGACCGAAAAACAATCTAAACTGGGCCAAGAAAGTGGGATGGCAGGCAGGCTGGCTGGCTGTCGTGCAGGCTAATGAGTTATCTAAATTATAGGTAACAGCTTGAGAGCCCAACAGATGGGACTCTTCCATGGGAGGTGACCTTTCTTATAAGAACAGTGCCTTCTTTAAAAATCTAACTAAAATACTTTATTCTCTCCAATAGTTAAAGAACAACGTCATTTGAATCTCCATCACATTCCTTGAGGCCTTTTAAGGAGTCCAGTGGCCACTTCATCAAAATCATGAACAAAACTCAACTCATCCAAGTACTTGGCACTTTTGTTAAATAATGATTTTTAGTGAGCCGCGAACACGACTGCTTGACTAGCCAGAAATTATATAAACAAATATTTGTGTCTTG